AAGATTGGTAGCGTTCAAGATTTATAGGTAATGTGCAAAGATACTTCCAGAACTGACCGCTTCTCTTCTTATAAAAACTTCTTTTCACCATTATCTTTCCAAAAGCTTTCTATAAGTGCTGGGTTTCCTGTTTGCTTAAGAGCTTCCAAAATGGCTTTCTGGTCATTTGTCAGTGTGCTTTCATCTCTATATGGTCTCTTTTTTGGTTTGCCTTTCTTTACATCTGACATCGTTAAGCCTTCATATTCTGTTAAATCATACATCTTTATTTCAGTAAGATTCTTTATGTTTGTCAAGAAGAAGTCATAGTGCATTTCAACAATACCTGCAGCATTTGCTTCTATCTCTGATATAAAGTTCTCCTTCAAGAGCTGATGTAGTAATGTTCCAATATTATTGAGGTTTAACGTAGAACATTCATACTTTCCACCAAGTTTATAACATACCATCCATCTCTGTTGTGAGTTTATTTTAATTTTCTCTAAGAGTCTCATGAAAACCTTACCGAAATGTTTGTGTAAGTAGTCTCTGTTTGGTTCATCTAAAGCTTCGATGTTAAAGTCAATGAGTCTATTGCCTGACTTCACATTTCTCTTCCTATTCTCTTCATCTTTCTTTAACCATCTCTCACCTTCTTTTGGTTTGTCGTCAATGGAACGAATGACATCATTAGCTTTGCGAACTTGTTCTATAGCACTTTTAAACATCTCTCTTCTCTGTTGTTTCAGTGTGTCGTCTCTCTTTCGTGTTCACCAACGTTTGCATTTGTTATGTCATACATTTCTCTTCTTACTTCATGAGGTACAGCTCTTCTTGTTTCACCAACGTTTGAGTTCGTAAGTTCAAACATCTCTTGACGAACGTCATGAGAAAGAGCTTTACGAGTATGACCAACGTTCGCATTTGTTGTGTCAAACATTTCTCTTCTTACTTCATGAGGTACTGAACGTCTATGATATAAGTCAATAGCAACGTCATTTAAAGGAAATGCTCTTGCATGGACTTCGTCCTCGCCGCGTTGCGGCTTTATGAACTCATGAATTCTATCATAAGTTATTTCACCATTATAGTCATTGAGGATGTCAGCGAGTGCTTTTTTGTTTGTTGCGTAATGCTTTGCAACATCTATATTAGCTTCTGTAAGAAGTTGTTTTATTTCCGAGTGTTCTAACTTAGACAACTTCCGATACATCTTTAGTAGGAAATAAAAAATATTTTTTGAAAAAATTAGCTTAGATTTTTTAAGGTTAGTTTTAAAATATTTCAAACTTTTTATTTTAATGAAACACATGCAAGATTGCAAGTTCTTTTCATACAATGCTCTCGCTACTGCCATCAAGAATGAGTTCAATGGTGCTTCAAATGTTAATGTTATCTTTAACAAGAAGTTTGTGAAAGAATCTAAGTTCGGTCAGTATGTCAGACCATTAGCTATCGTCATTGACCGCAAACGTTATACTTCACAAGAGTTAGCAGTAGTTTTGAAACAAAAGAGTTTCTTCGTGAATGTCAAAGATACACACTATACTGTCATAAAGAACTCTAACATTGACTTCTTCAGTATTGCTATGAATTTTTCTGAACAGAAAGAATATAAGAAAGGTGAAACAAATGTGAAATATAATCCTTCATCGCTGAAAACAATAACGAACAAAGATGTTATACAAAAGTTCTTACAAAGGTTGAAGAAGCTTCTATTGACATTGACGAAGGAAGTGAAATGGTTGAAGAAATTGACCCTGACGTTATTTAAGCAAAAATATATTTTTGGTTAGTCTTCATATCGATATTTTACAACAATTCCCCAATGTATAAACTTTTCATACGCTTTTTCATAAGCTTTATATACCTTCAGAAAATTTTGCATAATCTTTAGAAGCATTTAGATATTGTTTAAATGCTTTGTATGTCTTCAGAAATTTTGCATAATCTTTTACATGTTGTTCGTTCTCTTCTTCTGTCATGACTTCCGAATATTCTAAATTCATGTTCTTTCATATGAGATAAAATTTTATAAAAAAAATAAAATTAGCTTAGATTTTTTTATTTTTCCTCTTTGAAGTTGTCAAAATATTCTGTTATTTTTTCCTTCAGTAATGTTAAGTCTTCTTTGAATGTAAGTATTGTGCAACCTTTGATGTCATAGTGTGTTTGAGGAAGAGTATTTTTGACAATTTCCTTTATTTGCTCATTCGGTGTCATTGAAATCGGTAAGTTTTCACGATAGAACCAGTTTCTGTCAGATTTATATATCTTAGCTAAGTCATAAAAGCTTTTGTTGTTTCTTCTCACTAAATGCAACATAACCATATCTCTGTCTTCTTCTTTCTCCAACTCTTCAGTATATATCATATACTTATAACTCTTTTCCTTTCCTTTTGGTACTGAACGCGGTATTCTTTTCTGTATGCTTTTGTCTTCTTTCATCATATCTTCTCTCTGCTTTGTACAAAGTTCGTCAAGTAGCATAAGTATGTAGATTGCATAACGAGGTGAAGCCCACATTGCTATTGAACTAACTAGGAACTTATGAACATATATACCTTTTAGATGTGATGGTAAGTTTTGTCTGTCTTGGTACATCTTTTTAAGTTCTACATGTTCAAACTCACTGAGGAGTTCATGAGTGCTATTTAATTCAAACCATTCATTTGGTGTTTTATTCTCTGGAGCAAAACATGTTGTCAAAATACTCTGCATTTGGTACATGTCATCTTTGACTGAACGAATGAGTCTCAGTTGTTTGTTATACTGTATGTATTCATATTCTTCATTAATGGCTTCATGAACGATAACTGATGTTGTCGTTGCTGTTCTTACATACAAGATAAAAATTTTGTTAGAAAAAAATTAGCGTTATTTTCTGACTTTCACAAAAGACCAAAAATAAACGCTTTACATGTATTTTTCAGCAACTTCGTCAAATAATTTTATAGCTTTATCTATCTCATCTACTTCAAACGTTTCTTTACCTTTCATGGGAGCACCATACATTTTCTCAAACTTTTCAAGTAGTTCTGTTTCTGCAGCTCTCATATCATTAACGAACACAACCTTGACTCTATTGATTGTACTGTCATATCTTTGAGTTATATTATATGTTCTTCCTATCTTATATCTCTTTGTATTGAAGTCCTTCGGTTTCTGAACGATGTAAAGTAAGCCTTCACTGCAACGTTCCGTATCGAATGAACCATAAGTTATGAAGTTATATCCAACAACTGGGTCAATCCATAGAAGAATTATTGGTATAAGACTTTTGTCAATGAGATATGCTGTAGTTCCATAGAATCTTACTGATATCATAAGCTCAGGATTTCTTGTTAAAATTTTCTGAGTAGAAGCAATTCTAACCCAGTCCTTTGTTTTCTTTCCAGATGGTGTTATAATGTCTGACAAAGAATATTTGTTGTATTTCTTACAGTATCTTACGTTTAAATCACCAATTCTAACCACTTTGGTGTCATTGTCAATCTTTCTAACTGTTTCAAACTCAATGTTTGTCATTACTGTCTTTACATACAAGATAAAAATTTTTCTTAGAAAAAAATTAGCGTTATTTTTCTTTCATAAGGAAATGTCAAAAATTCATGATTTTCGAGAGTTTTAGACCATGTTATAAAAGAGGTTAGAAAACGTGTTAGATCTAACATTCTAACATAAACATTATTTTTTGGTCATTTATGACAAAAATAAATGGTTCATTTACTCACAATATTTTTGTACAAAACGACCCCAAACTTTTAACTTCTTTTCTGCAGCTTCTAATGCTATCTTAGCGAGTTCATATTCTCTAAATTCTCTCTTTAAATCTTCTTGTTCCCATTGGTCTAGTTCGTATGGAGAATCTCTATAACCATAACATATCTCACGTTCATGTTCTAATTGTTTTTCGCGCATTTTTCTAACATCTTGTTCGAACAAAGGTTTAGCATTCTCTACTGTATCTTCAAGTTCTTCTTCATCTAATTTCTCATGAACTTTCTTGTCTATGGAGTCCATAATATCTTTGACATAAAATGCATACTTTACAGAGCACCATTCAGCAACAAAATGAACGAGGTCAGGATGTATGTAAATACCTTTGAATTCATTTATAACACCCTTAGTAAGCTCATAAAATGCTTGTTTTGAGGTCGAGCCACTTTTGGCTCCACCGTATTCTTTCAACCAAAACTCAAGAATTTCCTGCATTTTAGCACTATTGAGAAATCTGTTTAAATGGTTTAACTTTCCTGCTTCTCTTGCCATCTTTGTTGCATTAATGTAACCATCCTTGTCTCTATGTAAGACTTCAATACCGTTATAAGTGCCTTTTGTGAATGTTTCGCCATTAGATTTGTTCGTGAATGTTTTTGCTTCGACTGACATTTCTGTTCTTACATACAAGATAAAAAATTAGAAAAAAATAAAATTAGCGTTATTTTTCTAACTAATGAAATTCATTATTTTTGTTCATTTATGTTAAAATAAATGGTACCATTAATGATATCATGACTGTTCTCGTTCATGTCTGATTTACATCTAATGAAAAAGTTTAGAAGAATTTTCTTATTCTTTCTGGCATATTTTTGTCTTTCCAGTACTCCCGCTCTAATGGTCCCAGATGTGTTGGCTTCGACTCTCTCAAGTTCTTAGATGGTATAACATCTTCAACGCCTCCTTCATATCTTACTTTATAAGTGTCATCGTTTGTGTTATAGCCAAGTATTTCAATAACCACTCCTCGCTTTGCTTCGTCAATGGTTTCAGCAAGTTTGCCATTACTACTTTCAACTAATTTATGACGAGGGTAAAATGCTATGGAGTCGTCAGCAGCTTTTATAAGATATCCATTACCTTGCGTAGAGTCTACGATATAATAATTTCGACTTAACCTTAAACGTTTCTTTGTCAACGGTTTGTCGTCAAGAACTACACGAACTTTTGTACCAGGAATGAGGGTAAATTGTGTTGAATTTCTGATATTTTGTGTTTGACTTCGTTTCTTTTGTATATACTTTTCTTCTTGTTGTTGTGTCATTGAATTTGGTGTATGTCCTGTTGTAGAATGCGTTGAGGAATTATATACTTCGAGAAAATGTTTCATTGTTTCTTCGGTAAAGTCTCGCTCTTGGTTTAAATCTCTGAGCGTTCTTATGAAGCGGTTAATGATACCGAGTATGTTATGGTTATGGTCTTCAGTAGTGTAGTGAGTTATGTTATGCTTAATGAGAAAATCTGTGATTTCATTGCTGAGGTATGCACTGTCTTGGTCTGATGTTAAAGTACTTGGGCTATGTTCTGCTACAAACTTTTGTAAAACTCTTAACACTTCACGAGTTCCTTTATTCCTCATTGGATATGCATATGCTTTGCGAGTGTTAACATTAATGAAGATGAGGAATGGTTTATGTCCTCCTTTTCTGCTTTGAATGAGAGTGTCAAATTGGTATGCGTCAGGAGTGTTGGAGTAAATTGGTAAAAAGTAGTCGTAAGGGTTTATTTTTGTTTGATGTACAACATTTTTGTCAAAGAACTTTTTAACTTCAGCTCTGTTAGTAAATCCCCAACTCTTTGCAGCTTCATTGAACTTCTTAAATGACCTCCACGGTGATGATTCGAATACTTCTTTTAAACTCATTTATGTAAAAATAAAGATTTTATTCAAGACGGTACCATGCGAATACAGTCATAAATGGTGGCATATAATCTTCACCCGAGCCTGTTGGATTTGTTGTGAAAGTATGGACATGATTTCCTCCTGGTTCAGTTGGTCGAAAAGTCTTTTTTGCTGAATTGTTATAAGATGGAGATAAAACTTCATTGCCAGCTTCATAGTCTGAGTTGTATAATGGGTGGTCTCTTAATGAGTGGCTATGGTCGCCAGAAAAGTTTGTAGTTCCTGTATGAGTGTGTGCAGGTAAGTTTGCTTCAGTAATTTTCTTCGAACCTCCTGTTTGCTTTGAAGAGTTAGCACAGTATAAGAATTTGTCTACAATCTGTTCCCAAGTACCAAAACCTAAAACACTTGCTGGATTTGTTGAGTTCATTGACGTATAAATAGAGCCTATAGGATATAATGTTTGAAGTATTTCAGTCTTTAATGTTTGAAGCTCTGTTTTGTCAGCTTTGTCCTCCATTATATCTTCATAGTTTTTAACTTCAACGATTTGAATGAAAAACTCCGGATTTAAACCCATATCCATTTCAGCAGTTGCTGACCATATTTCTTCATTCCATTCAAAACTTTTACGAATATCTTCTCTATGAACTCCATAATGTACTCCTGTCTTAGTTCTGTTGAAACGTGTATATGTTATACCGTCAATGACTTTAGTTTCATTTGTTCTTTCAAGATATTCAGAATAATCTGAACCAACGCGCACTCCCTTACCTCCTTTTACTGTATAATGCCAATGTTTTTTGTCAGCCTTTTTGTCAATACTTTTCTGAATTATTGCTATATCTTCTGCTCTAGTATACGAACTAAGTTCATCTCTGCTTGCTTTCTTTTCAAGTTCTTCATCCACATAAGTTTTGTCAGCTTTCTTATCTAAAAGCGTTGGTAGTTCATATGTTTCAAAGTTTCTGACATGTCCTTCAATATTAGTGCATTTGTTATCTAAATTGTTAAGAGTATCTTTTACGCTTGTACTTGGATTTTCTAATGGTGCGCTTGAGCCGAGGTTATAGTTCAATATTATGTCATCTGCTCTAACAGTAGTGAAGGATTCATGTGTATGGTTCTTGTCTGCTTTACTATTTAATGTAGCTTGAAGTTCATTTATATCGGAGATATTATGTTTATGAGATTCCAAAACTTTGTTTGTTGCGTCAAGTTCATCTTTCTCTGCTTTATTCTTTATAGCATCTTCAACGGTTATTTTTCTACTTATTCTCAATGTAAATCTTGGTTCAACTAATACATCGTTAACAAAGAAACTAGAGGCATAAATTTCATTGTTATAACCAAATGCTTCTGGTGCTTTACCCGTGTCATACTGTACAGTACAGCGTATGTCATAACCTTCAGCACGAATGTATTTATATCTTCTTTCATTAACATCTTTTGTCTTCACTCTTTTTTCAGTTCGTGTTAAATATCCGTGGTAGTCCATTATAATTTGTTCATCTGAACTTACATAATGAACATGGTCTTTGTCTGCTTTTTCGGCTAATTTCTCTTCTATCTCATTTATTTCAAGTTCATGCCTACCACCACCTCCCGAAGAAGTATTTTTCTTCAGCTCTTGAAGAACGTCCACTTCGCCATCTTCGGTGTCAATAATGAGACTTTGAGTTAAAACCTTTCCTGTCTTAATGGATGTTTGTAAAACTTCTTCTTCGCCGTGTTCGGGGTCATGGTCGTCGTCATATCTTGTGAAATCAGAGATGTTGTCATACATTAAGCATATCTGTCTCAAAAGTTCTGCTATTTGGAATTGGAACGAAAGATATACAGAACTTTCATCATCCCCCAAAGTCAAGTCAGCTTTCTTAAGTATTTCTTGAATGTATGCAATGAGGACAGAGTATCTTGGAAAATATTCGAACAATATTTCATTTGCCGTTGGTTTTGGTGGATCCTCTGGAGTTTCTGTTGTTTCAGTTCCTTCTGTAGGTTCTGTTGGAGTTTCTGCATCTCTTGACTTCAATGCTCTTGCTCTCAAAGACCTAAATGTTAGAGCACCAGGCTTTACAAAGGACTTTATAAATGCTTTAATAGTTCCTGGTAAGTTATTGTTAGCATTAAGTAAGTTCCTTATGCTTCCATCATGTACGTCCATAGCACTATGTAAAAAATCTATACTTTTCTTGTAGTCAGCAATAGACTGACTGTGATTTTTTAAAGATTTGTCAATACCTTTAAGCCAATCTTCATGCATGTCTGATACTGAGCCAAGAATATCATTTGCTTCCTTTAGTGTATTTTGTGCTTCTCGTAAAGTATCCAATCCCGTACGTGCATTGTTTGCTATACGTCTTACAGTATCTATTTGACTCCTTGTTTCTTGCATCCAACCAGATAAAGTTTTAATAGTATCAGAACCATTTGAAATGAAGTTCAAAGCATCTTTGACGTCATCTAAAGCTTCTTCACCAAGTACATCCCATATCTTTCCGATTTGGTATTGAAGAACTCCATATGAACCAGCTGTTAAACCAGTATTTATAAGGTCCCATATCCATGATTTAGCAGTTTTTCCATCCTTTCCATCTTCACCATCCAAACCGTTTTCGCCTTGAGGTCCTTGTATTCCTTGTGGTCCTTGAGGTCCAATGTCACCCTTCTCTCCTTTCAGTTCATCTTTATGTTCGTTATAATATTCTAATGTCATAAGGTGTACATCATTACTGCTACCAGCAACGCCAAGAATTTGTTTCTCATTCATGACTAAATTCTTTAAGCATTTAATGTTGTCGTCAAATCGAAAGCTCTTTAGTAATTCAATGAGAACATTTAGTACTTTCACTAATGAGGCATCTACTGTTGAATTTATATATTGCACCGTTCCATCATTTATGATGGGAACCTTGCTTGTTGTAATGAATGGGTCATAAGTGTTAAAAGTATCGAAATCAATGACTTTTTTAGTTTTTCCATCGTCAATGACTAAATCATTGCCTTCAATGGTTAATGTTGAGTTTTCATTTACTAATTCGTGTGCTCTTCTTGCTTCATTTGTTTCATACGCATATGCAGCAATAGTCATATTTTAATGAGAATAAAATGTTGTTCTATTTGCAAAGTACAGACCCAAACGAATACGGGACAGTAAAGCTACAAACAAACTTAGGTCTTCAGAATGAAGCACTTGCTTTCAGAGTTGTTGACTTCAATACTATCGCAACTTTTGTCATAACAGATGAAACAGATTTCATAGAGATTGAAATAGATGACAAAAGAAGTGTTGTAACATTTCCTAACAGAGCCGAGTACAGAATAGATAAAATTGCTGGAGTCATAGATACTCTCATAAATGAAGAAACTATTGACAACATAGATGTCGAACTCTCTTCTGAGGGAACATTGAAGTTCAGCAGCGAGAAAGAGTTTAAGATACCAAGAATGAGTCATAGAGTACAACTTCTTTTGGGTGCATACCATATGACATTTCCTTTAAAAAGCGTTGGTGGAGTTATTGAGATGAAATCTGTTCCATATGTATGTTATGGCAATTGTTTGTACATTGAGTCTAAAATAGCTAATGTCACAGGCATTTCAGGAGTTAATAGTAAAGGTTCAGTAGAATATAAATCATTCTGTTATGAAGTAAATTCAATGTTCATTCCAAACGTTCCTGTCATAGCAACTCATTTAGGTAAATGGGTTCGCATTAGTCCTCATAATTTGAAAGACATGCAATTCAGACTTGTTGACTTTCAAGGAGAGCCTGTAGAACTGAAGGCACCAGTGCGAATGACTGTTGAAGTTGACTTTTTAGAAAATATTAAATGCGACGGCTTACAAGAGAACTCAGAGCTAAAAATATAAAGTATGAATGTTATGTATTAGGTCATGAACTTTGGTTGTTGCTGTTTGATGAAACAAATGAGTTAGTTATGTCAGTCAAGAGAACAGAAAAATATTGTGTTAGTGAAAACTGCACCAAGTCAATAAGATTAGGTTTGCAATATGAAGATGAGTTCGATACTGTTGAAGAAGTTTTGGATAGATATTACAAATTGCTAACTTGAAATTTTTTTGACTGACTGACTGCTTTAATTTACTAAAACATATTTCAAACAAAGTTTATATTCTGTTGAAAGTTTTGTATATTCGTTCGAATATCTATACTTAAACTCAACTCCTGGAGTACCTGGTGTTTCAATGATGCGGATGTTACCTATTTTCATGAATATTGGCGTTTGACCACAGCATTCGATTTCAGGGTCGAGATAGTCAATGACACATTGTTTCCCTGTTATTCGTGATATAACATTTTCAAGGTCCTCCTTTGTTAGAATTATTTGGTTCTTGCTTATAAGATTTGTCAAAAGCTTCTTATCGTCTTTGAGTAAGATAGTTTGATACAACTGAAGAAGGTAATGGTCTACGTTATCTGAAGAATTTGTTTGAACATTTGTGTAAGGGTTGTCGTTGGCTTCTCTTGAAAGAATTTGGTCCAGTGGTGGATACTCTAACTTAACATCTGATGTAGCGTTAGCGTTTGAAGCTGAGTTTAAATTCACCGACTTAAGTTCTGGTTCTTTTTCTTTCAAACACTCTGAACTATAGTTCTTTATGACAATATTGTTTGTCGTTCGTGAGTCAACATTTGATGTTGGTTCAATTGGAACATTAACGGCACCAGCTAAGATGGATTTGCTTCTCATTTCATATAGAATAAAAACCTTTTATATGTATGAAATGAACAATATACTCGACAAGGGTTTGAATGTAAAGCTAACGAATGAAAATATTGTTGAATTCACTGAGACAGGTGCTGTGTATAAAGATGTAGAACTACTGAACAAAAGAGCTAAGGGAAGAAGCAGGAACATGAACAAAGGGTGGAAGCCTATAAAAATTTATGTCAATGATGGCTCAGGAGGTTCAAACATAAAGTATGCAGAAAGTTATAGAGTTTATGCTCTCAAGGGAGAGAAGCCTTCATTTAAGAACAGCTATTCTAACACATATCCTCAAAAGCTAACGGATGGGGAAGTGGATGATATGAATGACAGCAAAAATATTAACAGAAATGGCGACAGAGATGCATGGAATTTGTTTACCATCAGTCAATTGAAGGTTAAACTTTAAAACAATGTTGGTCGTTCCCATGGAATATTTTTGACTTTAATGGTATTAGTCATGATATGAATCTCAAGGTATGAACGAGGAGAGATGAGAGACTTATATGCTTCCCAAATTTCTTCAAAAGGTAATGTTATACCTGACTGTTTCCAAATGAGTTCAATATCATAGCGTGAGAAACCTTGAAAGATAACGAAGTCAGTTATGAGACGTTTTATGTTTAAAGCAAGGAAACGCCATGTTTGCATAAGTATTGCTACAGTTAAGTGGTAATGTCTGACTTTAGTTATGATGTTAGCTAATGGTGAGTCAGGCTTTGACACTAAACCTTTTCCGGCGAAGTCGTCACAAACGAGCAAAGTGTTTGAAGGATACTTTTTGAAGGGGTATTTTGAAAGTTTTGATAGAATGTAGTTTGTAAGTCGTTTCATATCGTAAACTCCTGAGTATTGACGTAAGTGGTGTTTGTCAATAATTCTTTCCATCTCCTCAGAGGTCTTTTGCATTCCTGACTGTATAAATTCAACGATGGCATAATATTTCCTCTTACGTCGAATGTAACGTTGAAGAAATTCAATGAGTTCACTGTCTGGAACTTTAACGACAGAGGCTTGAACTTTTGACATAAATGTTTTCGCTGTTGAGTCCATAGAGTCTGAAGTTGCTGATATAATGATTTGGTCATAGTAAGAGTCGTTTCCTAAACGCTCTGTTATGAGTATATGACGAATGAGGTTAAATGTCTTTCCTGACCCCATCTTTCCACAATAGAAATAAACACCATTTGAACAGAACTCATAGTCCTTACTGAAAGGAAGAATAAGAGAACTGTTGAGCTTTTCACTGCTTTCATTCATGTCTTCATCTACGCCATGTATTAAATGCTTCATTTTATCTCCATTAAAAATGCAAGTCAGAAATATTCAGAACATAGCACCGAGTCTAACTGACAAGAGTATAAAGATATACTATGAACACGTTATGATGAAACCAACCAAAATTCAAGAAAGTCAGTATACTTATGAATATCCAAGACACTGGGTAGAGTATGTAGGAGGTGAGAAAGCTATTGAAATAAGACAAGTTAGAAGTATTCCAGCAGGAAGAACAATATTATTGAAGAACTTTAATGTTTTGAGGTATAATGATGAAACAAAGAAGCAAGATAGTTTTCCTGTTGCTGTGTATGTGAACCTAGACACAGGAGATGACATGAAAGTTTTTAACACAAAGCTTCAAACGGTAGTGAGAGAACAACTTACTGCGGAAGGACATCCATTACCTTCAGAAGTTACCATAGCATATAATTTTGAAACAAACTCAATAGATTTTAAAGTCGTCTCTGCAAAGAAGTCAGGTTTTACATTTAATGAAGCAGATGTATATTCGAATGAAAACTTCAAAGCTATTGCATGGTTAGATAATGACGATTGCTTTAAGAAAATATTTAAATTCAGTGACTCAAAGATGTCAATAGATGACCTTCGTGGAATGTTACCATCGACGTTTACAGTAGAAGGTTCAGCAGGATTGCTTACAAGATTGTCAATTGGTGGTATTTGGTTTCGTGAGAACATTGTTATAAAATCCAGTATAAGTGAATTTGCTGAAGAATCTATATTATGTCTTTCAAACTATATGTATTCGCCGCCGAAGCATTATAGTATAACAAACTTTGTCAGTAAGTTTAACATAAGACTTGTCGAACCTTCTTCAATGAAAGATGTTGTGCTACCTAAAGATGGAAAGGATGGACTCATTATTGAGATGATTTTAATAGCATATTAAATGAGCTTGTTCTTGAAGGTCATTCATGATGAAATAACTGTTGTAGAAGATGTTAGCAATTGTTCAGACATTTTGAAGCGAATAGATGAGATAAGAAAGAAGTTAGATAGACCGCAAAGCGGTGAGGGCGAAGCCCGTGAGAATGTTTATGTTTCATTGACTTTCTCCAGTAACGAGAACTTTTATGAGATAATATTGAAGAGAGATGATTTTAATATGGTGTAAATGGTAGCTTGGGCAGCTTTAGGCGCAATGGGAACAAAAGCATTAGCATTTGGAGCAAAAGCACTTGGAGCTTATGACGCAGTAAATAAAATGAGTGGAGGAAGAGTTTCGAAGACATTAGATGCAAATAAAGGGAAGATTGGAGGCTGGGTTGCAAAGAAGTTAAGATTAAATAAAATAGGGCTCATAAATAAAGCATCCAATTTGGTTGCGACTGAGTCAGAAAATGCTTTAGGAAAGGACGATGAGTTTGCAAAACACGCAAAAGACTTTAATGACCAGATGAAAGGTGAAACAATGCATTTAAAGAGAGTCGATGGAACTAAAGAAAATGTTTCTTCTCCACAACTTCCACCAGTAGTTCTTCCGTATGGTCCCTATGGAATGTATGGAAACCCTTACGAAAGACCATTTGACCCATTGACTGGTGGAAGTAATTGGTATCATTATGGACGAAGAAGAAAGACAGTCAAGTTGGAGACGGACGTAAAGAAAGCAACTAAAAAGAAACCAAGGAAGAGAGTTATAAAGCAATGAGAACGTTTATGTTATGAGAAATTTTTAACGTTAGTTTTATTTTTACTGAAAATTTTTATTTGGATGTAAATGACAGAACAAAAGCAACTCATTCGAATTCCACAGTATAACAAACATACATTTAAACATTTATTCTTCCTTCCCGAGCATAACATGTTCTTTACACTTCATCCTAGACCAGTTGACTATACATTGACTGTTTATAAAGATTGTCATGGTAGTTTTATAAAAACTTATGATGATGAAGGTAAGTTAACAAGACTATGCATTTCAAAACTTGAGAAACTTTATGACTTCAAGTATGACTACAATAGAGTTAACACTGACGATGAAGATATAGAAGAAAATTTATGAGAACGTTTATTTTTTCATTAGTGAGTTCGTTAGTGAAGTGAAGTGGTTGGCGGTTTTGTAAATATTTAAGGTTAAGTTAGTTTTTGCGTTCTTGTTGTAAAATGTACGTTAGTGGTTTTGTAAAGTGTCAAATTCACAAGTATTGGGTAAGGTGGAACGCAGTGCCACCATACCCAAGACTGGTGTACTAACTAAAGGCATCCTTTATCTGAAATAGATGCTTTTCCAACAATCAAATTCGAAGATCTTCGACGTTGTTGTAAAAAGAGAAGGAGAAGGAAAGAAGAGGAAGGAAAAGAAGAAGAAAAAAGAAAAAAAAGAAGGACATATTAAATATAATGCGCACTTAATAGTGCCGAGGCGGCGGAGCCGCCGAGGCGCGATTTTTTTGACCCTATATTATCGCACGGCAATGTTTTTCTCGATTTTGTACAGCCCTAGGGAAATCTAAAACTACATATTGACCATATATTTTTATTTGAAAATTAAGATTCATTACAAAAACTATAAACGCACTCATTCCATCTGCAAAAATCTTTCACTGATTACAAAATAAGCCTAATTCTCCACTATTGATGGTACGATGATGACGCATTTTTACATAAGGTCATAAATTATCATTTCACAAGTTGAGAAATATGTTACTCTCACATAGGAATTAATATCTTAACCGAAGATCAACACGATAAGAAAATTTTAAAACAATGAAATTTGAGGGAATAACTCAAATTTGAGCCAGATATAAAATATTATTTGGGAGAGATTTATTTCCCAGAGTAAGCAGAAATTTCAAAATTGCCGCCGATAATGCATCTACCAATTAGACTTCCATTGAAAAAAAGAAACTTCCATCAAATTTTAAAGAACGATCTCATCGTTCTTTTTCTGAACTATTTCGGAACATATAACATTGGAAAATATTTCATCGGGAATTTTAAAAATTTTCTATATAAACAATTTATCACAAATATTTTCTGAGAGTTGTGTTAAAATATAACTGCCGTTTTATCATAAAGATGGAAGTGGATAATCAATACAAGGACGAGTTAATTTCAGATAAGCCACCACCACCACCAACAGCAATTGATGCCTATGGTAATCCAGTTACTATATCCGATAATAAAACTCAAAATACCTCAGCTTTAGATCAATTTGAACACTTCGATGATTTAGATATGCAACAATACGATGTTGATATTCCTAAGAGACAAGGCTTTCTCCCAACACTATTCAATCTTATGAACTCCTTACTTGGAGCCGGCATTTTATCGGTTCCTAACACATTCGTTGATTCTGGTACAATAGTTTCAATATTTTTGCTTGTATTCATTGCAGCCTTATCATTTTATGCAACGTATATTGTTATTTCGCTTCAACAAAGTACTCGTGCAGAAAGTTTCGCAGATTTAGCCGAGAAAATACTAGGACACAAATGGACGATTGCACTCTCGATATTAACATTGTTGTTTTTGATCTCTATTCTACTTGCATATATCATGATTGCAGGAGACATCTTAATTTCATGGTTCAAGCTTGCAAAAGTCTATGCAGTAGAAAAATTTGGTTATCGTGCCATTCTCATGTTTATTTATGCCATGAGTATCCCAATTGCTCTGACTATCCCTAGAGACATCTCATTCCTCAAATTTTTCTCAGGTGCAAACGTTGCATTCGTTACATTCTTTGTTGTTGTCGTCGTATACAAGTCAGTTATGAATCTTTCGAAATCAAAGAAGATTAATGCAACCGTTAAACACTTTAAAGTAGATATGGACTTGTTTAACTCATTATCTATATACGCTCTTACATTTGCATTACCTTGCGTTGTGCTTCCTGTTGTAGCTCCTTACGAACCTTTAGTTAAAAAGAGAAGTGTTGCTTCTTTATCAGCAATCTCTTTAGTTCTTGCTATGGCCCTTGTTTCCTCTCTTTTCTGCTACTTTGATATGGGAAATATCATACAAGGAAACGTATTAAATACATATGGTGATGGAGAAATCATCATTATCATTACAAGAGGTGTGTTCTTCTTTGTTGTATCATTTGCTTATCCTCTTATCTCTCAATCAACACTTTCTATGCTGTCAACATTAATATTCAATCAAGCATCACATGCAACACTCGATAACAAGCAGAGATTAGCTGTTCTTGCTATAAATAATGGTATTCCATTGGTTATCGCTATGCTTGTAAAGAATATTAAACCAATTCTTGGAATCGGTGGTGCAATTGGTGGTTGCTTGGCCAATTTCTCATTCCCAGCATTAATGTACCTCAAATATACAGATCTTAAGCTATACCATTGGAAGAATATTTGCGCAATTTTGTTTGGATTGTTTGGAGTTGGATGCTGCATTCTTTCTACATATATAGCTGTTCAGAACGCTATTAAAGCGTTTTCTAAGTAATTTTATTTATAAAATATCGTATATTAGTATTATATCTCTATAAAATTCTAATTTTTTTTATAATCATACATAAATTAATGAACACCATTTCTATATTTCCTTCGTAAATGACCATTAGTATCAAGATATGGTTCATTTATAGGTTCAGTTTTTATTGGGACAGTAGTTTCAATAGGCGTTATTTGTGGTGTCATTAATGGTGACATTTCATTAGTGATACATGGAGTATGTATTGGAGTTATGTCTTCAGTTATAAATGGAGTCATATGAAATGTGGCATAATTAGTAATATATGGAGTAATATGCGGTGTATTTTCATTTGTATTGAATGGAGTTTTATGAGGCGTTTTTGCAGGAGCAGTTTTGAACTGATCACGATTAATTGGCTCAAAAACAATTGAAACTGATTCGTTCCTTGGGTAGGATATCTGAATACTTTCTTTTACTCTATCCTTGAAAGCATCATTTATAAAACAATCAAATGCCAAATTATTCGAATTTATTATTGAATTTCCACCTCTATACCTTGGATATATTAAGTTACAATGTTGAAATTCAAATGTGCAAAGAGTCCCAATAATAGGATTATTATTATAAAGCAAGTTGCAGTATTGAAAATGATGGTTACTCTAAGTGATTATTAGTTGACTTCCACTGTAAAGTGCCAAAAAATGGCAAAAAGTTCCAGTGTATTCTTTTATTAAACTATTATATGTCGTGAATTGTAGAGAAGTAAACTTACTTTCGCAAAAAGTAATATTAATGTTATTCTGAAGAATATTATTACAACGCATTGTATTTACACCACTGGTCCCTATATCAATGCGTCCACAATCAAAGATGTCTGAATAATTTATATTGAGTTCATTTGGTGTATCAACTGATATAAAGATACCTTTATCAGCATTCCCAATTATTGATAAGCTATATGCTTTAATGAAAGAAACTAAAACTTTATTTTCATTTCTAATAAAAACAGCACCAAAATCCTGGTTTGTAAATTTGCCAAATGTGCATTTAACAAGCTGATATGGCTCCTGTATTTTTTCATCATCGAAATAAATCGAAGAATTTCGAAAATCATAAAAGAAACAATCGTATGTCAAATACTGATCATCAATTTGATTCAAGACGTGCACTCCTTTGCATTCCGAAAGAAACCATAAATTCAATAAAAGCATTTGATGATGCTCAAATAATTCTATACCCATTCAATACTTTGAATATAAATTTCTTCCATATTAATTACTCTTAAACAAACTTATCCTTATAAATTAATTCATTTTAAGACTAAATATAAAATACCATTGTAGATATTTTTTTAAAAAAATCAATGTCAAATGACATAAAAATCGTGGTATTTTTTTTAATACATCAATGATGATGCTGAGATCAATTGAGATTGCAAATAAAGACTAACATATCAAAGTAATGAAACAGAACAAAAGTCATAATTTATTAATTAAATAATATCATTTGGAAGAATATATATAATTCCAAAGATATTTCAGTTATATGAAACCAATTTATAATGATTCTATATATAATTTACAAAATTAAACAATGAAATATAAAATTTGGTTTTTTTTTCTATTAAGTATTAAACATATTGTAGATATATTATATTTGGTCTACAATTGTCAATTTTATTGGCTGAATTTGATTTTCTTCAGCGAATTTTGCAAATTTCTTTGCATAATTATCATTTTCACAACAAATTCCAACAGAAACAATACTTGTTACATCAGGAATCATTTGAATTGTCGTAAACACGTCCTCTTCACCCAAATCCATCAAAAGATTAAGTGTTTCAACAACAATTTTTTCAATTTTGAAGTCAACAACAGCAGAATGAAAACTATATAAAATAGAAAGTCTCATTTCATTCCAAATGTGGTCATACAGTCTTCTGAAGTTATCTCCTTTTTCTGCAGCTTTGTATCTCTGCAACGTATCACAGCAGAACTCCCAGAAATCTGTTGAATGTTGTTCTGGAGGGTTTTGAACAACTAATCTGATTGTCCATATTAATGATCGAGTAAAAATTGGCATCAGACCGTTCTCTTCAAGACTATCGAAGTCACACATTGGAGCTATGAGATAGGAGAATCGTTTTAGAAAGAAACAAAGAAAATGCCAAAGAGATTTTTTCGGTGGAGAATAATTTGCAAGTAAAATAATTAAATTCATGATTACATTATCCAACAGTTCTTCAGAATCACTTCTATGAAACATTCTATCGAGAAACTGAACAGAAATCTCAAATGTTTCATCTCTGTTCATAAATATAGCTAAAACTGAATCAAATAGGCCAGGACTAAGGAAATTACGTAATGGAGCAATAGGTGCAAGCGCTGTTAGCACTGTAATTATTGAATATTGTATTTCTTCGAAAGGATATTCAATTACACATTTTTCTATACGATAAAATATAATTGGATAGATATTTTCGCATTGTATATTTGGAGTAACTGGCATTTTTGGATAATGATTTAAAAAATAAGCAACGATAAACAGACCATGATTAAAATTAGTGGGATGAATGCCTTCTTCAAAAAATTTGTTCCAGAATTCGGCAAAACGATCATAGTTTATTGTAATGTCGAGCAAATCAGCTACTCTACAGTTAAAATCTGTGATATCTCTTGAAATAAGCGCATGAAGTGTGTGTTCAGTTGAAAATTTTGGATTATTTGATATGTGTTCTTTTAGTTGGCTAATTAACTTATCTTGTTCTGTAAAAGATTTGCAATATTGCCCTTTTTCTATCAAATTCATATTCAATGTCACCTTTTAGGGACTTGAACCCCCAATCTTCTCCTTAGAAGGGAGACGCATTATCCGTTCTGCTACGAAGCTTCTCGAAAATTTTCGAAATTAAAGCATTTTTGATATGTTATCAGCACTTTTCTATATTCACTATTGTGACGATCAAGATCCATTCAATTGAATGATGTGATGTACTTGAATTGATTTAATGGATACAAAAGAGGTTTTTCTTAAAGTGTTCAAGAGTTATGGAGTTAATAACCGCTGTCTTATATTGGATGATTTTGAATGTTCTTGGGCTTCATTCTCAATTTCAAAGATATTTTGAGCTTCAAAGGCCATGAGATTTTTAGTCTGTGGGAACTATTACTATTTAATAGATTCTACAAATTAAATGATGATGATATTACACTTTTAGGAAAAATAGGAATAAAACTATTTCTTGAAGATTATTCATATGGTGCATTTCAAGCAATTCACCATTCTTTTGCTAATAGAGTATCATTCATACTTGATGGAATTATTTTAGATTATGCAAAATTACATAATGCAAGCAATGAAGTAATTAATTCAATTCAAGAACTTGCAAATGGAATGAAATATTCAGATGATTCCAAATTTAGGGATAGATGGATTCCAAAAAAACAAATATCTTTTTTTCCCCATTTATTAACTATCGAACAGGAAACTATACTCCAACTACCAAAAATTCTCTAGAAGAGCTTGGACTTGAAGAGCTCCATGTTGTCAACTGCCGTTGGTCCAAGCAAAAGATCTAATTTTTTTTAAACATCTTTATATTTACCTTCTACTTAGATTTTGTAACAACCTTATACTCCTCCAAAGTTCTTTCAAGTTCATTGAAAGGGAGGAAAAACATTTCAGATGAGAAATAAAAAAAATGACAAAAAAATTAATATGAAAAACTATCCTGATTATTTTCAAAAAATAGTATGTGATGTCCGCTATGAAAATAATCAGAATCAGTTAGTTTTTCATCTCCCAAAAGTATCTCAAAGTATTGCGCTTAGTTTTTGCAATGATTTGACTTTGCAATTCCCGATTTCAAATACATCGATTCCAAATACTGTTAAGTTAATTGATATTCTATTAGTTCTAAATTCCGCATTATTTGGTAAGCTGAAACACAATTTTGATCCTCAATCAAATCTTAATATCGTAATTAACGTTTCATTTTTCATGAACTGCTCTAAACAATTGCTTACAAGATTAGATGCATTACAAATATTCTTATCAGAAATCATGAACAAGCTTTCACAAGGAGATACAAATATTACTTCTTTAGCCAATTCAATTGTCTCACTTTTGAATCCAATAATCGCATTCTCAAACTCACTTGATATCATTTCTCAGCACATTATTGATCTAGTTGAAATAGAACCTCTTTCTCCAGATTTTGTCAAAATTGCATCAGCAATATCTGAGATAATTGAAGCCTTGAACTCAATCTACAGTAATAGTACTGATGGAATGTATGTCGAAACTCAACAAGAAAAGCTTTCTACACATTATTCTTATGTTATTGACTCATTAAATCAATATATTCCATATTTGAAGCAAATTACACAACAACTCTTGGACCAGTTCCAAGATATTACAATCAAAGACGTTTTTCAGCCAATGTTTAAATTTTATCAAAAACAAATCGACGAAATTACGGAAATGATCTTTATCTGCATAGATATAGTCAGAAACGATTACGAAAATTATGACAGAACAATTGCAACAATGACAAAAACTGTAGAAAAAATATTACACGAATTACCATTTATTTTCCAAGTTTTCTACGAAAAAAAGTTACCAAAACAAGTCAAAACACACTTTGAAGATTACCAATACGTCTATTCTGACTTAATTTCACCTTTTATCTCACAAATTATCGAATCTTCTGAAAAAACACCGGCAGACTTCAACGCTTTATTTATTTCGAAGCTCAAAGACTCCCTCAAGGTCTACAATGGCTTAATTCTTACTTTTCCTTCGTTATTTGAAGGATTAGATGATGGATTTCCCCAATTAGCTGTTTTAAACATCCAACCGTCAGAATTCCTTAAAGACAGCAAGATAGACATCATTCTCCCTGTCTTACAACCTGCTCTCACCGCTGCTCACGCTTTAATTGAAACCGACCAAAGTTTTTCTGAAGTTTACAAAATTTTGGAGTCACTTTTTCAGCAACAACCTTCTTTTCAGGAAGAAATTGAGAACATTATTCCGGACCAAACTGACGATGGTATTATTTTACTGATGGGAGCTCGCGATGCAGTTCTAAACAGTTTCACAGCGATTGTAAGCTCAGTTCGTGATTATTCCGTATCTCAAACTGATTTAGCCATGAGATCGAGACTTGCATCGAACGTTTGCAGGCTGATTGCATCGCTTATCAGTATATCCACACATCCATCGATGTTTGAGTACATTATTGAGACATTATTACTATGTTCCAAATGGATGAGGGAATATCTATCATCAAACCAAGAAGAATACATGAAAGCAGCATCAGCAAGTCGATCCCTCATCTTTGATTCCAATGATGCCGTTCAAGTTCTTCCGAAATTAGCTCAATTACTAAATATGGTCCAATTGGCAACGAATGAGACAGCAACGAAGCTCAAAGATGACGTAGAAGCAATACCTACTGTCATCTGTCACGGAGCTGTCCTCAGTTCTATGATGGACGCTTATGATTTCACAGTTCAAAAAGCAACTTCAGATGATTTGGTCAAACCATTGATAGAAAAGGCAATTGAACAAGCCTTTCCTCTCCACAACTTCGTATCTGTCTCGAGAACCCTTGTTTGGCTCCTCCTTCACTCGGAAACATCGACATTATCAACATTATTATCAAATGTTGAGTCTTTGCATGTCAAATCGCTTGGAAAGGTTATGAATGTTAACAAGGATATTATAAAGGCTCTTGATATTTACAAAACATCAAGATCTACTTCGAATTTGGATTATTCCAAATTATTATCAAGTCTTAAGAAGTATTTAGAGGTTTCAAATGAGTTTATTAATGATTTGAATGGTGCTAGTAAGAGTTTGGGCGAGTTCTTCCTTAAGGATAAAGAAAAAATTTTATTTACTGTTGAATTAGTCGAAGGATCAACAAAAATCATCCCAATACCAAACAAGAATGTCACAGGAATTCTTTTGCATGGACTTTCGAAGCTTGCAAGAGCTCAAATAAAGGAAATGAACACAATGTTGGACCAATTACCAGATAGAGCACTTCTTCAATCAATTTCATTGACATTTTATCTTAATACTATTTATGAGATACTTGTTTATTCAAATGAACCAAAATTTGCCCAAAAAGCCGAAGATATCGAAAAATCTAGGGTCGAAATCGTCAGAGTTTCATCAGATGCAGCATGCGGAGACTACAGCAATGTACAACAGATCAAGGATGACCTTCAGGAACTCGATAGAAAACTAATTTTCGAAGATGAAATCGATTCTGACATAAAAGCATGTTTATCCATTCGTTACATGAGTGCCATTGGCATTGACCATATCCAAACAACAGAGTTATTCAAGAAAGAACAGAAAAATCTTGAATTAACAATAACTCATGAAGAAATGAACGAAGAACAAGAAGATGAAGATCCAGAAATCAACAACGAACAAGACACAGACGAATACGGTCAGAGAGATCCAATAAATATTGATACAATTCAAGTATTTGGAGATTCTTTAGTTTTCCCAGCATTTAAACTCATTCCTGTTGCTTTTAACCCTCAGTCATCCGATGAATCCAAATCCAACTACAAATCCTACATAGATGAAGAGCCAATCCACGAAGCCAACTATAATTTGGTTGATTTCAAACAACCAGAGCCAACAATACACTTTACAGCACCTCCATGGCCACCAGTTGAAGAAACCACTGAAGAACAGGTCGAAGAGAAAGAAATTGAAGTAGAAGTTGAAATTTATCCGTTTGAAGAGGAAGAAGACCACAAATACGAGATGGATTCCGACTACATAGAGAAGTTCATTCACAAGAGAATGAGAAGAGATGACAGTTCATTTGATTCTTTGGATTATTCTTCTTCTATGGCAACAACTGACTTATCCAAGAAGAATTTGACTTCTTCGTTCTCAATGCCTGAAATAGATGATGACGAAAACATGCCTTCTTCATTAATTGTTCCAACACAAGTTGAATTAACTCCAATTGGAGCTTCTGACGAAAATAAATCATCAATTCCAAAGATTCCAACTGTCACTGTATCAAGGGAACAGTTCATTCAGTCAGAACCAATCAAAGAAGAGCCAAAACATCAATTACCACAAATGCCTCCAATCCAAATCGAACAAGAACCAATTAAAGTCGAAGAGAAACAAAAACCATCAGTTCCTACTTTCCCTACAATGCCTCCAATTCAAGAACCTGTTAAAGAACAACCAAAACCACAAATGCCTCAGATGCCTCCTATTCAACCAGAGAAAGCGAAAGAAGAAAGAAAACCATCAGTTCCATCATTCCCAACAATGCCTCCAATGCCAGTTATTCCACAACCAGAACCAGTCAAAGAACAGCCAAAACCACAAATGCCTGTAATGCCTCCTCTTCAACCGGAACCAAAACCATCAATGCCTCCAATGAATATGACACAAGAGAAATCACAAACAATGCCTGTAATGCCTCCATTACAACCGGAGAAAGCGAAAGAAGAAAGAAAACCATCAATGCCTTCAATGCCTCAGATGCCACAACTTCCGCCAATGACTCCTCCAACTGTGAATCAGTCAAGAGCACAAACGATGCCTTCTCCACAACAAAAACAACCGGAAATGCCAAATTTGGCAGAAGCTCTCGCTCTTTCTAATACATTGGCTCTTTCAGACAAGAAAGCTCCACAGATGCCTAAGAAGAAGAAAGAAGATGACGACGAAATTGACGAGAATAAGATGAAGAACTTATCTCCACAACAAAAACAAAAAATTGAACAAATTAAAAATGTTAAATTCCAGGCAGATGTCGCTGATAATATACTCATGGCGTTCAATCCTTCTAACCCCCATGCTGTATTGAAAATGCTCAACGAAGCACTTGGAAAACTCGATGAAGAAACAAGGAAACTTGAAGGTCTTTACTAATTAGTAATTTTTTTAAGTTTTGAAGTAAAAATTTTGGTTTTAATTATTTTGCAAATGACATAAATTTTTATAAATAAACTAATCATCATATAAAAGAGATTGAATTTTTATTATTTTCATTTCCTTGTCTATATAAACTCCATCAAGTAAAATTGCTGTAATTCATTCGTAAAATCGATTTGTCCTCTAGATTATTGATTTTTAGGTATAATTATTATTAAATTCATTTGAAATTATAATTTTAATATAAAAATAGTTAAATTAAAAGCTTTTAGAAGTAATAATATCAGTGGAAATAGTTATACATATACTTTACAATGTAATAAAATTTTTCGGAAAAAATCAAAAAAATTTAATGGCGTGGTCTAACTGATTCGATGAGTTTGGATATAGCAGTAACATTTTCCTGAGAACCGGCGATCAATTGGATTTTATTTTCGTGTAATTTTTGTTTTGTAAGTGGTTCTCCGTAGTAATCAGTAACAACACCACCAGCTTCACTAATAATGATCCAACCAGCGCAGATATCCCAGATATGTGGTCCGTTCTCCCAATAAGCGTCAAGTCTTGAAGCTCCTACGTAGCAAAGGTCCAAAGCAGCGCTACCACATCTACGGATGCATCTTACCTTTGGCAAAACAGCTGACAATTCCTTGATGTTGTTGTCTGGGTTAGAAACATGATCTGGATGGAAACCAGTAGCAACTAAGCAGTTGATTAAATCCGCTTTATGGCGGCAGTGTAATTGAATTGTCTTGCCCTTGGCATCAAGGAAAGCTCCTTTTCCTTTAATTGCCCAAAACATTTCGTCACGGCTTGGATCGTAGACACAACCGCCGATTGGTTGGTGCTCTGAGTCTAAAATGCCGATGCTTACTGCGAAAATTGGAAGGCCACATGAGAAATTCGTTGTGCCATCTAATGGATCAGCGCAAAACCAGACTTCTTCCTTTCCTGGGTTTTGTGGAAGGATGTCCTTGCCTTCTTCTGTAATCATACCGGCTTGTGGGAAGTGTTTCTTGATCTGTTCGCGAATGTGGGCATCACTTTCGAGGTCTGCTTGTGTAACAATGTCTGCACAAGTGGCTTTTGTCTGTTCTGTGAAGTCTTGAGCGTAGAAATGCTTCATAATGATTTCGCCTGATTCGCGGGCAATCTGTTTGATCACTTTAACAGCTTCTTCGATGGAAAACATCGTAAATTTATGAAGTGACTAAATTGTTTTTATAGTTTTTATTTCAATTTTTTGAGAATAAAACGATGGGTCTGTTTTCATTTTAGCAATATTTTAATTTACGCTAAAGTATAACCGAATTATAAATGGCCGTAATGTAAAGAATTTTTCTGAAGTTAGCCTTATTAATCAATTTTTGAGCGACTTTAAATAATGAAAATAGATCAACAATATCTCAAAAATGGTTTTTATAGGTGTAATTTTTTGAAAATGAACAAATTTAAGCGGAAAAGGATAAATCATGAAGATAAGCATTGTTTTTTTTTTCACTTATATAGAGATCACAAGTTATATCATACTTATCTTCTTAGTCAGTTATTTATCAATTCATTTTTATATGAAAAATGAATGAGATACGAATAAAATTACTGACATTTATACTTACAGCATGCGCTTGACTACAGCTTAAGGATGGCAAAACTATATATTTTGGCTGGGAAGGATTTTAATGTTGGCATTTTTTTGTAGCTTCTCCTTTGATGAAATCCTAAAATTAATTTAAATACAGTATACAAATATAATATAGATTTAGGATCTTTCTCAGAAATAAGTTTGAATATAACGATAGACATTATTTTTGATTATAATGGCAGAGCTCGAAGATGATCATCGTTTATACAATGAGCTTACAGAAAGATATAAGTCATACCAAGAAAATTTTTCATCATTCATGTGTATAAAAACAACAAACATTGAAGAAATTCAAAAAATTTATCAGAAGATTAAAACGAATTTACTTGACACAAATATATTTTCAGTGAAAAGAATATACAGTTTGATTTGTCTCATTTATAGATATAATAATCGATATTTAAAATCATATTGGACGATTTTTAAATTACTTTATGAAGAATATCACGTAGAACCAGATTTCAGTGACCATAGAATTTTGGATTACTTCTTTCATAAAGAATACAACTTACCTGTTGATTCATTCCACAAAAAACTTTTCCAAAATTATGAAACTGCAAATTATTCAATGGATATCCATGAAAGGAATACAATTTACAGATCTATTATGGAAGATGACCAAGCTTCTTTTGTCAGATTCATAGAAGAAGAAACATTCAATAAAGATCAACGTCTCAAAAGTGAATTATATCCAGAATCAAGTAATGGATTGTCACTTCTTGAATTATGCTGCTATCATGGATCAATTGGTTGTTTTAAGCTGTTAGAAACAAAATTTAATTCAGTAACTACGCGAAGATGCCTTCAATTATCGTTTTTAGGAGGAAATCCTGGCATCATTAACGAATATTTGAAAGAACAAGAGCCAGATAGAGAATGCATGCAATATGCAATTATTTCATACAACATTGATTTCATTTCTTTTTTGAAGAATGAACATGAAATTGATATTGATTTAAATGTTTGTGTTCAAGCTCTAAATCTACAAGCTTTCTTTATTGACCTTGATATGACAAAAGACTTTCAGAAAAGTTTTATTTATTCTCCTGGTTTTTCACTTCTTTCGCTTGTTGAATATTTAATATCAAACTGTCAAGATATCAATGCTCGAGAGATTAAAGGCTCAGCAGCTATTCATTTCGCTGTACAATCTGATTGCAAAGAAATATTAAAATTTCTTATTTTGAATGGAGCTTTTATTAATTCTCAGAACAATGATGGAACTACCCCGCTTCATCTTGCTGTTTATAGAAACAATATAGAATTTGTAAAAATTCTTATTTTACATGGTGCAGATATTAAGGCTCGTCGCATTGATGGAGTTACTCCACTTTATTTAGCAGCAAGATACAACTGTATAGAAATAGCAAAACTCCTTTTTTCTAACTCTGCAGATATTGGCGCTAAATCCAATGATGGAAGATCTGCACTTCATATTGCAGCTGGCTATGCTGATTTAGATATTGTTGAACTTCTATTAATTCATGGTGCAAACGTTAATGAAAAAAAATCCTGTAGATGGAAATACTCCTCTTCATTATGCAGCACTCTTTAATCGTATAGAAACCGCTAAATTTCTTATTTCATATGGTGCTGATATTAATGCAAAAGGTAAAAATGGAAATTATGTTCTTAATGCTGCATGTGAAAATGCAAATAAGGAATTTGTAGAACTTCTTATATCATACGGAGTAGATATTAATGCAAAAAATTCATCTGGGTCTACTGCTCTTCAATTTGCATCTAGTGTAAAAAGTAAAGAAATAGCAGAACTTCTTATTTTACATGGAATAAATGTCAATGAAAAAGGCGATGGTATGATGACTGCTCTTCATTATGCAGCTGAAGCTAATGGTGCAGAATTAATAGAATTGCTTATTTTATATGGCGCAGATATCAATGCAAAGGACATTAATGAGAACATCCCTCTTGTATATGCAATAAAAGGTAAAGCTAGAGAATCAATAGAAATTTTATTATTACACGGGGCAGATATTGAAGCTAAAAACAATATAGGAGCGACTCCTCTATTTTTTGCAACTATTATGAGCTCTAAAGAAATTGTCGAACTTCTTTTATCACATGGTGCAGATGTAAATTATCAGGATATAAATAATGGATTTACTGCTCTTCATTACGCATTAAATCACAATAGGACAGAAATAATAAAGTTATTAATTTTACACGGTGCTAACGTTAACTCTAAAAATTCTTCTGGAGGAACTCCTCTTCATTTTGCAGCAGATAATAATTGTAAAGAAATTATAGAACTTCTTCTTACATCTGGTGCAAATATTGATGATAAATCTAATTCCGGCCACACAGCTCTTCATGTTGCAGCAACGAAGGGCTATATAGAAATTGCAGAAACACTTATTTTGCATGGTGCCAATGTTAATGAAAAATCTACTAATGGGTTGACAGCTCTGCATATTGCTTCAGATAAAAATTGTCAAGAAATCGTAATAATGCTAATTTCTCATGGAGCAGATATTAATGAAAAAAGTTTAAATGGATGGACAGCTCTTCATTTTGCATCCCAAAGAAATTACCAAGAAATAGTAAAATTGTTAATTTCTAATGGAGCAGATATTAACGCAAAAAACAAAGATGGGTCCACTGCAATCAATTTGGCTGTATACAAAGGCTTTAAAAACTTAGTAGAATTGCTAATTTCACATGGAGCAAGCGTTAATGAAAAAGACTTTGATGGAATAACAGCTCTTCAAGCTGCTGCATATTATAATAACGTAGAAATAACAAAAATTCTTATTTCACATGGTGCGAATCTAAATGAAAAAGATAAAAACGGTAAGACTGCTCTTCATTATGGTTCAGAGAAAAACAGCAAGGAAGCAGTTGAAATTCTTATTTCTAATGGCGCAAACATAAATGAAAAAGATAATGATGGAAGAACTGTTTTTGATTATGCAACCAAGAATAACAGCCAAGATGTATTGGAACTTCTTAATTCTCAAGCTTTTCATATTGAAACTAAATAGTTTTTATGATTTATATTATAAAATCGGTATATTTCATCAAATCTCACATGACAGTATAGACTAAATGAATAGAATTTATTTTAATGCAGATCTGTAATAATATTTTGACTTGGCATTACCTATATAAAAAATTGTTGACGACTAGAATGAGATGATGATTTCAATTTTGCCTTCGATTTCTTCTTTGATGTAGAATGATTTATAGGAGATGCTATAGTATCGCCTTTCTTTGACGATTTCGTTGGATTACTGGATTTGGAAGATTTTCTTGAAATTTTTTGATTGTATGTTTTATTTTACTGTTTTGGGAGCCGCTTTTGAAACCAATTGGGATATCAACAGTAAGAAATACAGTAGCGAGCTCCTAGACTTTGCGTTCTTGAAAGGTGGAACCTTTAGCGTTGATTTTTTCGGAAATAACATTATGAATACTGTGATTGTATTATTTAATCATACGTACCATTATGAACACAGAAATGTTTTAAAACACCAATTAGGTTTTTGTTGGGGAAATAAAACTAATAGCGATTTTTTGCAATACCGAGTAAAATCATTCGAATACGATAGATGGAATATTACAATTAACAAAAGTGATATATACCATCCGATTATTTATAACTGTCCTAAGAAAAAAATTCGATTTTTAGTTACTTATTCGAATCCTCAATCATATTTAGATGGAAGAAAAATACAGATACCACATATCGCTTTAGCATTCTCAGTAGCTTATATAATTCTGACTTTTTTATGGATTTCAAATTTTTTCAAATATCCAAAAATTAATATCCTATTAACTTATTGTTTATCAGCAGTTACAGCCCTCAAAGCAGTTTCTATAGCTCTAGTCGCATTATATTGGATAGAAAAATCAGAAAGAAAAAATCCTCGAAAATTTTTTGATATTTATTATTATATTGATGCTTTTATCACTGCAAACATTTATATATTTAATGCTCTGGCAACGCAAGGATTCGGAACAGTCAAACCATTCTTTAAAATGGAAGATTATTATCGAATCAGCACAATACTTATTTATACTATTCTCTCAACGCCATCATTGAATACAACGAAGATGTATGTTTATAGAATTTATATTTTCATCAGATTAGCGACTATCTTAAGTTATTCTTCGTATGTAGTGGCCGCAAAAGATGCTTTCTCTAAAGTTTACCAAAAATTTTATAATATAGAGTTAATAGCACTTAAATGCAAGCATGTTCAGAAATTTATCCTAATTCATATAAATACTTGCATGCTCCTCACTGGTTTTATGCTTATTTCGTTTTTTGCTAGAAACCAAGCTTGCATACAGTTTGCTTGTGATGAAATATTAGTATTTTTAGTTTTGTATGTTGATTACGTTTATTTTAAAATTAGGGATGAATACATACGTCCTGTTCAGGAGATAGACTACGATAGTACATCATATTATGAATTTCCTTTAGGGGATGAGTTTGATTTGTTACAACTACAAGATATCCCCATCGAATGACTTATTTATATCTTTGTTTGAAATATCATGTAAATTGTCTGTTTATTGTTATCAATATTAACTCTATATTAAGAATATTGTTTTCAAAATATATGAAAATATTTTTGTCCGCTTGTATCTTCGGTGGATTAATATTACATGTTAATAGCATAAATAGAGTGCTTTGCATTTACGATTCCCAAATATTCCATAATCAATAGATATCTGAAATATAATGAAAAGAAATGAATTGGTGTGAAAATCTAGAACCAATGCAAATGTATAAAATGGAATATGAAATTAATAAGCGCCAGATTAGAATTGAATGCATCCGCTAATTTTGATTTTGAAGCAATATTATGATTCACATATTCAGCAACATGAACTGTGAAAGTTCGATCAAAGCCCCACAAAAATTTTCAGATCCACAGTCTCAGAATTTTCAATGAGATATGGTGAGTAAAGCACATATTATATAAATCACATAAACCGTTGATTTTACATAGAAATTTCTTTTTGCCTATCAGAGAAAGGAAATTTTTATGAATGATAATTTTTTTATGTGCACCTTTTGAAAGTGCAACAAAAAATTTGTTAAAAATAAATGTCTGTTATAATGCATTGGACAAGTTTTTCAAAATCTTAGATTTGTCAAATTTTGTACGAGTAGGGGTAATTTTAGCTAAAAGTGACACGCCTGCAAAAAGTGACACACTCATGAAGGGTGTGATTACCGATCGGTAATTTCGACAGTTTAGAATTTAAAATTTTTTATGGAACTGTTGCGAGTTTCATAAAGAATTTAAGGAATATAAGCAAAGATTTGAATCAAAATCTTAGACCTAAGCCGCTCGATTCGCTCGCGGCTTCCGCGAATTACAGATCAGCAAAGATTTGAATCAAAATCTTCGAACTAAGCCGATCGCTTCGCTCGCGGCTTTCTTTATTATTTTAAATTTGCATATTTCCATCAAAAGTTCATAAGGTAAAAAATTTCGTTTATATTATTGCAAAATAAAATCTTCATTATCAAAATAATATTAAATGATAATATAATATAATTTATAAACAACTATTATTTAATAAAGTTTAATTGCCAGGTTCATCTAATTTTTTGATTTTTAATGTTTTATGAATTTTATTTATCATGTATATATCTAATGAAGATTATATATGTAGAAGATAAGTACCTTAATATGTACGTAAAAATTAATGAAATTTATTTTGAATGTAGAACCGAGCAATTTTCAAATTTTGTGCTTTTTTTGAATTTTCTCGATACCAGATAAGTTGTGTTGGCTAAATAATATATGGATACAATGTGTCTTATAGATGAATATATGCACAAAGTTTAAGAGGCCATTTTCTTTCAGAAACCGAGATTTGTGAATTTTTTCAAATTTTGTGCTTTTTTTGATATTGAAATTTCATTTCATTTTTTTGATGCATATCGATGCACCATGCGAACTTAAAGAAAGGCTATCTTATATAGATGCTATGAAAGCTGTCATTGACAACGAATGCCATGCAGGTTGTCCATATCAATAAAAAAAAATCCAAATTTAGGGGGAACAAAATTAAAATTCAGGTGCAGTGCAGATAAATGTGAAGCATGTATCTCATTTCTAAAGGATGATGAAGAATATATCCTAACAGAATATAATGGAACACATAATCACAATCAAATCAAAGATGAGACAAAGAAATACCACACATTATCACAATGCTATCGTCGGGTACTTATTAATTTTATAAAACAGGGGGGTGATCCGAAAATGGCTCAAATTGAATGCGACAAAAAACTTGATCTGGATGATCCACTTAACAGGCCATCTTTTTTGAATGCATCTTCAGATCAAATGAAAACAATTCAGGAAAAAGGAAATAAAAAGATCAAAGGTATTCAAAAGTACGATGATAATCAATTCAAGTCAACTCAATTATTTAAGGGTATCAAAGAACAAGAGTCACCAAAAGATTTAATTTATTTCGATGTCGATAATTACAACAAACCAAAGAAATTAATCTTTTATTATGCTTCTTTCAAATTTCTGGACATAATCAAAATTGTGAAAGAGCATTTTATTGATGCAACCCATTCATTACTTGAATTTAAAATGTTGTTTTACATGATATCAGCCAAATTTCCAAATACACATGCATTCCCAATTTTTCAATTTGTCGTTTATCCAAACACTTCAGAAAATATTGCATTCTGTCTCAAGGCATTTTTAACTGGGCAAAAGTAAAACCAAAATATTTTATGTCAGATTGTGCACAAGAAATCGAAAATGCGATTATCAACTCTTTTCCAGAAGTTATCCTTCATTGGTGTGCAGTTCATGTAAGGCAAACCCAAATTTTAGCTAAAAGTGACAGGGGAAAAAACGTTTAGTATTAAAAAAAAGACCGATGAGAGCTTCGTTCGAAATATAGAGGGAACTGAGAATGCGCAACCATTCTCAGGGAATATTGGATGCTATTCCCGTTCCCTCTGTATGGAAAATTGAGGTTTTCAAAGGGAGTTAAAATAATATCAAATTTATACTAATTTACTTCAAAATACAAAAGTATTTGACAGCTAAAATTAGTTACTTTAGCAAGCCTATCAATACCCTTTTACGATTATTGCTACTTTTTCGAAATAAAAGTAAAAACAAATTTATACTAATTTACTTCAAAATACAAAGTATTTGACAGCTAAAATTAGTTACTTTAGCAAGCCTATCAATACCCTTTTACGATTATTGCTACTTTTTCGAAATAAAAGTAAAAACAAATTTATACTAATTTACTTCAAAATACAAAAGTATTTGACAGCTAAAATTAGTTACTTTAGCAAGCCTATCAATACCCTTTTACGATTATTGCTACTTTTTCGTAATAAAATAAATTTATTATCAAAAACCTTTTTTTCTTAGTAAAAATAAACGAAATTTTTTACCTTATGAACTTTTGATGGAAATATGCAAATTTAAAATAATAAAGAAAGCCGCGAGCGAAGCGATCGGCTTAGTTCGAAGATTTTGATTCAAATCTTTGCTGATCTGTAATTCGCGGAAGCCGCGAGCGAATCGAGCGGCTTAGGTCTAAGATTTTGATTCAAATCTTTGCTTATATTCCTTAAATTCTTTATGAAACTCGCAACAGTTCCATAAAAAATTTTAAATTCTAAACTGTCGAAATTACCGATCGGTAATCACACCCTTCATGAGTGTGTCACTTTTTGCAGGCGTGTCACTTTTAGCTAAAATTACCCCTACTCGTTCATGTAATGAGGGCGTTCAGAAAAAATTTGAAAGATTATGCATTTGAGAGTTCAGACAAATTGATATTAGATACAAAAATGAACTATCTTGCATACGGCAGAAATGGCAAGAAAGAATGGATTGAACCAACGTTCAAAAAAATTCTGGAAATAGCCGAAAAATTCCCAGAATTTTCAAAATACATACAAAATCAATGGATATCAAACCAAGAAAGATGGACAGCCGCTGAAAGAGATGAAAATTTAGCTCTCACAAATAACATTTCAGAATCGATTAACAAAAAAATTAAATATTACTAATTTGGCGGAACAATTTTCATGAGATTTGATCGATTTGTGATGAAATTAATCGATTTTATTGTTCCTTCATTTTATTACAGAATTTCTCAAGATATAAGGCTCAGAGACAAAATTCCAAATCCGTTGCCATCTGAAAAAAAGCCAAAAAAGTCTACAATCAGACTGGATACAGAAAAATGTATAATGCTCACTGATAAAATTAAATCGTTAATAGTTAACTCATCAGCAAACTTAAATACGCTTCAATTGGGTTTAGATGACCTACTTGATAAAGTTGTCAAGGCAGCAAAGGTTCAAAAACGAATGACCCAGTATTTTTCGAAATTAAGTATCCCAATGGAAATCAAGCTTAGTATTCTCACGCAAATTACAGAATTTGGATGCAATACCCCTCAATTCATTGTTGAGAATGCCAAGTCTTTTCAAGATAAAATTATTACAGATTTCCACCTTCAAATTTATACAACATTATAAAAATTTATGAATAAAAACTTGATATAAAATAACATTTTTATTTTTACTAAGAAAAATAAGTTTTTTGATAATAAATTTATTTTATTACGAAAAAGTAGCAATAATCGTAAAAGGGTATTGATAGGCTTGCTAAAGTAACTAATTTTAGCTGTCAAATACTTTTGTATTTTGAAGTAAATTAGTATAAATTTGTTTACTTTTAATTTCGAAAAAGTAATAATCGTAAAAGGGTATTGATAGGCTTGCTAAAGTAACTAATTTTAGCTGTCAAATACTTTTGTATTTTGAAGTAAATTAGTATAAATTTGTTTTTACTTTTATTTCGAAAAAGTAGCAATAATCGTAAAAGGGTATTGATAGGCTTGCTAAAGTAACTAATTTTAGCTGTCAAATACTTTTGTATTTTGAAGTAAATTAGTATAAATTTGATATTATTTTAACTCCCTTTGAAAACCTCAATTTTCCATACAGAGGGAACGGGAATAGCATCCAATATTCCCTGAGAATGGTTGCGCATTCTCAGTTCCCTCTATATTTCGAACGAAGCTCTCATCGGTCTTTTTTTTAATACTAAACGTTTTTTTCCCTGTCACTTTTAGCTAAAATTTGGGTTTGCCAATTTTGTACACACCCCCCGAAAAAAAAAATGAATGAGGTAAGTAAAACAGTCGCCCAGCATGCGAGTGCTTTAAAGCAGACACTCTTTGCTGTAGGCAAGTCATTTAAAAATGTCGTCGTCCACAAAAGCAAGCTTGGAACATTTAATTCAGAGTTAAGTGCATTCTACAAATCTATTCTTAAAACTTCATTTTCCAACTCACTTGCCGATCAAACGACGGCTGACTTCTTCACCGCCTTGATTAATGAAATAAATTTAGTGAAAATTCTTTTCGAAAGTTTAACTGAGAAAACTTTCGTTTCCACGACAACAAATAACAAATTAGACTATGTAAAAGCATTCCTTCAAGAAACCAGTAAGAATATTAACCAATACGCGATGCAACTTCAATTAGTACCAAATCCACCTTTGTCCGACAATATTCCTAACTATGTTGAGAACGAGAAGGAAGATTGCAAGGCCCTCATATCGGCTCTTAACAGTTATGCAACAAGTAACACTGTACAACAAACAATGGCAAATTTAAGGCTTTTCATGTCGAATTTAGACGAAGATCAGAACGAAAGTACAAAGGGTGATCCCAATGCTGTCACCAACCAGCAGATTGAAGAAGGATTTAAAGAATTTTCCCAATATTTCTGCAAAGAATCCGATTTCGAACTTTCCAAGAAGATTGGCCAAGGCGCCTTTTCAACCGTCTACCATGGCTTCCAAAAGTCTACAGGTCATCCAGTCGCTATGAAGAAGCTAAACTCAGGAATTCTGACCAAAGAACAATTCGAGACGTACCTTAGAGAAATTCGTATTTTAACAAGCTTAAATCATTTCGCAATTACGCCTTTCGTCGGAGTTACTCCGAAAGAGCCTTATTACATCATTACTCAATTAATGAGAGGCGACTGCTTGTTTTACAGACTCCATGCCCAGCGAAACCCATTATCACCAACGAAACTTACTATTATTGCTCTCGGAATTGCTTACGGACTTGCATATTTGCATTCAGAAAAAATCATGCACCGCGACATCAAATCCCTCAACATTCTTCTCGATAACGATGACTATCCACATATCTGCGACTTCGGATGCGCCAGATTCATGGATGGTCGCAGATATTCTATCAAAGTCGGAACAACGCAATGGATGGCTCCAGAAATGTACGAAATAGACTGCTACTCATTCAAGGTCGATATCTACAGCTACGGCATTCTCCTCTGGGAAATGCTTACCGGTCAAATTCCTTTTGCCAACTTAAAGGACGTAGATATCCTCCCCATGGTAATCAACGGTGAAAGACCCCCAATTCCCTCCTCGTGTCCTTCCGGCCTCGCAAAGCTCATAAAATCGTGCTGGGATGTTGATCCGAACAAAAGACCATCTTCTGCGCAGATTGTGCAGGTTTTCGAAAGAGGCGAGGTTTTCTTCCAGGACGCTGATATGGATAAAGTCGAAATTTATAGGAAATCCTTCGCAATGAGTGCGGAAACTCAAATTAATAATTTCGATGTCAACAACGTCAACTCCATGCACCTCGCTGATATCATAGAAATGATCATCAAGGGTGACATGCAGTCAAAGAACAAAGCAATTGGTTATCTTGCACAGCTAGTCCAAGATATGAAATGGTTTGACATAATTGGTCAGTATAAGATTATCAACAAGCTTCCAGATATACTCAAATCATGCAATTCAGCACGATTAGCGTCAGAAATCATAGTTATTATCGATAATATTCTTCAAATTCCTCAAATCAGATCAGAGCTTTACAATTCAGGTATAACGAACCAATTAGTCAAATACTTCGATAAATACGGTGACGAAACGATGGTTTCCTTCGTTTCTGCCTTTTCATCCTCAATTTTCGGAGAACAAGTAAAACCAAACTTGACAAAAACGTTCTGCGAAAAATACGCCCAGTTCCTTTCGATCATGCATCAAGATGACATTCAGCAAAGAGCCTTCGAAACTTTCGAATTAATCATTACGAAGCAGTTTACAACAGATAATGATGCTATCGCTAGCATGTTATCACCGTTTATTGTCAGCTACATACCAATGATGCCTTCAATGAACGCGGAAAGGGTTGTTGACATTTTATTGTACCTTGTATCGCTTGGAAAGACAGTTATCCACAAGATTTGTGCTCTCGATGGCCCAACAATAATTTTCCCACTACTTTCTATTGATTATTTGGCTTCTAATGTCATGACAGTTTTATTAAAAATTTGTAGCGAAAAACAGCCTAGCGCTAAGTTCGCAAACATGGTTGTATCAGAATTACCAAGATTATGCGACCAGTTCCCCAATGAACAGACTGTAAGACCATTATTATTATTATCTACAGTTGTCCTCATCCAAACCACTTACAACTGCATCGCGCAGATGCCAAGCTCAGTCAGCGCGTTGGCAACTTGCATCCGATCAGGATACGCCCAAGTTTCTGTTGTTGCCTTAAAATTAGCTTTCATTTTCTTAGAAAACGAGACATCAGCGCCAAGTATGTTATTCATTGTACCGGATGTTAAGTCCCGATTGAATACTTTGTTCGTAGCTGACGAGATTTCCACATTAGCCGCAAATTGTCTTATTCTCCTCATTTCCCTCAAGCCACAGTCCTTCATTTCGGATGCCGCAATCATCAATTACATCAATGCAGCTCTAAGTTGCGATGACAACCAAGTTATTATAGTTGCTCTCAGAATTATTGGCGTTTTAGCGCAATCCAAGGAAGGATCCATCGATCTCAAGAACGGACAGATTATTTCCAAGATAGTAGAAATAGCTCTGAAGAAAAATCGAGAAGTCCGATTTTATGCGGTTGCAGCTTTGACAGTTATCTCCAAGGCAATCTCATATACACCCGAATTCGAGCCAATAATCGAGACACTCTTCAATCTCAGCGCTGATGATATGTCGTCAACAACTGTTCCTTCGTTCCTTTACAATATCGTTAATGAAAGTAGCGAAGGATCGTTGGCCTGCGCAGGTTACGTGAAAAGAATCGCTGAAAAGTGCTCTTCAGATTCTTTCGCCGCATCTGCTTATCCTGCGATGACAGCAATAGCTCTGATTGTTTCTGATGACAAAGCAAAGCAGAAGGTGCTTCAAACTGTCGATATTAACGAGGTTGTCAAAATTATTGTTCCATTGATCGAAAAAGGATACGGCCGAGCTGTTTTCTACACACTGGCTGAGATAATTGATGTCGATGGAGTGATTGGCGCCGCAAAAGAAGCAGGAATTGCAGATATCATCGCTTCTTCTTTGGCTGTCGTGCAGAAAGAAACGAAACTGCACGAGTCAATGATGAAAGTGCACTCTGCAATTGCTAATGACGAATAATGTTTTATAGAATCTATCCCTTTCAAAAATTATATAGTTTATATTTTATTTTTTTATCAAATATCACGCGAGAAAATGTGTATTTTGAATAAACTTAAAGTTATTTTTCCTTCGGTAAAATTCAAATGATATTTTTTTTTAGCAAATTAATTTCTGTAATAATTTATTATTGTGAATTTTAAATTATCATAGTTTAGTATTCCTCGTGATCTTTAAAGAAAGATAGATAATGATTCATATATGCTACAAGAATTTTTATTCAGATAAATGGGGTGAAATAAACGATTGCATGAGATGGAAAATTAGTTAATAAACATTTCATTTTATTATGAGATTTTGAGTGAATACTAATGATATTATATCACGTCGAGAGTTGCAACGATATGGAATTGGATCACATGAATGAATCTTTTCATTCAGAAGAGATTTAAGACTTGGACGTTTCTCTGGACAATAATCGGAGTATCCTTTTTTAAGTGGAATTCCACACATAGTTTCTTCTGGATATAATTCATTAACATAAACAATTTTATAAATTCGACTTAATACTGAACATGTAAAATCATCATTGATTCGAATATTAGAATCAACATAGATACAAACTGCAATATTATCAAATGAATTTCCTTCAAATGTTGCTTGCCCTTGAATATATATTGTTGTAATATTTGGACATTCTTTAAACGCATATGATCTAACTGTTGGATTATTAAATGAAATTGTTTTTAATGTTGGAACATTTTGAAATGAATATTGAGAAAGAGAACAACTAGAAGAAATAAAAACTAAATTTTCTATTTTAGCATTCTTGAATGCACTTGAATAAATATTGGTGGTATTTAACACAAATGTGCCTGATATATTAGAATTAAAACAATTAAGAGAAATGCAATTTTGAAAAGCGCAATTATTGATTATGTTTAAAAATGGAAAATCTACAGATGACAAACTAGTACATGAATCAAAACAATTTGATCCTATATATGTCAGAAGTTGTGCATTAACATACTTCAATTTTTTGCAATTATGAAAAGATTCAGAATGAATAGATATTGCTTGAGATAAATTCACAGCTTCAATATTTTCACAACCTGCGAAAGCCAAACTTGATACTTGGGTGATCCATTCTAAATTTATTGATTTTAATCTTCTGCAATTCATAAAACTTTGATCTCCCACATGCAGCAATTTATAATCTCCAATAATTTCTTCTATATTGCAATCTTTCGCATTTATGTAATTAATATAGGGTGTCCAAAGGTGTGTTTAGCACAAACCTGAATACTGCGAATAGAAATAAACAAGTTACATATATATAAAGTTTATTTAAATATAATCACCATTGGATTCAATCACGCGTTCGCAGCGATCGATCCAGGCTTGAAAGACACGCTTTAAATCATCATGAGAAAATTGCTCAAATTGCTCTCTTACAAAATTTTCAAGATCATCTGGACTCGCGAATTCGCGTCCTTCAGCTCTCTTTTTTAGCGTGCCGAATAAATAAAAGTCAGAGGGTGCAATATCAGGTGAATAAATTGGGTTTGGAACAACTTTGACATTGTTTTCCACCAAGTAATTCATTACCTTATGACTTATGTGAACTCTTGAATTATCAAAATGAATTGCAAACTTTTGTTTTTGTTGTTTGGATTTCTCAAACTCATCAGAATTGATAATTTGAGTAAGAACATTGTCAATTAGATACTGAGCATTCATCGTATTAGGTTTTTGAAGAATATCAATTGCGATGATGCCATTCACGCCCCAAAAAACCGACAACATCATCATTGGTGTGTCAATTTTTTTCTTCGGGAATGTTTGCGGATTTTCATCCTTCGGGATCCACATGATTTTGGCTTCTGTTGCATATTGAAACCAAGACTTGTCCCCTGTTACTAAAAAGCGAAACTTCTTGGATTGATACGCACCCAATATAGAGAGGAGCTCTTTCGAAGATTGGACTCTAGATTTTTTTTGAACTGAATTAAGGTTGTGCGGAACCCAACGTGTATACGCTAGTTTGTAGTTCAAATAATTGTGCAGATAATAACTGACTGTTGTACATGGTATCTTTGTCATCTCCTCTATCCTTCTGAGTGATGCTCTTGGGTCTTCATCTAGCGCTTGAAGAATTGCTTTGATTTTTCTTTGATCTGGCGATTTTTTGTCAATTTTTATGATGGGCGCCTTTTTGTTCATGAAGTGATACATCCTAACATGATACGTTACAGTGGAATAGCTAGGAGCATCCATACCGAAGCATTTTACCAATGTCTCGTAGATTTTTTTACAGTCTTTGCATTTTTTTGCAAGAGCGAGGATGTTTTCTTTATGATTCATTAAAAAAATGAAAAAAATCCCGCCAAAATTTCCCGCGAAACCGCCTCTTGTCTCAAAATTCATTTTATATCCCGGCATGGCGCCAAAATACAACATACTCATCATATACATATATTCATATTTTTTATTATATATTTATAATCAGCATATATCTCCTTTAATAGTCTCATATAGAGCGCTGTGCTAAACGCACCTTTGGACACCCTATAGTACCATTTATATCTAAAGTTGTCAAATTTTGCAAATTTGTTATATCAAGATTACTGGGATTTTTAATCCTAATATAAAGGTACTTTAAATTAATCGCTCTAATTATCATCGATCCTACTTGGTTTAAACTTGGTAATCTGAGTGATTCTAACGATGTACATCCATAGAATAATGAACCTTTTAAATTTTCTAGTCCGTCTAAATTTACATTTTCTAACTGCACGCAACTAGAAAACGCACCATCTAATATGTTTTTTAATTTCGGGAGATAAATTGTTTTTAATGATTTACAAAATCGAAAAATTCCAGTAAATTGGAATAAGTTAGTAACTGAAAAATTTTCGATATTGGGAATATTTAAATTTGTTAGATTTTCGCAACTATCAAATGATTGACTTTCCATGTATTTTGCATTTGGAGCAGAAAAATTTATAATTGAAGATTGGTAAAATAAACACTCTGAGATATTGATTAAAGTATCTGCAACAAAACTTTCAATTTTAGATCTGTAAAATGCATATTTTCCTACATCAACTAAATATGGTAAATCTAAATTTGGAATGATTGCATTTTTAAAAGCATTTCCTCCTATAGATTTAACGTTTGATATTCCAACTATTCTCTTAACATTGCAATTTTCGAACGAACTTGAACCTATTCTTTGTATTGGGCCTAAAATTATGGATTCTAAAACAAGATTCTCAAAACACTTTACATCAGGTAAATTTGTTACATTTGGTGCTTCGAATCTAGTTAAATTAAGAAATTCAATATTGTCTGTAAAAAGATTAGATATATTTGGTAGGGTAACATATTTAAATTTACGATAATTACTTGTAAAAACTAGTGTTGTGATATATATTTCTTCCAATTTTGTACACTTTTCACAATATTTCACATTGAATACGTTTAAAGGTGCAATTATTTTTAACCTAAGAAGGTTATCAAGTTCTCCTAAGTTAGAACTAGAATAAATATTTTCAAAGTCGCCATTAATTGTTAAATCAACAATACTACTGTTTTTAGATAGCTGTGGGATTTTTGTTGAACAATTGGCTTCATATTTGCCAACATCTAACTCGGTAAATAAGCATTCCGATTTGTGCAACTTTTGGACCTTGAACTCGGTAAATGAAAGTGTTGATAGAAATAACCTGTACACCACAACGCACAATTTTGAATAAAATGATTCATTAAGAACAAACATTGGTCAGAGTACATATCACAAATTTGAAAACTTCCAATTCAATGGGTCCTTTCAATTTTTGATTAAATTTCAGATTCAACCAATCTGAAATTCAAAACTAAGCATAATTCGAGATGTAATCCGAAAGCGATTAATGATAAAGTTTACTAAATTGAGGTAAACTTTATCCCATTTTTCGTATGAACATAAAAATTGTGCTATTGATAAAAACTTGCGAAATTGATATCCATAGCCTTCTGGACAATAATGTCTTCAAGCATAGGTGAATGAATTCACCAAAGAATTTAAAAAGAAGAAATAAATCATTTGGATTTTGATTTAAAAAATTTAATGATGAATATAATCCAGGATGATGATTTCTAGGCTAGTAATGTCCAATATAGTAGTTCATATAAATATAACCTATTTTGGGAAAATGTACTGTAAAAGTGGTTTCCGAATTACATTCTCAGTCCAATAAATAGTTTATATATTTATATATTTGATAAAATTTGATAATGTATAAATGTCAAAATAAAATCATTTTATAATCATACTTTGAGTGAATACTAATGATATTATCTCACGTCGAGAGTTGCAACGATATGGAATTGGATCACATGAATGAATCTTTTCATTCAGAAGAGATTTAAGACTTGGACGTTTCTCTGGACAATAATCGGAGTATCCTTTTTTAAGTGGAATTTCACACATAGTTTCTTCTGGATATAATTCATTAACATAAACAATTTTATAAATTCGACTTAATACTGAACATGTAAAATCATCATTGATTCGAATATTAGAATCAACATAGATACAAACTGCAATATTATCAAATGAATTTCCTTCAAATGTTGCTTGCCCTTGAATATATATTGTTGTAATATTTGGACATTCTTTAAACGCATATGATCTAACTGTTGGATTATTAAATGAAATTGTTTTTAATGTTGGAACATTTTGAAATGAATATTGAGAAAGAGAACAACTTGTTGAAGTAATTATCAAATTTTCGATTATTGTGTAAGAGAATGCATATGAATTAATATTGGTAGCATTTAATACATATGTACCTGATATGTTAGAATTAAAATATATTAGAGAATTGCAATAACTAAAAGCACTATAGCCGATGGAGTTTAAAGATGGAACTTCTACAGATGACAAACTATTACATCCATTAAAACAATGCGATCCAACTTCTGTCACAAGTGGACCTTTAACATATTTCAACTTGATGCAATTCTGAAAAGAATATGATCGAAGAGTTGTTGCATGAAGTAAATTCAATGTTTCAATATTTTCACAACCTGCAAAAGCCGCAAAATCTATTGTAGCTGTTCATTCTAAATTTATCGATTTTAGTCTTTTGCAATTTCTTAAATATTCATCACCTACATTAAGCAATTTATAATCTCCGATAACTTCTTCTATATTGCAATTTTGAGCTTTTAAATCGTCAAAAGTACCATTTAATTCTAATGTAATCAACTTTTTAAATTTGTTATATCAAGATTAAAAGGATTCTTAATTCCAATGAAAAGGTATTTTAAATTCATTGCTCCAATATTCAAATCATTTTTTGGGTTGATTAAATTTGGTAATCTGAGTGATACTAACGATGTACATCCAGAAAATATTGAACCTTCTATCTTTTCTAGCCCATCTAAAGTTACATTTTCTAACTGCACACAATTAGAAAATGAACCACCAAACATATATTTTAAATTAGGGAGAGATATTGTTTTTAATGATATACAATTCATAAAAATGCCAGTAGTATAAAAAGGATTAGTAATTGTAACATTTTCAACAATAGGAATATTTATATTTGTTAGATTTTGGCATTCACGAAATGATTCAGCTTCTATTGATAATGCATTAGGAGCAGAAAAGTTTATAATTGAAGACTGCCTAAGGAAACCTGCTGGAATAATAATTAAAGAATTTGCGACAAATTTTTCAATTTTGCATTGACCAAAAGCATATTCTCCAGCATCAACTAAATATGGTAAATCTAAATCTGGTATGATTGCTAGGTAAAATGCATAATTTCCTATTGATGTGACATTTGAAATTCCCACTATTTTCTTAATATTAGAAAATCGGAAATTTCTTGAACCTATTCTTTGTAGTGGGCCTAAAATTATGGATTCAAGATTAAGACCCTCAAAACAAGACCCATCTGGTAGATTTGTTATGTTTGGCGCTTCAAATCTAGTTAAATTATTAAATTGACTATTTTTTGTAAAAACACTTGAAATATTTGGAAGTGTTACGTATTTAAATTTACGATAATTACCTTCAAAAACTAGTGTTGTAATATAAATTTCTTCCAAATTTTTACAATTTCGACAATATTCTACATTAAAGGAATTTAAAGGTGCAATTATTTTTAGTTTTAAAAGGTTATCAAGCTCTCCTAAGTAAGGATATCCAGCAATATAATCAAAATCGCCATAAATTGTTAAATCAACAATACTACTGTTTTTGGATAGTTGTAGGATTGTTGTTGAACAATTGGCTTCATATTTTCCAACATCTATCTCAGTAAATATACATTCCGATTTGTGCAATACTTGAAACTTGTATTCGGTAAATGAAAGTGTTGATGAAAATAGCCTGTATAAGTAAACGCACAAATATGAATAAAACTGTTCATTAAAAACGAACATTGATGAATAGCATGCAAAAATTATGAAAATCCTTAATTCAATGAGTTCTTTCAATAATTGTGAAAATAAATTTGAATTCAATATACCCGAAATCGGTAAGTTAATTTCCAAAAATAAATGAGTTTTTCTCTTTTTCCTTATATTGTTGAGCTGGAAATATAAAACACAAAGTATGTTTATTTCATTTAAAAACATGTGTTTACATATTATGAAAATAAAAAATAAAAGAAAGAATTCCGAAAATTAAATAAAAAATTAAACTGCAATAAAAGCAGAATAAATCTGTTCAAATGAATATGAAGCTGCAATCTCTTTCAGAGGCTGTGAATTGTCTGGAGCGGGAATAGGAACTGTCATAAGTGTCCAGTCGCTTTCGTCCTTCAAGTTATCAACTGGATCCCCTTCTGGCATGACAATAGTAGCCTTCTGAACAACAACTTCTTCTTGAAGATCCATGATGACGTCCTGTGAAACAGAAATTCGGTCGTATTCGTCATCTCGTGACTGTACAAGGCCAATTGTCTCGACAGCGTTGTTTGTGCCAGCTTCCATCTGGTTGTGGCACTCTTTGATGTAAGAAATGTCGTCATCTGAAATTAAATTCTTCTTTTGCAATTTCTTGATGAGATGTGATGGGAATGGCATGGAAAGAGGTGTTCCACGATGCATAATCTTCTCATAGAATGACTTGATTGAGTTTACATTCGAAAAATTATTATTTTCGAAATTTGCAGATGAAATCTTCTTGTTTTCGAATAGGAAATCTGCAATATCTGGTAAACTCTCGTCAGTTAAGTCTTGTTGCTGGCAAGATACGTATTCAAAATTCGTATTTCCTCTTCCAAGGAGTTTGAAGAGAGGAATGATATCATTGCCTAATGCTTTCTTCTTTCGGCCGTCAATTATAAGTCTCTTGAGGCTCGTGCACCTGAATATGAAATTTGCACAAGCATCAAGCGCTTTTGTATTAAGAGACTGCGTTAAATTGACGATTTCGAGGTTGGGGAAGTCCGAAATGGCCTTGAAAAACTCTGAATCTGTCTGGTTCTTCTTCCATGTGAAACTCTTCAAGTAAGGAGAGAATCCAGCGGTATTCATTACGTAGAATAAATCGTCGAAGTCGGCCTTGATAGAGTTAAGTATGAAATCGAAGGCGTTTGATGTCGGATGATGTTTCATGATATTCGCCCAAAGACTAGACAAAGAATTCTTGCTAAATTTGCATTCCGTAATCGAGAGTTGTTCTAGTGTATTTGGAATTTCGTAACTGTCAATTTTATCGGTCGATTTCAGATTTGTTACGTGAACTGACTTCAAAGATTTGAGTTCTGAGGCCATGTGCATGATATCGTTGACGTTGATCTGGCAGGCAAGGATACGAATCTCTTGGAGCCATTTCATCTTAAGAATCGTCGGAATTGGATTTCCCTTTGAAATTGAGTCCAATTCGAGCCTTGTAGCGGATTCAAAGAAAGGATATCGGTTTGCTTCTTGTACGAAGGCTTCGAAGCAGTTGTTCTGCATTCCTCCGTAAAATCCGATACATTTAATTGGTCGGATTGAGAAAGTGGAGGCAATAACAACTGAAAGGTCTTTAGTAAGGGTTGAACTGTCAAGGAAGATGAGGGAACGAAGTTTTGACTTTGGATTTGCGGATAAAGCTTCAATGACACATTGGAAGTCGTTATCAACGCCATCTTCTGTAATGATTGATTCAATTGTTGAATTTGTTCTCAGGAATTTAGAAACTGTCTTCCAAAATGTTGCATTATGATGATTCTTTGGAATAATAACAGAATTAATGGTAGGATCGGCATGCAATGAATCCAAAAGTGTTTTCATGAATGGAGCTGCATCTGTAAGTAATGTCAGATCTAGTTCTCCTTGTTTTGTCGGATAAATGTAAGCTTCTTCAAGATCCTGATAGAATTGGTTGTTTGGTTGTGGATTTGGCTTCTGTGTGAGTAATCCAAATCGGAGTAAAAATGAATTGCCAGCTGGTTCGATTTCTCCGCAAATACGCTGACGATCTTCGATTGTTGGCATTTCGGAAGGGAGAAGCATTGATTTGACTTGTGCGACAATTCTTTTGAAGATAAATTTAGCGTATTCTGAGTTTAGAGTAACACTTTTTTGAACTGAACCAAGAGTAAGCTTGCTTTCATCATGCAAGACGACCTGTTTCAAATCTGTGAACTTTATTGTGTGAGTGACGTTAAGATTGCCTTTGAAAATGTGTTTTGTAAGTAAATAAATATTATAATCATCGACAACTACAGTTACAGGGGAAGTTTTTGATTTGCCTATCTTTTGGACTTCAAGGCAGCAAAGTGGCTCCGGAGACTTTGAAAACTCTTTTAGTTTTGATACCTTCTGCCAGATCGATTTATTCAGCATCTGACTCGTTCTCTGAAAAACATGATTTTTCTTACATTTTCTTCTTTTATAATTAGGGTTATGAGTACATCAATACCAATATATTTGGCAGACTCAAACTGTTGATTTTTCCTGATATTTCAGATATTTTCGATTATTGGATCGATATTTGAAAGAAATTAATATGAAAATAAGACTAAATGCAATGAGATATGGAACATATATGAATTCCGAAAGATATTAAAACGAAAATACAGAATATTGAGTTTTTGGGAAATTTACTAGGGCAAAGAACACTATTATATTGAGTATTTAAAGAGTGTTCCATAAAATCTCTAAATCCTATATCAATGAAACAGAATATGTAATGAAAGGCTGAATGTTTGTAAACATGGCTCGAATGGACTTCACCCCTGTGGTGACCTTCTAAATAAAGTGATAACACAATAAAACTTACTTTGAATCTAAAACGAAGATTCAATGATCGTAAATTAACATTTTATGGATGTATCCGGATTATCTAAACTATGTCTTATTTGGCTATCTTGGAAAAATGTGATGAATTCGCTTAATATTTTGAAAATTAATTTGGATGGAAAATATATCATTTTGACTGGTATAATGAGTTATTTTGGCAATTTTTCTCAATGCTAATTGATAATTGCTGTATCATCAGAGGAAATTAATTCAGCAAGGATACGATATTGCATTGTTTCTAGGATATTGCTTAAAATATTCATTTATTTCTCTTAGAAAATAATGTGGACCTGGAAAATATCATAAATTTGCTCAATCAATCACAAAACTAATAATATTTCAATTTGTTCTACGTTCAAATTGGGAATATGTCTATTCAGAAAAGTGGCAGGTAATATTTCATCTACTGTCCAATGATGTAAAAGTATTGAAGTGATTCAAAGTAAAATTCCCAGCAATATAGCATAATGAAGCAGTTTCATTCATTAATTGAAAAGCTGTGCAAAATTAAGAATAAAAATTGACCGCCTAAAGAGTCTGATTACACAAGATAATTCATCTAAAATGTAAATGACAAAACCATTTTGTAAGAAATTGTTTATAATAAAATAGCTGTAATAAATTAGCAAGGATTTACTCCTAGAGAATCTTTTTGGCGGGCTTCAGCGAAATTTAAATCTATGCAATTATTCTTATTTTTATGGTAATGATGAGCTTATTTGTTTATTTTTTAGGCTAATATCTCATTTTGACGATAAAAATGTCATCAAATTGAAAGCGGTAATTGTCAATATAAATGTATATGTTCTTAGATAACTAATTTAAATAACCCAAAATTAATGTGAAAACATCCGAACAATTTTCCTCAGAAAAAATCCATATTAATTGTAAAGTCTCATCACACTTTTCAATGCTCGATTTTTAAAAACTGTTTAAAAATGGAGCTTATATTGAAATAGTGTAGAGACTAAAAATTACCACAGACTATTTCAGAGGATTGAGTGGCAACTCAATCCTCTAAAAAGTCTGAGGTAATTTGCAAAATTCCGTTAATAAAACCGAAAAACACTCTCAAATATTCTGTCGTCATCTCAATTGAGTTAAATCATGATTTAGCATAATTTCATAATCGATATATACAAAATCTTATTTACCGCTAAATATTACAAGTAGCAAACTTATTTAATTCAATTCAATAATAGCAGAAAATCAGATAACATATTAATTGAGTGATATAAAGATAGATTTACTAAAAAGTTAAAAACGATAGTAAATTAATGGGCACTTTTTGAATAAAGTAAAATATTGTGATTAAAAACATACACCTGGCAAATTTAATGAAACATATATATGGCAGTTGTTATACTTATTAATAAGCACCGACATCTTATTTTGAGATAAACTTTTCGGCTAAAAGTGACAACAAAGCCGTTATTAACAAATGTCTGGCTGGGATTTCGAGTTCGATCAAGATGAAAGTTTCGCCGCAGGCTTTAACGAGACTGATAACTTCCTCTTCTCGGGTAGCCCAACATTCGAGCCATCCTTCTTCCAACAACAACCAGAAAATCCTTTCCCAACAAATAATTTAAATGTTAGACCAATTCAACAGGTTCAGAAAAGCTCACCAGCACCAACAGCAGGTCAGAACCTCGCACAAGAGAATGATCAACTCCGTTTGGTATTTACGACATTAAAACAAAAAGCAGAGCAAGCAGAAAGTTTAAATCAATCTCTCAAGTCACAACTCGAAGATTGCCGCAACTGGTTCCGCGACGCCATGTTTACTGGCATTAACACCCACAAATGAGTTTGATTTTAATAAGATATATTTTAACTTTCGTAGATATAAATTGTTTGCTATTTTGTTTTATATAGATTATTTTTTCCTCCATTCGCTTACCGATTACGAGCTTATTTCTTTTTATTTGCCAAATATGAGAAATTACGCCGTTACATAAAATATTAAATTCTCTCTTGTTTATTATAAATGTTGAATGTATATATCTTAAATTGCATGTTTTATGTATTAATTTCCTTAGATCTATGAACTGACAGATTCACAGATTATCTTATTGATCTTAAACTTCTATTATTCATACATAAAACGCATTTATATGAGCCATACTTTAATAATCTTATATAATTTTCACTATTGTTCAATTAAATAAATGTTGAATAAAAATTTGTACAGGAAAAAAGACAGATTAATATAAGAAATATAATGAAAAGTTCTTTACTCTTGCGATTTGTTTTTAATTTTCTTTAACAAGGTCTCCACGTCGTCTAATTCGTTAACATCGTTTGATGGCTCAATAGATACGCCGCCAACAAATAACGATGCCGAAATATCTTTGAGCATAGCATCAAAGTTGTACGAATGCACATCAGCATCTTCTCTTGCCTTTTCTAATTTCTCTTTCTTCAACATAAGGATTTCTTCAAGTTTATGCTTGCAGTTCGGGCAGAATGATCCTGTAACACAGTGAGAATGGTACGAATGTCCGCAAAGGAAGTGAACGGCGTTACCATTAATAGATTCACCGCAATCAGCGCATTTATTCTCTGCTTGAACGACGTAATTCATTGTTAACAACTTCTCTGTCTCAGCTCTATTAGCTGCGGCCGTTTCAAGAGACTTGTTCTTCTTTTCGTTCGCTTCTCTTAATTTCGCTTGTTCTGTAGAGAAAACGGTTTTGACAAGTTTTGAGACAGCTGCGAAAGAATGTTTTCCGTGTGTTCTCAAAACGGTTAGAATTGTGAGGAAAGGAATTGTTCCTGTTTCCATGAGTTCGTCGAGGAATTCTGAGAGTGTTTCCTCTGAGCAATCTGAATCTGCCAAAGCAATTAAGCCATCAGACCACAATTTCGGCATTTCCTGGCCATACTTCTTGCAGATCGAGAGAACTTCGTTAGGAGGAGCTGAATGCAAGAGGAATGGATAGAGCTTCAATTCCTCATATTGATGCGGTAGACCTTCTTTGTGGCCGAACGCGTTCAAATAGATGATAACCTGTTCGCGGGTATATCTTGTTTGTGGGTCGTTAAGCAATTCATCGACTTTAGGAGATTTAATCCTCAATGCGAGTTCAATTAAAGTATTCCAGCATTGTTCGTTCAACGAGATCTTTCCTTTGAGGTTGTAAAGGAATTTGAAGTGCTCTTCAGGTGACTTTACGAAGATCGGGTAAAGAGCAGAAGGATCTAATTTTTGTGGCAAATCTTCGCCAGTGAATTTAAGACCTTCTGTGCAGCAGGATGTTGCGAAGGAGATGAGTTCTTCATGTCCCTCGGAGTACTTTGAGATAATTTCAGTTCCGTACTCTTGTAATTTTGGTTGAACTTCTTCTCCTGGCAATGTCTTGATATATTTGAGCATCTGGCGGTACTCCTGGCGTTCGTACAATAATGACATGTACAAGGAGTGTTTCTTGTATGCTTTAGCCAACTTTTCAGCTAATTCTTCATATCCGTTTCTCTTTAACACATCTACACCTGTTTCTACATCGAAACTCTTCTCATCAGTGTTAGCGTTAGCAATCAATCCTTCTACGAACTTTTCGAGCTCTTTACCAGCCTTTTCTTTTGTATAACAATTAAATAAGAGAGTTGTGTGCTGTTTGCTCTTCAATTCGTTAGGAATTGCCTGTAAGTATCTCGCTAAATTCTTTGCATGATGAGGATCAACGTATTTTGCAATGACATGTGAAGGTTCTGTAAATCTGACGGTTTTTATGTAATGGTCGATAGCTGCATCGTATTCTCTGCGTGAATAGAGTTCATCACCGTATTCGCGATGTACTTGTGCTATTGTTGCTTCGCCTAAATTAAAATCTTGTGCCATTTCGAGGGCTCTTTCGAAACGATGACGATCAACGACGGCTTTGACTTTCTCTTGTGGTGTTAATTCTCTGTACAAAGTTGCTTTTGCGCCTTGTCTCAGCAACATTCCACCCCAAATTCTACAAACGGATTCTGTCTTCTGGCCTAAGTCGTCGGAGAAGCAGAGCATTCCGTACTTCAAGTCGTATACGCAGAATGAGTATGAGATCGAATGGTTGACTCCTATGTAGATATAAGAGCCCATTGGTCCCACCATGGAAATCTCGTGCTCTGTAGTAAGGTTAATCACTGTTGGCTTGCTGGCGTTTTGGGTGAAGTATGAAAGCTCCTTGTCTTGTAAGATGTAGAAAAGATTTTCTTCGGAAACAAATGCAAACTTTGGTTTGACGCCTTTCTCGGACAATTTGGTCGTCTGCTTCGTATTAATGTTATATACGGAAACAGAATTCTCTGTTGTATAGTAAACAAGACCGGATTCTGTCAAAATTAAATTTGTAATTTTTTCTTCTTGGGAGATTTTCTGGTATTTAGTTTTCGCTGTGAATGTTGGTCCCGTGTAGACGTAAATGTCATTATTGCATGTATAAGCAATATACTTTAAATCCTTGGAAATTGTGATATTACTTCCTTGAACAACGGGATCATACTTCTTTGGTGCAACAAATGTTATTGTTTCAAATTTAGGACTGTAATTCTGGAATTCTGAATCTTTTATTGGTATGATTGAAATAGAATTATCTGCTGGACGAGCGCAAATTAAATCGCCTTTTTTATCATCAACTTGGAATGTTGTAAGACCATCGGGAATTTTAATTTGGGGACTTTCTTGAACGTTTGTTGAGTCAATCTTGTGAATTGAATTGTCATCATCTAGCGCATAAAGGAAATTGTTCGCTCCAACTGTGAAGATTGGTTTAAAATTGAGTTCAATTTCTTTCTTCTCCTTCCCATTTAAAAAGCTATATGGTGTTTTATCTATTTTTTCAGTTATCATGTTTTAAAAAAAAAATTAGATGTCAGAACCGATAAAAAAATCCTTCATAACAAAAATCATTCAAAAATCACTTGATGACCCAAGCTTGCTATTCATAAAGCTTGGCAAATATTTGTCTCATCACTAGGCCTGTCTAAATAAAGGAAGCCATAGAATAGAACGTGATATTTCTCGATACACAACTTATGATTGCTACTTTTCCGATTTTATTAGAAATTCAATCTATTTAAATGACGTAACTATTACTGAACCAATTCAGTTAAATAAATGTACATTTGTCAATTTCAACATCCCTAGTAATGAGAATATTGGTGCTGTTTATTTCACAGCAGGAAGTAATGTTTCTTCTTCATTTATTAAAGGAGAAAAACTGTTTTGTTATTTTGAAAGCAGCGATGTAGGTGTTTTTGGAAGGTTTGGGAGCAGCACTTTGGTTAATTTGAATTTTACAAGTATAAGCTCAAGTGGAAAATCAAATATCTATAGTGAAGGCATTAATTATTTTATTTGCGACGAAATTATCCATGATAATGTGAATATCTCAGAAATTAATAGCGGTGATATCTCTCTTTATTATGCCTCATATCGTGCCAACCACAAAGGTTCAACTTTAAATTTTTGTAATTTTTGTTATTTATATTCTGAATGCTTTACTTTCAGCAATCTTGCTCATCTTTTCCGATATTGTAATTTATGTTATAACAATGGCTCAATTGAAGGATTTGGTCCAGGTTATTATTTTCGGAATTGTAATTTAGTCTCTCCAGATAATATGATATCATACTCATTGGACAATGATAATAATCATGCAATTGATTGCTATATCAATGATATTTTTTTTAAATAAAGTAAATGGAAGAATTGATATATCTAATTCACATAATACATCAGTTCAATTTATGTTTGCAGCTTTTGATCCTAACCAGTTCAAAACAGCTCCTCCAAAAATAACCAAAAGAAGATTATATAAAAAAATCTTGAATAATTTAAGCATTAAACATCATTTGATTGCTCTAGATCATTATAAAAAGTTAAGTTAATTAAACAACAAACAAATAAAAACATTATTTATTGATAATTTGTATATTAATATAAAATTTTTTCATTCATTTGAGGTTAAAAGGTGTCTTGCTCTTTCTATAATGAGCTTTCCGAGTCTGTTCAATCCCTGCGGGTTAAACTTCAACTCATGAACACCTTGTAGAGAAGCAACTCTGAAATCGAACATCACGTTGAACATTGCAGCGATTTCCTGGTCCTGTTCGTACTCCAGTATTTTTCCCTTGACGAAGTCCGCATCCACAGCCTGTGTGGCCGTTATTTGGTAAATTGCGGCCAATGCGTCCGAAATCAGGTCCCAACTGTAGAAATGGAATACGTTGTGTAGGATAACTTCAGTTATAGGCTGTGCCCATTCATGAGGTGCTGTTGCAACCCTTACCTGGAAGATATCTGACACGAACATAAACATTTTCGGATCAATTTGGGGCATTGACAGCATATTGATGATATACTCGAGATTGAACACCTCAAAGAATGTTGTTGGCGGTGTCCAAATGCTTCTCAATGGCTTGTCAATGAGATCAATTGCGCATCTGTATCCAGCTTGGTCCATTTCCGAAATATACTCGATAGAAAGGAAAGGAATAATTTTCTCTGCAGCGATCTTTGCGAGAATCTTCAGATCTATCTTCGAGAAAATCTTAATTATGTATTTCGACCTTGTTCTCTCGAAAGTGTTGACCATCCACTGCAAAGAGAATGAAGGAGTGACAAGGTTGGCTTCTATTGACCTTCTCATCAGTTTGCAGGCTTTTTGGACCGCTTCTTCGTTGTCAGGATACAATGAATCTCCAAGTAACTCGAAAATGGACATAATGTGTTGTCTGATGGTTGTAAACAGAAGGATACGTTTCTGTTTGTAGTTTTCCTTTTCCTGGTTGTACAAAATAACTTCTCCTTCGGCAATTGTCTTTAATTCGTTGTCCAAATGAGAAACAAACATAGAAAGGAACTGGTAAACCTTCACTAAATCTTGTTTCATACTAATTTTGCCAACAACGAGTTCCAATGCCTCGTTAAACAACATTTGTCGAGAATCTGGATCATTTACCCATGGAATTGGCATCATTAAGGTAGTATAGAAAGGAATGATGAGATAGGAATGTGCTGATGTGCCTATTGATATGATTTCCTCTCTGTAAATGTTGTTTTGGGCAAATTGTAATTGGAGATTCTTAACAATGATGTTTATGAACAATGCATTGTCGTATGTTGAGTTCTGGACAAATATATTCCATGCAATGGTCGTAGCTGCTTGTAATTGGTGGGAAGAAAGCAGATAAATACTTGATGCAAGGAAATTAAGGGCGTAAGGTAGAGCAAATGGGTCATGCTCCGAGTAATTGTCAATAATGAACTGGGCGATGGGCTGTGCAACGTGGCGGCGATAAGCAACTGGAATATGAGCTGTAAAGAAAAATGTTGCGTATTCTGCATCTTTCAGGAGAAATTCGATAAGGTATTTGGATAGTGGTTGGTATTCTGTAGGTATTTTCGTGAGTTCTGATATGACTTCTGCAAATTCTTTCTTATTAAACTCAGAATTTTCCTGGTTAATGATGTTTATCGTATTAAACAGCAACGCGATGATATGTTCGAACTGTTCTGTGTAAGGAAATTCTGTGTATTGATAGTTTTTCGAGAGAGCCGAAGTATAAAGACTTGAAAAGAGAGAACAGAGCTTCTGGATGAATCCGATGTAATCTGTGTTGGCTTCATTAACAAGCTCTGCAATTTCAAGCATTCTGTTCAAGATCTGTGTAAAGAATTCGATATTTTCCGGTCCGAGGTTGAATTCTTCTCCGCCACCGTAATCTACGATTTCTCCGAAGATCTGGAAGACAGAGGAGATCTCATTGAGGTCTACATTTGGAGAACTAAGTAAATTCGTGGCTGCAATCAATACAGCGGTAATAAGGTTCTGTAGGAACTGTTTCTCTTGTTCTGATATGTTGATGAACTCGAAATAGAGGGCGCTTGTTAATACAGAGCATAATCCAGGAAAACAATCGGGATCATTAAGGATTGATTCGATTTTAGGCATGAATTGGAGCATTTCTCCCATGTTGGATTCATTCTTAGTAACTGTAGCGAGTAATCTAAGCCATTGTGGGCTCGGATCTGATTCGGCTAAAATTGGCTCTGTAAGTTGCAAGAAAATATTTGTAACTTCAAGACTTGTAACGCGCTCGCATACTTCATCGAATGATGTGAAGAAAATGTATTTATACTCAAGAGAAAACGAATCAAGAATTGGAAGGTTGAAAAACTCTATATTATAAAAAGAAATGATTGCAAGAAGACGGAGGAGCTGACAGACGCATTGTTCATCATCTATGCCATCGATAAGTAATTGAGCAGCTGAATTATAAATTTCGGAGAGTTTATCACCGAGAACACTGTAATATAACTGGACCATTTGAGTTGCTGTAATGGCGGCTAAGAATACTTCCTTTAAATTATGATGTGCGTTGAATAGTTCAATGCAAAATCGATAATATTCGGGATTGGAATACCAAATGTCGGAAATTCGAGTGTTTTCGTTTTGAACATCCTGATCAAAGGTAGTTGTATCACGAATAACCTCTCGGATCTTTTCGATTGTTAATTCCTCTACAGAACTCATTGAAAACTTTTGAATTTTTTGTAATTCAATGTCACCTTTGATATTCAAAATTTTGAATCGTGAAATTGCAACAAAAAACTTCAATATTTAGTTTAAAATATCCACAATAAATAGCTTTTAAAATGTACAAATAGGCATCAGAAACAGATTATTTTTCATTACGCTCCTTTACAAATGACTTTTAAGATGTTTTTGCATTATATTATTACAATATATATGTACTAAATTAAAATTATCTAGGGTACTAGAATTTTCGACAGATCCATAATCAAAATTCATATAAATATTCTTATATTTGAAAAATAATATGTGAAACATTATTGCATTATGTAGTGTATGATTATTATTATATCCTAAATTATTGATTGTTAAAGCTTGATTTAATATGAAGGATAGATAGTATATTTTTATTTAAACTTTAACATTCATGGTAATAATATCGTATGACTAAGGGGTTATAACAAATGAATGACTTGATAAGCCGTTAAAATGACATCAGAAATAATAGTATAAAATGTGCTTAAAAGACGAAATCTTCATCTTCATATGAATGTAGAATTGGGTTACCGTGTTCATCATGTTGAGTTGACTCTTTATCAATTTTATCCATTTCAATATCCATCTGTTGTATCACTTCTGATGTTTCTTTTTCAAGTTTGATGAGCACGCAGTATGTTAGAACAGAAAGCATCGAAATAAATGAAACGACAAGCACTATTAGAAACCCTACTGCAAGGTTTACAGTGATTGTCATTCAAATAAAATCTTTGTAAAAGTGACAAATAAAATCAAATCTCGAACTCCTAAAAATCTAGCATTAAACTTAGTTACAATAGTAATGCAAAATTACTCGCTGATGGTTAAGAAAATTTTATTCTGTTGTTATGATGCCAGATCTGAACGTTGTCCGAGCTCGCAAAATAGGTATTTTAGCATAATAGTATCAAAGTTTATTGTCATATAAGTGCATGCGCAAAGTAGCATTTGCTTCCATGCTTAAGAAATAGGAAATCGAGCTATTTTTATTTATGGTTTTCATAATCACTGATTGAAGAGTAATTCACCCAAAATTATCTATTCCAATGATATTTCTAAGTATGACAATAAGCAAGCGCTTCTAATACTTCCCAAATATGACTTCCAATTATATCAAATGAGTGAGCAGTTTCATCAGATCAATAAAAAAAAGTTCAAATGAAAATTTTTGGAAAAAAGAATGAAAATACAATAGTGAATTTATTTTGGTGAAAGATAGATATAAAATATATTAGACTTCAATCATTAAACTTTGAAGGAGAGAACGGATTCTCAATAACTTCCCTTGCCTTGTCAAGAATGTAGTTTGATGCAGCAATGAATGTCGAAACAAAAAATGTTTCTGTATGAGAGAAAATTGGTGTTCTCTCATTGATTGGCATCAAATAATCATCTAAAATAGCAACCAAACTTCCCAAATGAGCTGGTCTTGCTACAGTTATCGCAAGAATCGTTAAAGGAACAATTTGGTCGGCACCTGCTTCTTCTTGGCCGCAGGAGAAGATGTATTCGCTCAACCAACCCATGGCAGTGATAATGTGGTCGGCCATGGCCAGTGGTGAAGCTCCATCTACAATTAAAGATAATTCGTTTGCAAAGAACTTTAATTCGCTAAGTTTCCCTTTGCATTTCGTTATAAATGGATCTTTATCCTCTATTACATCAGAATTGTAGAAAACAAGTGCTGCTTTGTCTAAATCTGTTTCCCACATGAAATTAGACATTGTATCAAGTAAATCGACAGTTACTTTGGCTCTTGAGCAGTTTATGTTTTCGGGCTTATCTGTTGGGTTCTCTAAGAATGCTAAAACTTTTGCATTTTCAATAATTGACTTTGAAACTTGGGTATACATTCTGATTAGAGAAGATTGACTTGAGTATCTTGCAACTATATCTTTAATTCTTGCTTGAATGTAGTTTTCTTGATACTTTAACTTAACTTCAATCATTTGACATAAATCACCGATTTCAAGCTTGGCAAGATCATTAGAAATCTGATCTAGTTCTGGAAGAAGATGTGGAGCTCCTAATTCTACAATTTGAGTGATGGCTGACTTTGAAAAATTATTTCCTTCGGCTAAAACCATGTTTGAGTTCTCTAGCAGCCTGATAACAGAATCAACAAATGGAGGAAGTGATGATATTGGATCTGGAAGTGGCTTCATTGGCTGTTTCTTATACAAATAAGTATAATTTGAGGAATTGACTGTGCAAATGGATTCTAAGAAGTCTGATTCCTCTGGTCCAACCATATATCTATCTCCATACTCTAATGTAACATCTTGAAACAGTTTCATTGAAGGAGAAAGTAAAACAGACTTTGTTGATAATAATGTTATAATGAATGATAAGCTAGCCTCACTAAAAAAGTATTCCTTAAGGAAGTCAAAGTATTTTCCAAAGAAATCACTGTGATACAATTGAAATTCATATCTACAGCAACCAAAGAGGAAAGGATCAAGAATGTATGCGCGAAGGAAGATATCAACAAAGATAACTCTTGGATTATGGAAATGCTTCAGTATTTTCATGAAAAAGTCAGGAATTAATTCGACATATTCGAGTAAAGACTTAATTGTTTCATCAACAACTTGTTCTTGTGGTAGATTATCGAACTTTCTGTAAAGAGGTTGTAGAGAAGCACGAAAATAAGAAATTATAAATGGATGTGTAATTAAACATTTGATTAATTCAACTTGAACCGATTCTTCTGACTCAAAAACAAATGATAGGTATGATTCTACGTCTTCTTTGCACCAAAGATATCTAAATAAAGATGGAACAATGCAGAACGAGGTGTATTTATCAGATATTGCTTTATATCGTATGACATCTAGTGAGTTTTCGACGCATTTTTGGATGTTATCGCACATTGAATAATCTTCTGAAATATGATACGTCATTTGGACTCCATTTAATATCTCAGATACCGATTTTCCCTTACTGTTGTTCATAATATCGTGTATAATTTTATTTGACGCTTGCATTGAGATGAAATATTCTGAAATCTCTTCATCATACTTCTGTAACTCTGGATTAATGGCAGAATTAAGCTCCTTGAGCATAAGTTTATGGTGTTTTATGCGTTTTTGAATGTCAAAAAGGAATTGAAACTTATTTTCTGACATTCAAAAATAATGAATAAAATTCGCCATAATCGCAATTGAATAATGATCGTTGTAGTATAGAGAGTAATCTAATGTATAAAAATTTGAATATGTTGCAAATTTGTCGATAATGACTGTAAAACACGTTATTTTATGGGTAAAATTTATGCTGGAAATTAAATTTAGTTACATACGATTGAATTCAACTATTCTTCAAAGTTTATTCATGGAATATATACTCTCATCTCAAGGCAAAAATTTTTAACCTCAAAGTACATATTGTAAAGAGGTAGGGCAACGATAGAAAATTTTTGGAAAAAAAGTTCGGAGATCTTAAATGTATCATATTCCCTGCATGGTTTGGTATCTTCCGCCATGCGTTGTGCCAAACATATTGACACTTTCCAATAATTAATTTATGGTATGAGTCACAGAGTTAGATTATAAAAAGAAAGTAAATAATTGCAATTAGAAATCATATATGTCGGAAATCAAATGTTGATGAGCAGAAACCTTTTACTCATCATAAAAGAGATAAATCACTAAAGATTTGTATACATTAAAATTTGATATTTGGTGCTCGAAAACTGTCTGATGGGACTCCTCCAAAATGAACCAATCTATCGCTGAGGACCAAATTAGATGATGTGGATGGTGTATTCTCTAATTCTAACTTAGGAAGAATGGGAACAAAACGAATGACGACAACAACATGTCAAACATAGATTAAATATCTATGAATCAATAAAGTATACGTGCATTGAAGGTGATAACGATCACTTGAGGCTTATAACTCTTTGACTAAATTATGCAATAATTAAATATAATCATTTTTATATTTTTATACTGATAGTAATTAATATACTATCCTGCTTAATAAATGGTATGATCAAATTTGTTTGAAAATTTAATTATGTATATGAAACTATGTCTTCTATATCAAAATCAAAATTTTCGGACGAACCTAGATTGAACCTTTATGAAAATCTATCATTTTTGTTAATTGAGTTAATATGAATCTTTTACATATGTATATATAGCATTGATAGCTTATATAATCATGGTTTATTCCATATTAACATATTTTTTCAGTTAAATTTGTTAATAATATCATGTAACAAATTAATTCAAGATTAGAATGTCTACAAAATGCTAACAAATAAGAACAAAATACGATTTCTCGACTTAAATTTTAATATGGAGTAGTTTTTCGTTTAAATCTAATTAAAAATGAATAAAAACTTATCTTGTACTATTTTCATTCAAAGATTTTAATAATGTAAATCATGCATTTTCATAATTCAGTACAGTTCTTTTTAGAATTAAAGTTGATGAGGATGATATTTGTGATTTAAAATAATTTGTTAATGTTCACCTTTTATTCATCACCTTGTGGTATGCCCTAAAGCAATAGCATTATCAATTCTGCTGAATTGATCAACTCAAAATTCCAAAAAAAATTCAAAATTTCAAAAATGAAATTAAACAATTTGAATTTTCACATGAAAAAATCAATTTCGAAAAAAATTTGGAAAATCAAAGTATTTGATAATTAGTCAAATAATCAATTTACATCGTTTTTACTCATAAAAAACAACTAATTTTTGATTTTGATATCATATTTGATAAATACTCATTCCAGAGTTGACGTAATGTATTAATTATTGTTAGAGATATTGCTTTCGCAGCAAAATTCTTATTTCATGAAAGAAAAAAAAATGATTTTATTCCAACAAAAACAAGTAAACAGATGAATGGAAACGTACTATATTTTCATAAATGTAGTAATCAGCGTGTCAGCTTTTGTTTATCATGTTCGAGTCAAAATGTATTAACTTGTAATAAGAAATATTCGAAGATTATATGAAGTATTGAGCATTCTTTGTAGAAATATTTGTAATTCATTACTAACATATATAATAAAGTTGTTTTTTTTTCCTTATTGCAATAATTTTGTCTGATTTTAATAACTTTTCATGTATACGAGTTGTGTGAATATGCATCATAATATGCGTAAATATACTTATTTGCGACGAATAATGTGGTTGCATAATGGAGGTGCTAAATTTTGATTTTTAATATGGGGCTTTGGTATGTATAATCATGTTCTTATCTCAACGTAGGAGTATTGGTGCAATATGATTAAAATTTACGAGGTTGATCTTAAATTGAATAATTCTGGAGTATAAATCACAATGCAGCTAATTCTATGTTAAAGATAGATACAGATTGTAGTAATCAATTAGGGAGTACAAATTCATTCTTTCATTTCTGTCGTATTGAGCAGAAAGGAAGAGATCATAACCCTAGGAAAAAAAGCCCAAATTTGTCACTTTTCATAGTACGTTAAACTCAATTCGCTCGGCGAATGCCGAGCACACGTACTCATCATTCAACATAATATTCTCATTCTTTGGTTATTATAGTGCCAGACAACACAAGATTTCAAAGAATTACTTGAGTTTTCAATTAATCTTAATCCGATTTTAGATTTATCGAGAACTCCATCATCACAATCACATACTTCAGTGCGGTAACTACAATTATCCATATACAGAAGGAAGTTCTTTTCGAACAACTCATTTGGAGTCTGTTTTGGAAAGAACTTCTTTCTGTCCGACTTAATTTCATAGTTCCTGATCAACCAAAAGACAGAAACCACACACTATCTACTTAGGAAAGGAGTTCTTTCTAAATCTTCCTTAAATTGAGATTTTACGAGAGATAACCCTTCTATTGCACTTAAAAATGAACATTTTGATATCTTTAGTATCACACATGGTCATATATAGTATTTCATCTACATGAATACATTCATCTTTCGAAGTCTCTCATTAAATGGGAGGCTTCGAAAGATGAATCGTTTTATTCATACAACTTTAAATCTCGAACACATTTAGAGAGTGAGTATATCATTTTATTCTTGTTTTGAGTTTATTCTGATTCAAAATTGCAGTGAAAACAGAAGTTCACACATCATATCTGAATGTGAGCTCATCTATACTTATACGATCTCAATACCTCCACTCTAAGCATAAGAGGTGAAGTTATATAAAAATTATCAGATGCGTTGAAGTCTCAAAAGTATTGCCTGAATGCTTGTTTCATATTTGTCCAAGTAGTTTCAATGAATAAATGTATTGTTTTTTATAATTTCGATTTATTTTTAGAAAATATTCAATATAAACCTTTATTGTGTTATTTACATCTCATAAATTCTCTGTCTAAATCATATAAAAGCGCGTTTTACCCCTATGAATCAAGAAATTCATTCAATATTCATGGTATATTTATTAAATTTATACGATTTACTAATAATCAATATTATATCCTCATAAATAGCAATATATTTTGGTAATCTATGATAATCATATACAATATTTGAAATCAAATTTTCATTAGTTTAGGTTCCTTGTTAATAGTAAACCATTATATTTATTACTAATAATAAAATCTATGTGTCGTATTGAAATTCAATAAAATTACTTATTCGGTCCAAAAAAACAAATTACCCAGATTTGCTTTACTTTTACCACCTCTCGAAAGCTGGGGACACCGCCTATCGTTGGGAGTAGCTATTAAATAGAACCACCAAGGGTATTTTTCGAACTGCCGGTGTAGTGGAAACATCCTACATAATGATTCGTTATGCCAAGGTTTGATTCCCATTTAGCCAATTTTTTTCTTTTTTGGATCATGAATTTTTTTTTGGGTCACTATAAGATTTGTTTCATGTTCTAAATCTGCTGCATATGTAATCTATTTTTATTTACCTATTTTTTAAAAATCTATTGGATTGCCAAATTTGAATATATTTAAAATCATAAAAATCCAAAAAAACTATAAATATATGTTTTATGCATAGTGCCGATACTCAAATATCAGATTACTTAGATCCATGAATAATATCCGAATTTTTTTTCTTAAAATTAAACTTCAAAACTTCTTCCAATCTTATTCTTAATCAACTGTAAATTTTTAAAACCATTTTTTAAAATAATTTTGCGTAAATTTTATTCTCATGTTGTTTTAATCGAAAATTGATACATTTTCAAAAAAATAATATTGACTTATGAAATTCATTTTTAAGGTGAAATAGTATTGTTTTTATTAAAGTATATGAATAATATATAAAAAATTAATGAATAATATAAGCAGATTTTTAGTTTACAAAACAAATATGAGCAATGCAATTTCAAACTTTTGCTGGCAATTTCGATATTGCTCAAGTTTGTAGTATTTGTGATACCTATAACATCGGCTTAATCAAAATTCGATTTTTCTTATGAGTTATTGAGAAAATTTGATTGCAATGAGAAGGATTTCGACGTTTTTGATAAACTAAGAGCTGAGCTTTAGGGGTTCAGTTCATTTATGGCTGTAGTTTGATGTGCAGATCTCTTTTTTATTGTAAATTCTTTCAGCATGGAGATCGAGAATGAATCTTTTGAGAACTTTATGAGTTTTTACACCCGTAAAGAGGTCCTTCGAGGAAAGATAGTCCAGACTACATGAAGATGTGGGTTAACCAAAAAAATCCGATGGTTTCCCCATATTCATGTAGATCTTCGAAAAAATGAGCACCAAAAAAGCCAAAAAAATAGGCTTTTTATTGGATTTGTACACTAGATCAATAATCTATTTAGGATCTGACACTCTTTTTAGCCAGAGATATGAGGTCCTTTCTAGGAAAACGATCTATTCATCCATAAAAAAAATGAATTATCGTTTTCCCCAGAAATTACATGGGGAGTGGTAAAAGTAAAGCAAATCTGGGTAGATAAAATTTTTCTTTTTTTATGTAATTTTTGTTTTTCATTTTTCTCAAGATCCTAAGTTATGTTCTAACTTTTGACATCATATCCTATCATGCTAGGCTATATATTATGGCATATCCAAAAGGCAAGGAAATCTATCAGAGAAGCCTTTTTGACCTATCGTTGCCCTACCTCTTATTGTAAGTCTACATTCAACTTATCTGTGTTCAAAATCGAGTGATCATCCTATTTATATTGAAAATTCATCTCAAAATAATATAAAATATAAATAAAATGTGTAAATACGAAAATGTTATTAGGAATCATATTAATAGGTGTGTGTTTACAGAATTGCATGCCGTAATTGATTGATAAATGAACTTATAACTCAATGAAGATATATTTTTTGTTAAAGAGTCGCATTATCTCCTTCAGCACAACCACATTTCTCCATATTTATAAACTAGTCTATTCCAACTAATGAAATAGATAATTATATAAAAAATGTAATTAAATGTGGCGAATGTATGGATATTGAAAGAAATTACGTAAGCCAACAGTTAAAGTGAAGTTTTGTATCTCCTTTAATGGATAAATTAAGTAAATTTGCATGGCTATATGATATGATCAAAAATTAGAACGCGAGTAAGCAGTAAACATCAAGTCTTCCTCATGCTCAATACACTTGCTACAGTAAAATTTCTTTGAAGTATTCAAAATTTTCGAGTTATCAACAGGACACTCCAAAGATTTTAGAGCCAGACGATAAAAAGACCCAAAAATGCCGAGATTCTTCGTTGTTTTCGAAAACGCTATTGGTTTGTCTATTTTCGACTGCAAGGGTTTAAACGAAATCGTTGTTAACAGCCCACAATACCAGAAGCAATTCATTCAGTTCAATCTTTTCGCCAAAATTGTTCATCTTGAAGCCTTTCAGCCTTTCCCATCCACTGAAGTAGCTCTTGATACACAAACACTTCTTACAGAAGGTTCCCTCTCAGATTTCTATCGTACATTCTTAACAACAAACGTTCCAAATATTTCAGCTAAATACTCAGGAATCACACTTGGCATTTCTGATCAGAAGCTTGCCGGCACAATTGCTAGTGAACTCGGCTACTCCTGCGTTGCTAATGACAACGTTCGTGAAATTATTCGTGGTATTCGCCTTAATTTCACAAACTTCATGGACTCAATCAAGCAAGAAGATGTCAACCTTGCTCAGCTCGGTCTTGCCCACGGTTACTCTCGTGCCAAAGTTAAATTCAACCAGCACGGTGATGATAACATGATTATCTCATCAATTGTTCTCCTTACAACCCTCGACAAGGATCTTAATACCTTCGCCATGCGTCTCCGCGAATGGTACTCCGTCTACTTCCCAGAACTTTCCTCATTAATCGACGACCACGCCACATACGCCCATGCCGTCCAAGCAGTCGGCCACAGAGAGAACGTCAATGTTGACGCCCTCAAGGAGCTTCTCAAGGACGACGATCTCGTCTCAAAGATCCAGCACGCAGCAGATAACTCAATCGGCCGCGAAATCGACGAAACTGACTATGCTCGTATTATTTCAATGGCTGAACGTGTTGCCGGTATCGCCAAGTTCCGCGAGACCCTCCAAACATACTTACACGAAAGAATGCATAATATCGCTCCAAACCTTACAGAACTTGTCAGTGATAGAATCGGTGCTCAGCTCATTGCTGCATCCGGCTCACTCACAAACCTCGCAAAGGCTCCAGCTTCTACAGTTCAATTACTTGGTGCAGAAAAAGCACTTTTCAACGCAATGAAGAAGAGGAAACCAACACCAAAATACGGTTTAATCTACAATGCCAGCGCTGTTGGCTCAGCCGATGCTAATGTCAAAGGCCGTGCTGCCAGATCTCTCGCAAACAAGATCTCCATCGCTGCCAGAATGGATGCATTCGGTGAAGACTTGAGAGGAGGACACCTTGGCCGCTTAATGAAGGAAATGCTCGAAGTAAGAGCAGAAAAAGTCCACGAAGGAAAGAAGCCACAGCCAAACTTCGATGCAATGGTCGAAGCAGTCAAGAAGACCAGAAAACTCGAAGCAGACGATCCAGCTAACGCAGGCGCAGAACTTGACTTAGAAGTCAGATCTAAACCATTGACAGCCGCCGACAACGAAGCTGATTTCTTCGCTGACGGATCAGCAGTCAAATCTACTCCACAGACACCAGCTGGAGAAGAGAAGAAGAGGAAGCACAGGAAGCACCACCACTCTGAGGAAAAGGCTGAAGAAAAACAGCCAGAACCAGAACAGAAACAACCAGAACCAACTCCAGAACCAGAACAAGAGGAAGGAAAGAAGAAGAGAAGGAAACATCGCTCAAGTGAAGCTGCTGAGGAAGTAAAGAAAGTAGAAGAAGAAAAGAAGGTAGAAGAGGAGCCAAAGAAGGAAGAGGCTGCTCCTCAAGAGGAAGGAAAGAAGAAGAGAAGAAAACATCACCACCAAGAATAAAGAAATAAAATTTAGATTTTTATTTTCAAAATTTATAAAGTATTTTGTACTTAAAAGCAAAATATAGTAAGTGTATTATTGAGATGGCCGCTGATTTTGAGATTTTTCATTAAAATTATCCCGAATTTTTTTAGAGGTGATCGTTTTAGAATCAGGGAACTAGAATAGTGTGATTGTTGTTGTGTTGTATTTATGTTTACCTATTAGTTCAGGCTATATTCTTATTCCATTTTGCGTAATTTCAGAAAATTTATTGAATTAAGGATATTCCATTCTGTTTTCATCATTTTCGATGTTATTAAATGCTATTCGGAGAAATATTTAGGACCGTGATTTTTGCTATCTGAATTTATATTGTAATCTTCAGAATTTTTAGAGGCAAGGAAGCGAAATGGGAAAGCAATACTATGCCGCACTTTTCATTCAGGCCTCTGTTCCACTAATGGATATTTTCATTTCTTTCAGCACCTTAGACTGGTTAGGACGCACTAATTTGTCCCACTTCTTAATGATTCTTTGGTATAGGGAAATTTTCGATATGGTCATAAATTTCTTATTGTCAATAGTCATGATCATATACAGATTCTATCAAAAGGATATAGTTGCAAATATTATTGTCAGAGGCATATATGGCGCTATTTTTATTAATGTAGTCTTATTACTACCATTTGTTATATCTCCTAATTCATATTTCCATAGGTATAAACAAGAGTTTTACACGAATCATTCCCAGCCATTTTACAGATCATTAGTCCAACAATTCAAGTGCTGCGGATTCCTTGAACCAAGAGAGATTAAAGACCAAAACTGCAGATCCTACAATCGAGCATGCGTTCCTGCTATCTCCAAAGCTATCTTTCCATGCATAAGATCAAAAATAATTTTATTGATCATTATCAGTGGTCTTCAGTTAGTGGCATGCTTCCTTATAATGTCAGTTCAGAACAGTGGTGAGGGAATTGAAGCATCAGAAGAAGAAGAAAACGAGAAAACTCCATTGATCAGTGCCAAAGACCAAAAGCAGCAGCAACAATAAGCTTTCTGCCTAGTTTGTGTATTGGTTATTGTTTGTATATAGAAATTATTCATTCAAATATTATTTATATTTTTATTTGAATAAATAACTTTGTTATTAATATATTTATTTGAAGACTTAAACAAATTTCCTAAAATCAAAAAATTAATTGGTCATATTATATTTTTCAGTATTTTTAAAGAGATTAGTTTATATATTTAAAAGTAGAGATCATTTTATGGTTAAAGATAGTTGAATTATAATTTAACGGAGCCGTAAGCGCCCTGGAAATCTGATTTCATAGATGTAAGAAGGCAAACAAGAAGACCCATAATACCAATAAGTTCTGAGAAAATTTGGACAATAAGCAATTTGAAGAAGAGATCAGCATCACGGTGGCAAACAATTGAAATTGTAGCGCCGACAACGCCAATAGCGAGACCAGCAGAGAAGCTGCAGCAGCCCTGGACTAAACCAGAGAAGAATACTGAGAAACCAGCATGGTGTAATTTACGGTAATCGAGCTGAGATGAACCAGATGGTGGTGTTGGGCAACGGCCTTCAAGAACAATAGCCATAATAAGACCGTAAATAGCAATAACTTCGCAAAGAATGAGGTTCATGATATCTCTCATTGAAATTTTTCCAGATATACCGGCAGTGCCGCATGAGGCAGTACCGCATGTCCAGATACCCCAGCCAGCGCCAATGGCGGATAAACCTACGCAAAAGCCAATGCCGGAAGAGGCAAGATTGTATGGGTTGAGGGTGAGGAAGTACGACATCTGATGTTGTTGAATGGGTCAAAACCGGTGTCGATCGTCATGTAAACTTTGTATTCAAAATAAGCATTTTTGCGATAAAATAATATGATGTCTGGAATAGACTCTTTGTGCCTATTACATTAGATGAATAATCTCATGTAAAACTTTTATATTTGCATTACTTTTGGAGCGACGATTAAAAACGAATTTCAATAGTTTATCGTACTCTATCGTCCAAAATTGAATAAGCATAACGAAAATCTCTTTCGGACAAGAGTGTATCAACTCAAATCATCATATCTAAGCTAAACTTGTTTCAACAACATTGAGAACTTTAGTAATGCAGTTGTACATATATAATTCCTCATAATTTTCTGGATCATTAGATCAAATTTCTAATAATACTTCAATATCTTCCTGTTTATATATTGAATAATGCATATAAATAGATAGAAAAGGATAAGTTAACTTTGTGCAAAAAAACATTTTCAAGAAGTTAAAAATACTATATTAGCAATATCGAGCGTTATTTGATTAAGTCTTTGACAAAATAACGCTCAACATTGCTAATACAGTCCGGTGGTTTCTCGCGTGTTAAGACCTGGCTGGCGTGTTAAGACGATAAATTCAAAATTGAGAACTTTGGCAAAAATTTTCGTGGAATCATTTTTGGAAATATATTTGATAATATTGTAAATAATAATATTTCATAAATTTACAAAATTGTGTCAAAATTTTCCATCATGAGCATCTAATGGTGCATGTAGCAGACTATATTGAATTAGGATTAGAACACATAATATTTTTGGGGATTAGAAAATCACTCATCATTAATAGAATTTTAGTTTTCCCTTTATTAAGATATTGAAAATCTGACAAAACAGTTTTGGGGCTGTTGGATTATATCAAATTATCTTAAACGTTAATGAATGACATTCAAATTCGTTTAATTGATACTTTGTTGGTATAATATTATCCAATTTTTTGGATCTGGAAATTAGAAGATTTAAATAATATCACATTCTTATTCTATCTATGTGCTCATAATATGTAAGCGTTATTCAGAAAAATAGATGATAATAGAATTATCATATTTATTTCGATAAGTAATGATAAACCATAGTGAAAAAAGCAAGGAATAAACACTAATCATGTGTTATTCTTCCTAAATACCCATTTATTTCCATTCTTTATGACTAAATTGCATGTAATAAATGTTTTGTTACGTCAATTAACAACAGTTTGTAAATAATTTGTACTATATTAGTATGTATGTTCATAATATAAGGAAAAATAGCAAAGTACGATTATGTCAAAAAGTTAACACGCCAGCCAGGTCTTAACACGCGAGAAACCACCGGACTGTAATATTTTGTCAAAGAGTTAATTACTTATATTGTCTATTGTCAATATACAAATTGTTCAGTGATTATTTTTTTGGAAAAATTTGACTTATATAATCCATGTTGTGAAGGATGTATACCAAACTTATAGCCTCAATGTTTTTTTTTTATGATTGTCATGTGGTGTAAAGTGAATAATATTGTAAATTATTCCTGAGCTTGAACTAATAAAAGGAAAATACTATTCAGCCACTAAATTGAAATTCAAGAATTCAATTTCAACGACTATTATTAAACAATTGTAAGCATGGCCTGATTCTAAAATCATTCTTTGCCTATAAAAAGCTCACATTCCAATTGGTAATAAAAATTTTGCACTTTTCTAATTTGCCGCGTCAAATGTTGGGCGGGAGGCTATCAACAAATTAAAGATTATATAATGTTATTATATAATGAATTAAAAATAGGATAGAATGTCAGGCGAAAATGAGAGGAAAAGTGAGAAAAAATGGCTTTTCAGTTTACAATTTTTCGTTGATACACCTCATGATATCAAGGAAAAAGAGGTGATTGAACGAAATTGTTTTATCTCTATTCCAAGAATCAATTGATTTAGAATGATTGGAAAAAAAATCTTGAAAAAATCAAGTATCTTGATGAAAATTATATTGTTATCTGCTTTTCCATTGTTACTGCATCATTTGATATCCATGGACTTATTCAAAATTCATAATTTATATCCGAAATCTTTTTGGTCATTGTTTTCCACATGTATAACATAGTATTTTTTCTCATAATAAATTTAAGATGTATTTTATATGGTTAAATGCAAATGTGTCTTTTTCAAAAATTATTAATGTCGGACCAAGACGTTCAACCAAGCAAATACAACAAATTGCGAAGTATCTACAAATATTATATCGATTCATATTTTACATTGTATCAGCTAAAAACGGAAAAGGAAGAAGAATTAAACAAGATTTACAAAATGATCAAAACAGAATTGATTGATTCAAAGAAATTTCCACCTCAAATAATTATGAACGATATTTTAAATATCATTCGGTACAACAATCGCTATGCAAAGTCATATTTATTCCTTGCCAAACTCATATATGATGAATATCATGTGGAAGAAGTCAACAATCTCACTTATCTTCCAAACGTCCTGTTTTATAAAGAATATGGAATTAAATTAGACAAATCTGCCGATTTTGAAGAAGATCATTCAGAAAATCTCGATATTCATACAGAAAATACAATTTACAGAGCAATTATGAATAATGACTTAGAAAGATTCATATACTTCACTGAAATAGATGGATTTGATAAAAATCAAACACTTGAAAGCAAATTATATCCATATTCTAAGAATGGATATTCATTACTTGAATTATGTTGATACCATGGAGCTGTTGATTGTTTCAAGTTATTAAGAACGAAATTCAGCTCAGAAATAACTCAAAAATGCCTCAGATTTTCATTTTTAGGAAGAAACAAAGAGATCATGAGTGAATGTTTGAAATATCAAACACCAGATGATGGTTGCATGGCTTATGCAATTATTTCACATAACATTGATTTTGTTACATTCTTGATGAATGAATACAATATAGAGATCGATTTAGAAGATTGTGGAGTTTTCAATAATCTTGAATCCTATTTAGTTTATTTCGATCAAACTAAGGATATAAACAAATGTTTTGTTTATTCACCAATTCTTAATATTCCATCCCTTTTGGAATATTTTCTTTCACATGGTGCTAATATCAATGAAAAAAATAACGATGGAGAAACCGCACTTTATATTGCAGCACGGAATAATAGTAAAGAAACCGCTGAATTTCTTATTTCACATGGTGCTAATATCAATGAAAAAGATAACGATGGAGAAACCGCACTTCATATTGCAGCATTGTTTCATCATGAAGAAATAGTTGAACTCCTTATTTCACATTGTGCGAAAAAATAATATTCTTATATAAGGTATTATTCTTTATTTTTATGGTATTTTCGAGGAAGAATTTCATTAGAAATAAAAAAAATAATTAAATTTTACCAAAATTAACGCCTTTTTTAGAAAAATCATTATCTGGGACTTCTATGTATACCATTCATCAGAGCATACTCCATAATATCATGTTCTATCTTGATGGAGAAGTCTGAAGATTATATAAAAATTGATTATTGATTATTATATAAGTATAATGCAATTATTCAATATAAATTTATTCATTTAAGTATAATGTAATCCATTTCCCACAAAAATCTTTTTTTATTGTGTAACAATATACAAACAGATAAATATTTTACATCAAAACTGGTTTATATTGTGATAATGCTTCAAATGCTTAAAAATTATAATGAAAATCAAAGTTATGGAATGATTTATATGAGCTATATTTGAACTTGAATAAATTCACTCATAGTTAAGCATGAGATATTCTAATGTAATTATTCCAAAATATCTCAATTACAAAAAAATAAATATTACCTAAAATGAATTGCTTATTCAGCAAACAATTATATTATAATTTTGGAAATAATAAGCGTATTCATCCAAAAATACTTTGATTACCATTCGAAAATGAAACATTTTACTAGAATCGATTTATTATATATAAATTCTATATGAACAAAGGTATATATTCATCAATATTATATTTGATATAATGAATATGATACAGAATACTTCATTTTTAAGAATTCACAGCTAAACTTTCTTCAGTTGATACTATTTTATGTTGTAGCAATTATTAACTGTTTGATTCACTCATATTCAATGACAATCGTTAATTTATTAACATATGTGTTTGATAATATTATATGATAGAGTATATGCTAGTTATATAATACAAAACTTGAAAGACATGATGATTAGTTTTGGAGGATTTTCAAGCTAAACTACGATTTTGACGCGATAAATTTTGTCAATAATAGTAAAAAATTTGTATTGGTCGCGCCCGTAACAAAATTTTTGGTTTTCTATCAAATTACTTGTAAAAATAAACGACTTTAAGGCTTCACTAACATGACAAAAATTAAAGTCCCTTGAGATATATATTCTATGATGTATATCAATGCTATATTTATCATTAATTTTTATTGACCCACCCATAAAAAGCCTTCTTCCACTAACATGAGTTATAACGTGCTTTTTCTGAAAATGAAAGACTAGTATTAATATATATTGTAGAGCATATTTTTCTTCTTTTTTAAAATTTTGAATATTTTTTGCCATGTTAGTGAAGCCTTAATCCCTTCAATTTCCACTTTTTTGACAAAATTTCTTGAATTTTGTATCAAAAAATTTATTGATCAAAGTTTAGCGTTTATTTAGCAGGAATCCTGCGAAAACATAACTAATATTTCAATAAAACATGGTTTTGCCAAAGATTTATTCAAAAAGTATCTTCGATTCTGAATTTGCAACCGTTTAGATATAATGAATTGCTATATTTTATATTTGGCTTATCAAAAATGGTTTATCATCACTTCTGCACTGATTTTAAATGTTGTATTCATTATCAACTCACATATATATGTAGTATTGGCATAGCACACACATGTTTTAATTGAATATGGCATTGTATTAATGTTTTCCTCTACCATTATAATCGTTCAAATTCTTTAATAACAATGATAATTTAGAAATCCCAATTTTTATATATATATTAGGCAAGTCCATGGGCGATTTTAATGTCCATGGACTTGATTATAGTCCATGGGCGATTTTAATGTCCATGGATTGAATTCAAGTACTTGCCTATTAATCAACATTGCATTGGGATCCTAAAAGCCTAGAAAATTCATTCCAATCTATCTTTTTGAATTCGCTCTTAGACACAAAATAAAATCATCGAATTCTAATTTATCATAAAAATAAAATCAAATAAAATTTTTTTATTTGTACAATAGTCTGTAAGCAGGCTGTATAATTGCCGTCTTTACATCTCTGAAGACAGGGTTGATGTCCAAGATCTTCCTCGATATCTCCAAAGCGAGTTCCGGCTTCGATGTTCTCATTGCAGAATAAGCCAAGTTGTATCCAGCTTCAATATCTGTCTGGCCAGACAATTCCCACACTCTTAACAGTGCTGTAACAGCATCAGCGTACATCTTGTTTTGGAAATAGACGTTTCCGCTCATTTCCCACGCCTTCTGGCAGCTCTTGTTCAAATCCAGTGCCAAGAAAATGAACTGGTGAGCGGATTTCGGATTTGGCGAGTTCTTTGCCAAAGTTGCCCTCATCAGATAACTTTCTTCGAAATAAGGAGCTGTTTCATGGAAGGGAACACCGGCCAATACACTGGAAATGTACTTCTCAGCCTCATCAACTAATCCCAATCTCATGTTGTACCTCGCTGCAGCTGTCAAGGCCATGATATTCGTCCTTTCTTTAGATAATACGTCTTGTACTATCTGAAGTGCGGATTTTACGTTGAGATATATATTGGTTGCGGCCAGGAGCTGTGCGTGGTACAGTTGTCTCTCGTTATCGCTGATGTTCATCTTAGATAAAATCTTTGATGCACTCTCCAAAGAGCTTTCCTCGGCCAATGGTGTTGTTTCCAGCCAGAGGAACTTCTTGTCGGGGTTGGAGTACACTGAAAATAGCATTAACTGTGCGGCCAAACACCAATGATTCGATTGCATCGCTCTCTCGAAGTATTTGATCGATTCCTGGGCCTGGCTGATATACATATAGTACAAGCCACGAACAAATGACATGCCTGGAGAGTTATCGTCTGGATATTTGTCAATTCTTTGTTTGGCAATCGACAAAACTCCGGCTCTGGCACAAACTTCGACCAGTCTGACAAATGTCTTGTAATATCTCGGCCTTTCCTCGATCAATCCTTCAATATATTTGATTGCTTTGGCGTAATCGCGAGATTCTGCCGAAGACATCAAAAGAACGACTGTTTCGTTCTTAGGATACTTCTCAAGGTATTCGTAACATACTGCGAGGCATCTCTGCTGATCAAATCTCACTTTGTACAGATTAAAAAGATGAGCAACTGCATCGTGGTTCGAATCATCGATTGTAAGGGCTTTTTGGTAGAAGGAAAGTGCTCTGTCGCGGTTTATCTTCTCAATGTTCTCGCCAAGCATGACACAAACGTTTGATGCGGACATTTTGAGGGAAACTGCGTATTTGTTCGTTCCTTCCTTCAGAAGGATGGATTCGTACTTCTCTAGAGCTTGTTTGAAGCAGTTTTCCGCTTCTTCGCTCTGATTTAATTTCATACAAACAATTCCTCTTTGTTCTAGGACTCTGGCGTTTGTTGCCACTTGGTTTTGTACTACTAGCTTCACAGTGGAGTTGATACATGACTGAGCTTCTTGATATCTCTTCAAAGTAATCAAAATTTTGATTAAATACAAAGGAACAGCGATATTTCCGCGAAGGAATGAAGCTGATTGCATAAGGATGCTGGCTGCTTCATCGAATTTGTGGGCATTAACTAAAACAGTGACAAGTTTCTTGAGAATTCCGACATCTGGCATTTTTGTATCGAAAGCTGTTGTATAGGCCTTAGCAGCTTTATCATAATCATTAATCTTGTTGTATGCATCGCCTAGCATCTCTTGGTGTCTTCTAGATGGGAAATTAGTGTTCAAATCTTGATAAGTCTGGATATAAGCCTTTCTATCGTTATGGAACTTGAGGTTTATGAAGGCCTCCGATGTATATCCGAGGTCAGCGAGTCTCTTATGTGGCTTTAATTTTGAGATCAATTGTTCTGCACGAGAAAACATGGACTTTGAGCCTAAAATGATGGACTGGGCTGATATAAGCATTGCTTTCTCATATTTTGTCTGTGAACATGCGTTTGCTTTTTTGATCATTGAGCCAGGTAAGTTAAATTCACCGAAATCGAAGCAAATCTTGAAGAAATCCATATACTGTGTGACACTCCTAGTCTCTTTGTTGAAGAATTCGGAGGCTTCTTTGAGTTCTAAGTATGGATTTTCTTTACTTCCATTTAATCGCAAATTTGTTAACAAATAATCTAATGAATTTGTTAATGTTGGATCTGCAGCAATTGCTTCATATAAATATCCTTTGGCCTCTTCGTACTCCTCATTTTCATACAAAAGTGACGCGATGTAAAGCATGACGAATGGAAGTCTGTAAACCCATTGTCCTAGAAGGATCTTCTGGAACACGGAGACAGCTTCATCGACCTTTCCGACTCTCATGAGCAAGAGACCTCTTAAAAGTCTGATTGGCTGGAAAACTGGCGCTGGTTTATCTAATTTCATGAATATTGTCATAAGACGTGTAGTATTTTCATCGCTAATAGTGTTAGCGATTGAGTTATTGTAGAATATTAATTCGTCAAGTGCATCTGTGATCGTATCTATGCGTAATGAAGTTAATCTTTGTAATGGCTTTTCTGTATCGCTAATTATCGATAGTTGATCGCCGAATAAGTGTTTAGAGATATTGTTGTTATCGATTCTCTTCTCAATGAGATCTAAAATTAATTCGATATTTTCTGTGACGTGTTTTGTTACTCTGATCAACTTTGTCTGGAGAACTGCTTCTTCTAATGTCATAGGACCAGCAATTCCCATCATATCGAGCTGGTCTTGAGCCTCTCCGTATCTTCCGATTTCTGTCATCACAGCAACAAGGCAATCCGCTGCGAATTGGTTCATTGGAGATTTCTCGATGGCTTTCTGAAGGCTTGGAATGGAAATTACGTAGTTTCTCGAGAGATACTGGCAGTATCCGAGAATTGCAAGAGACATTGAGTCCGCGTATGGGTTTTCTGCCGCGATTTTGGCAATTTGTATGATTTTATCGATGAATGGGAATCTTTGGCTGTGTAATGTTGAAAGACAAAGTGCAACATTTTGTAAAAGTTTCCAATTCTTGCCTTCTACGGTTCCGCAGACCTCGAGTAAGTTCTGTGTTGCTGTTTCAGCAGATACGTAATCTCCTTTTCCGAGAATTAATGATAAAACTTCGACATAATGATATTCGAATTTAGAAATTAATTGATCTTGAACTTCTGATAAGATATTGAGTGATAGATCCCAGTTGTTAAGAATTTGGTGTATGCGTGAACGTTCACAAGCAATTTCTGGGAAATTATATTTGGAAAGAATTTGAGATTGAACTTGGAATGCTTCAGCATTTTTTCCAAGAGCTGCAAGGCATGTTGCCTTTCCGTATAATGGAATGACATCGTAAGCACGAAGTGGATCATTTAACTGATCGCAAAAATCATTATAAGCTTCTTGAATTTTGCCTTCTGAGTATGTAATCCATGCAGAAATGGATCTTGAGAATGGTGTTGGTGTGATTGTACGGATGATTTGGCGAGCAAGCTTGATATCACCGAAAAGCCAAGCGATTTGAGCTGAATGTGCTGTAGAGAAATTGTTCTTGTCAGTTACATTTTCAAAAATTTCTTGTCGTAATTTATCTAATTTCTCGTTTTCCTCTGGATCTTTGACCCATTCGAGGAAATATAACGATGTCTTGTATACTAATATCAAATCTTTTCTGACTTTGAGATGTTCTATCTCTTCAAGACTCTCTTTAAACATCCCAAGCTTTGCAAGACTCAGGCCGTGCCATAAAAACAAAATCAAGTTGTTTGATTTCTCTTGAATTCCTTTCTCGCAAAGTATTCTTGCATGCCCATACATTTCATGCCTCCAAAAATATAAAACACGTTCCTGGAAGCAACTTTGCATCAAAGAATGCTAATTTTTTTTTACAAATTGTGTTCGTTTTGAATTTTTATTTTTATCATTTACATTAATTGAGCTCTTCTGAATATAGATCACACTATCTCTAAGGAATGTATTTCATCAAGAAAAATCATTGGAAAATGTTAATTGAATTATGAATAATGAATTAACTTGCGTTTTATTGTGTTCTTCATATTACAATCCCGATTCTAACTAAATTTATACTTATTCAACTTGATTGAGAGTCATAGAAAGGTTTCATTATTGTGAACATAGTAAAGGTTTTAGTTCTTTATATGAAATCGAACCTTTTCATTATTTATCAAACAGGAGATAAATAAGATGCATAGCAACTGTTTTTACGTATACATCCAACAAGATTAAGAACAACCTGTAAATAAGTAGTGAAATGTTGGAGGAATCTTTTTTCTTATGTAATGATATAGTGTTATATGTTGCATAATTAAGAGCAGTTTAACCATTAAAATCTCTAGCATTAATATCTAATTGCATTTGAAGCATGAAACTCTATGGCTTTTCAATATATTAATGATTTTTTGTTATTTATCATGTATCATGAGTTATGAACCGTTTGATAAGAAGTAATCACTCAAATATCTTCTTCAATTAGAATGAATGTTCTTACAGAGAAACAATTGATATTTTCCGAAAAAGTAATAAATATTATGTTTATAATTATACAAAAATAACAGATAAAAAAAATCTATAAAAATAAATTAGAAAATCTTACAAGATTCCTGTTGTTTCCTCTTATTTGCGAACTCTTCGAATATTTCGATGAGTTTCTGGTCTTCGTTTTCCACTGCAATCATGTAAGGAGTTCTTCCTTTTTTATCTGCAATTCCAAGCAAAATGTCAGTCCTTGAAAGCAGCAACTGTACGATTTGCACGTTCCTCTTCTTTGTTGCTATATGCAAAGGAGTCTTGTTTGACTTAGTTTTCGCATTTACATCAACAGATGGGACGTCAACAAAGAATTTAACGATGTAATCATAATCAGTCTCAACAGCGATGTGCAGAGGTGTCTTTCCTTCATCAGTTCTGGCGTTTACGTCAACTTGTGGCGTATTCAGTAATAATCTGATGGAATCGATCTGGCAATTGTCAGCAGCGATATGCAGAGGTGTTACTCCCCACGCATCCCCTGCATTTACGTCGATTCCTGATATGTCAAGTAACATATAAAGCGCATCTGTGTTTCCGTACTCGGCTGCTGCATGGAGAGCTGTTCTTTGGAAGATTTCTGTCTCGTTTGGAAGGATTCCGCGCTTTAACAGGTCTAATAAAATTGAGATATTATTAGTAATCGCGGAAACAACAATCGGAAGACGGCCATCCTTATCAGGAATATTTGGATTGTACTTTTTCTGTATCAAAAGATCGTAAACGGCCTTCTGGTAAAAAGTGATCGCCATTCCGAGAGATCCGTCGAGAGGATCGAGTTCTTTGTTGGCGAATCTGCGGAAGAATGATGTTTTTCCACCTGCTGCTGCAAATAATGGCAGCATTCGGTGTTTTTTGTCCCAAATTGGTCCTTTTGCGTAATTTGTCGCAATTGCGCCTACTTTCTTCTTCGGACGGATGTATTCGTATATCTGATTGGATCCGTATACATTCGTGTACATATAAAGTGAAGGAGAAGCGTCTGCGATACAACAAATTTCATATGTGTCTGGAGGAACAAGATAACCTTCGTCCAAGTTCATTGACTGTGCTATCTTGCTGAATTCTTGAAGGTCATCATGGAAAATCGACCCGAGTAACGTATTTCTATCTGGATTTGCCGAAACATTCTCTTTAAAGAGCTTCCAGTCATCAGCTTTCAACTTCTCGAAGTTTTCGTAGAAAGTTCTATAAGCTCCTGGGAAGAAAACATCTTGGCAATTTACTCTGAACAATTCCATCACATCTTTGAACAAATTTTGGTCTCTTTCGAAAATTTCCTTGGCGAACCATGAGAATATAAGGCAAACAAGACGTTTCTGACGGGTCTTTTCGTAGTAAAATTCTTTAATTCCTTCAATAATTTCTTCAATTTTGTAAACACCAGCATTACAGAGGCATCTTAGCAAGCATACGTTGGAACACATTGAAGGATAAGGTTCTCCAGCCAGCATCTGCGTAAAAATCTTTTTCAGATATAATTCTTTTATCTGAGCAGTATTTAAGAAGTTTGTATCGTATTTCAGCAACTCTATGATCATCTTACAATAAATATCAATGCATTTGAAGCGAACTTTGCACGCAATCATCAAATTATTAATAAAACTTGTCAAATGCGACTGATCAGAGAAATTCACGTTCTTTAGTATCCATGTGCAGGTATTATCGAATCTTTCTGGCGTTATTTCCATCAGAGCGTCTTGCATCAAAATAATAAAAACAGCTCTTTCTTTTGCTTTGCTTCCGAGGTCTTTAATTGCATATATATCTTGTACTTCCTTCGTATTCATGACATCCTTGACGCTCATTAAACTTATCTGAAATTGAACTCCTTCTCGAGTATTTATTGGATGAATTGCATTTCCAGAAGTAGATAATGTAAGTTGTTGTTCCATAGTTTCTGCATATGCATTAAATTCATCTTTTCTGAGCTTCCTACAATATAATAAAACATCTCTTTTGAAAGGTTGAATAATAGTCTGTAATAATGGTCGATTATCAGGGTTCTTCTCCCAACCTTGCGTAATGAAGTCACAAAGGAAAGAAAAAGCTCTGATATTTTGAGGTAAACCTGAATTGTTGATAATGTAATCTGAAAAAGAGCCGCCAAACTCATCTCGCTTGAATATTTGTGGTGGAGCGGAGATACGATATATTAGCATAGCCAAAGCGTAGATATCTGATTGAATTGTGAGAAAAGGTATGTTTTTCGAAAACATTTCTGCTGAAAGCATAAGCATTGTATGCACATCGTGTGTTTGTTGATACGTATTTGGATTTTGAGTCAATATTCCGACCGATGCAATTTTTGGTTCTTTATTATCTGTTAAAAATATGCTAGATGGCTGAATATCGCCATGGACTATATTATTTTCATGTAAAAATGTGATTGTTGCAAGTATACCGTAAATTAATTTCATTATTGTAGTGAAATCCATCGTTGTATTCTTCATACCTAGAGAAATAGAGTCTATAATTGCCGACAGATTCTCACCACCCGGATATTCGTAAATAACAATCGGATTTTGATGAGTTTCAGGATCGGCAAAAGTGTAACCAACAACAGGCAATATACCTGGATGTTCTATTTGCTTCATTCTTTGTATCATTCTCGCTAATTTGCCGATACCTGTTGGCGATGTATCAATCATGTTGTACTCGTACATTGCATAAATTGTTCCTGTCGTTTCGTTCATGCACGTGTACACTGTACGAGATTCTGTAATGGATATTGTATCTAATTTTTGGTAGTCTTCGTAATTTAATGGCTCTAGGGATGGAAGTTGCTCCATTAAATTATTTTCACACCCAAAAATTGATAAAAAATCAAAAATTCAGGAATTTGTGAGAAACAGATAAATTTAAAAATAATGTGTGGTGATGACTCCTAAATCTATATCTTAATTTCGAAAACGATATTCTCTTGCTAACATTTTCAGTGAGAAATTCGATACATTGATGGAATTGAGAAAAAACAAATGTTATACAATGAAGTATTGTCTGCATGTAGTATATGATTCCTTCTCTTATTGATATCATACTCATATCCCCAAAAGAATCTTTCGAAATTTTGAGGTTTTACAAATTGGCCGAAACATATGCACCCATATCTAATATGATAATACTTTAAAAAAAGAAAAACAATCTGTAAATATGTTTAATTGAAGGAAAACAAGTAACATCCAACATAATAAATAATGATTGGATGGTAATTTATATGAAGTGCTTTATATATAAGATATCTCATGCTCAAAACATATAAGATCGAAGAATAGAACAATTTTTATTTTAACAATTTTGAGAATCTTCTTAGAATTATCATTTACTAGATTCGGTAGTTGGCATGTACTTGGAGATGATTTTAGTCATGTTTTCACTAAGAGAAATAACATTGTTAAGGCGTTCTTGAACTTTAGGATTGTTATAATAGTTCGGAGGAGGAACACGCATGAATTTTGATATCAAAGCATTGAATTCTTTATCATCTCTCCATAAGTATTTGTGTTCAATTTTATCATGAAGTTGATTAGATTGAGCTGGTTTTAAATTAGATCCCTCATCAAGGTAACTGCAAAATTCATTACCAAACTTGATCGCTTCTTGATTTGCCTGATTATTTTTGCTCATATAGAAAATGAAGTGAAATTCAAAAGAGAAAATTTTTTTGGTCGAGTCAAAAATTAAAAATAACACGTCATAAGGGGGTTCTTTTTATCATTATTTTATGTCGAAAATTCATTGGAGAATAATATTATTGAACATTTTTGCTGTGACTTCTGTCGTTATTCGTGATTTTCATATGCTTTATCAAGCTAAGAAAGCTGCCTATTGAAATAAGTTCATTTTCAATCTGGTGATTCTTCCATTTCCACAATAAACCTTTTTCAAGCTTCACAAGACCATAGAATTAAGTCTGTCAATGTAACACTCAGCTGGTGGATATAAACCAATCTTCTTATTAATTTTAAATTTTGGAAGATCGACACTCTTGAAAATCTTTAATTTTAAGTAAACATTATGATGAAAAAGTTGAATTAGAGAATGAATATTTATAAAACAAAGATAATTAAAATGAATTTGTGAAATAGGAAAAGTAATAGCTTTGTATAAATGAAAACTATTCCATTGTTTGGTGTCTGTTAAAATAAGCAATAAATATCTAATAATTAAGGAAATAATTTTCATAAATCACAAAAAATTGAAAAAATAAATATCAAAAAAAGATATTCCTGATCGAAAATTAAAGTTACGTTAATAGTAAATGGGCTATGAGTCATTGGTATAAGTAAAAATTCGAAATTAAGCTGGTTTTGCAAAGTTTTTCATTCCTTGAATGATTTCGAGTAATTTTGGTCTAGAGAATTGAGGTATTGAGTCAGTTACATGTTTTGCTGTGTCTGAAGGGTGTAATGTATCCATATTTGAGTATGAAGGGATAAAAACATGTGAATTTATTAATTTTGGACCGCTCTCGATGATTGCCGCTGGAACTCTGCAATCATAAAATCTAACAAGAAATGAATTATTAATTAATTGAATACAAGCACTAATATCACCATAACTCATTAATTCGTTTTTAATTTGATCAGAAACTATAGAATGGTTCATAAATTTTGGCTGTAATAGAATGGAATCGCAATAAGAAACTTTTTCAAATTCGGAATCGCAGTAAAGCTTAGTGTCAAATGATTTCTGATGACAAATGTTAATTTTAATTTGAATAATATTGCGTATATCATACATACTAAATGAAACAGAGCCAAAATTAGGAATATTATTTTGGAAATTAAATGATGGACCAAAAGCTTCAACAAATGCTTTAACAGCCTCTAAAGGTGTATCTTTGTTGAACCCTGATATTTTTAAAGTTCTTGAATTTTCTCTTCGATTATAATCACCTGAAGAATTACCTCTTGAAATCCTTGGATGGTTGAAAGTTCTACCTATGTGTTCATCTGGTGTTTTAGGACGATCTCGTCCAGATATGTTCATATTCATTTTGAAATGTCACCTTTTTCACGAAAACCAAAAACCATTCCTAGAACAAAGATATATAAAAAGCACAAATATACTCTTTACCAGAAAGCTAGTGACTCACAAAATTGAACCATTATTAAATTTCTTGGTTTTGAAATCTCAAATTACAAGTATCAGACACAGAATATCAAATGGGATTGAAATAGATTTATTAGTTTCAACTAAAATCGGATTAAAATGCTTATTATCCTAATCTGAATTTGCAATTCAGATTCATTTCTAATTAAACATGTGTATTTGTTGATTCCCATATAGGCACTATTAAACTATGAGAGAAGGTCTCTCCATATCCCCTGCAGTCAGGTTTTCTAATTGATCCGAAAAGATTTGATGCTGAGAAAATAAGGAAATCGATAATCGTAGGAGAATTTTGGTATTTACAACTGTACAGACTTCAAAACACTAATGATGTGGTATAAAAAAACAATAAGTATATTTTTCTGAAATCCAAAGATTTATGTAAACTTCGGAATTGAGATCAATTACCCAGCTTTTACTCAGAAAGTGAGAATTTGTAAGGTTATCGTTCTCTCAGGATAATATTAACTGTAGTGTTCTGGAGGCATTATAATTTTTAGTTTCAGAATGAACAGTTTACAAATTTTTGAGGAGAAACGATGAATCCAAAAAAAATATTTTTCTCAAAATGGCAGGGAGCTTTTATGTTGATATTATTCAAGTAGGTGTATCAATGATCTTAATTATTGCAATAGGTTATATCCTTTCATGGTTACAACTCTTTGATGCCGATGGTTTTAAAGCAATGAACGCATTTTCAGCAAAAATTTGTTTTCCTTTTTTACTTTTCAGATCCATGGCTTCACGTCCTTTTAAGGAAATCTCAGTTAGGCCTTTGTACAACGCTCTTTTATCAAGTGCCTCTTCACAAATTGTTCTATTAGTAATATTTTTCTTTAAATTCGATGATAGATTGTATACTTATCTTTCGACTGTTATTTCTAGCTGTTATATTAACTATATCATTCTTGGTTTGCCTATTTTCACTTCAATTTGGGGAAATAACTACAACCAAATTCCAGCCATTTCATCGTTTTGCCATTACATATTACTCGTTCCATTGTTCATTATTAACTCACAACTCTGGAAGATCAAAAAAGAAAAAGAAGAATTGTTCAAAAAGCAACAATTGGAAGGTGGCAAAAATGCAGATGTTAAGTTGCAAAAACTTACATGGAAAGATGTTGTAATGGCATTTTGGACTGCCGTTAAAACACCTCTTGTTGTTGGTAATATTATAGGTATAATTTGGTCAGCAATCGGTATTCCATTCCCTCCATTTTTCAAGAAACTATCTGATTACGTTGGCGATGGCATTACATTATTTGCTCTTCTTGGTATTGGAAGATTCCTTCAGCAGAAATCCCTTATTTCCTGCCACTGGTTCCAACTGCTATCATGTCTTGTTGTACGTTTCTTCATATTTCCAGGTTTCTCCTTCCTTTGGTCATATGTTTTCAAATTCCCCAACAGAATAGCAAGACAATGCCTTGTTTTATCCATGTTGCCGGCTGCTAATGCAGGATTCATTCTCGCTAACTCAGTTGGTATTGGAGCGAATGTTGCATCTGCTATGGTTTTCTGGTCCTTGATTTTCCTTGTTCCTGTATTGCTTTTGTGGTTCTACATATTAGATCATTATGATATATTCCATGATGACTTGTCAGATATTGAAAAAACATAGATTTTTAATCATTACTCAAAATGCTTTTAGCATTTGTATGAATAATGATACAAAATAGAATAGCTTGTTTGTTTAAAGCTGGTTTATCTTAATTTCATCCTTTCCAACTGTTTTATCTTCTATGATATTTTAATTTACTTTTTTGATTTAATAAAGAATGTGTGATTAAAGAAATCTTTCGTTAGATGATTGCTGTGAAAGTTCCAATTCAAAAATATAATGTTTTTTAATTAATTTTAAAATATGAAATGTTCGATTCATGGACATTCAAAACTCATAGTATACCAATAGATTACATACATTATGCTAAATTGATTGATATATAAGTCAGTCTTATTTTGCTAATTTTAATTTCCAAACTTTGATAGTGTGAGATTGACTAAAAGCAGTTATTAGTATAGAATCGATGTGTTGAGTATATTAATATCAAATAGCAAATTCTCTTCAAATAGTGAAATTATCACGAATCTGGGGGTTTTCCTAAAAATAACAAACATTGTTATTGTTGCCTGGGTAGTTTGTTCAATTTATAGTATTAATTATGAATGATAAGATGATCTAATCAAATCTAATCTCATTTATCCATTTGCATCTTTTCATATTGTATTATTCATATATCTATCATTTAATGATGATATTCATTCGAATTGACTGAATTACGAATTAATCAAATCGATGCCAAATAATCTCTCATCTCTATGTGTCGCATTGCATGATTTAAAGATTGAATACATTCCTAATATGAAAGGATTAAAGACCAAAGCTAATATCTTACTTTGATTTTTTTCGCATTGTATCAAACCAGTTTATTCCTAATTTTCGATGATACATACCTTAAGAAGCACTAGATTAAGCATGATGCATGATGAGAATTAAAATTGGACATACGGACAAGGAAATCAATGCAAAAAAATCCCAAAAAGATGATTTTCCAGTCACAATTTTATTCGGAATAAAATCAAGGCAATAAAAAATGTTTAGAAAAAAATTGAAAAATCGGGAGAACCTGGTCTTTTTCTCATTTATCAGCGAGAGGTGAGATGAACTTTACAATAATCGATAACCGTTTGCTAAGCCGACCTTTAATTGTCCGTGATAGGTGTCAATTTTTTTATTTGTATTAAACCTCCGGTCATTCCCAATTCGAGAAATGTCAACACCAACTACACCTCCGGTTATTATCGATGTTGGTACAGGATATACAAAAATGGGTTACGCAAATAATACTCGCCCGAATTTTATCATTCCAACACTCCACGCTGGCAGAGATTTATCTAAAGTTACCGCTGCTCAAATGGTAGGCACAGAAGATCTCGATTTCTACATCGGCGAAGAAGGTATCGGCAAGACACCAACATACAACCCAATCAATATCATGAAACACGGTCAAGTTGATGATTGGACAAAGATGGAACAGTTCTGGGAGCAATGCCTCTTCAAATATCTTCGCTGCGAACCAGAAGATCATGCTATCTTACTTACAGAACCACCACTTAACTCACCAGATAACCGTGAGTATACTGCCGAAGTTATGTTCGAGACATTCAACGTTCCATACCTCTACATCGGTATGCAGGCTATGCTTGCTATCGCCGCTTCATGGACAAACAAATCTGCACATACCCTTACAGGTTGCGTTGTCGACTCTGGTGATGGTGTTACACACGTTATCCCAGTCGTTGAAGGCTACCCAATTTCTAACGCTATCGTCCACGTTCCAGTTGCCGGCCGTGAAATGACACAGTTCATTGCCGACTTCCTTAAGGATCGTGAGCCACAGGTTCCAGCCGAAGACCGTATGGAAGCTGCTCGTAACATCAAGGAGCGTTACTGCCGTGTCGCTAAGCACCCATCTGCTACATTCGCTATGTTCGACGCAGATCGTGCTAAGTACATCGAAACATACACAGGCATTTCCTCCAAGTCTGGCAAGCCATACACATGCGAAGTTGGCTACGAACGTTTCCTTGCTCCAGAAGTTTGGTTCTCACCAGAACTTGTTTCTAATGAGTACACAACACCAATCTCCGTTCTTATCGATCGCGCTATTCAGATGTCTCCAATTACAGATCGTAAGAAGTTATACAACAACATTGTTCTTTCTGGCGGTTCTACAACATATAAGGGTCTCGCTAAGCGTCTCCAGGCTGACGTTCAGGCACTCGTCGATGCTCGTCTTGAGGACAACGCTAGACGCGCTTCTAAGGCATCTGGCACAAAGGTTGAAGCAAACAAGATCCCAGTTAACATCGTTGAGCACAAGCGCCAGCAGTATGCAGTTTGGTACGGTGGTGCCATGCTTGCTTCCACTGGTTCAGCATTTTACGCTAAGTGCCACTCTAAGGCAATGTATGACGAGTACGGTCCATCTATCGCTCGTGCCAGCACAATGTTCGGCGCTAGCGCAGTTTAAATCACTAAATCTTTAATATACGACGATTAAATTTTTAATATTTGCTTCCTTATCTTGTTCGTTTTTGGTCATTGATTACTCCAAGAAACAAGTAAACATTCCCACAGACGATTTATTATTTTCTTTTGGGACATTTTATCCAGGTTACTTCACTTTAGTCACCTCACTTATTTCCCAAATTTTTATTGTTTTTGATTTTTTTATTTCAATTTTTGTTGAAATTATCTTCATTTTTTGGATTTTCGAAAAAATTTGGAATTATAATATCTACAATATGCTTTCGTTTTTAATAAGATTGCAAGTTATTTATTTTTTATTCTATTATTCTTCTTAATTTCCAAATTTCTGATTCATATCTCTTTATTTCTTCAATCTATCTATATGCTAACATGTTGTTCATTTCATATTCCAACCGATTACTAGATATTACCTATAGATAATTCTATAAATCGAATGTTTTAGTAATATCTTTATATAATTTATATTGCATCCTTTTATTGACATTTATTATGCTTCTAAAACACTTGAGTTAACTATGTTTATACAAAGACAATATTCGACAAGACCTTCAACTTGAGACAAATGAAAGTGATAGCATGAATCGAATAATTGCAGAATTTCTGAACAGTATGATATTCTATTAGCAATATAGTGGACAAAGATGATTACAAAAGTCAAATTCAATAAGTTAGAAATTTTGTTTGTTGTCTAATTACAGCAATCTGCAAATCTGATTGAATTAGAGCTGAATATCTGATCCAAGAACTATCAAGGAAAGATGTTGAGATTTAATATAAAAAATTTTGTTCAATAGCTCATTTTCATGATGCATTAACACAATATTGACTACTCTTACAAATCAATATGTTTAAACAGGAATTGAAGATAAAAAAATAACCTCCTACATGACGGATGAATTTATAAATTTTAGCGATAATATATTTCATATCACATGTCATTATAAAATGTTTGGGCACGCCTGCGATGAGCCGATTGCTCTTGTAGCAGCGCATCCATGTGATTCTCTTTTCTTAGTATGTACATATAAGATTAATTTAACTTTGTTAGATCTTTCAAAGAACCGTTCTCTTCGTACATTTGGAATCAATACAGCTAACCTCAACAAGGAACAATTACAAATCGTCAAATCCAGTCCAATCGGATTATTCTTCATTGATAATTTAACCTGCAGAACACTTCATTCAATGATCTCATCAACAATTCAAAATCTTCCATCTGATAAATTCATCGCTGTTGTATTTCCTAAAGGCATGTTTACTTTTGATTACACATGCATTGATTCTAAGTTCATTCCATTCGATAATATTACAGCCACTTACGCTGCTCAAGCACCAGATGCAATTATTTTGTGCGATCAATCAGGAGCAGTGTATAACTTCTCTCTTATAACTTCATTACTCACAAAGATTCATACTACAACAGCGCCACCTCTTGGCGTCTTTGTAGGCGCGAGTAAAGGCGAACCATACGGAATTATCATTCCTACAACATCTGGCGTAGAATTCGTCAGACTAAACAACCAATCTCCAGCTCCTCTTAATATTGAAGTCGGTCGTAACTTCGCATTTGATCCTTATACATCAACTTTATTCTCAATCATCGATAAGCGCTCAGTTAAGGTATTCCGTGTTGCTTTGACAAGAGTAGAATGCATTGGCGAGTGCAGTTTCTCAGCAGTTGCCTTTGGTGAGTCAAAAGGAACAAATTATAATTTACAGCAGATCGCTCCATGCTTCTTACCTTATTCTCCACCAAACAAACCGCTTTTCTACGCTCTCTGCGATCAGAACGCATTATTCATTTGCGGCGTTTCAAAGCCTTTGATGCGTATTGAGAATTTCCCACCTCCACAGATTCGTAAACTTAACGGCTCCTTCATGGCCGCACATCCAACAAATAGCTCGAACATTATCATCGCTTACGATAACAATCTTTTGATTGTCGATATTTCAGCGCATCTTCCAACAGTTGTTCCATCATTACCAATTCCAAAGGCACTTCGCTCTCAATTGCAATACGACGGAGGCCTTTTCAACGTCATCCGCCGTGGAGATTTAACAATTGTTGTCGAAAGATGCTCAAAAGAGTACCATGTCTACGATAACTCCCTTCTAAAGAAGGAGATACAGAAAGGCAAAGCATACGATATCGTTCCTGGACCAGGAAAGAACTTCGCAGTTTTAAATATTTCACCAGAAAAGAAGAATACAGCTTCTATCTCAATATACAGCGAACCAAAAAAGCCACAAGATATTACAGTACAAGTTCCAGATGGTTACAGCTCTATCCAGCGCTTAATTTCCTTTGGAGATTATTTAGCTGTTATTTGCTCCGAAAACGAGACAGATTTATCTCGCAATCCACAAAAACGTCCGAAATCAACAGCTCTTGCATGGCGTTGGACCACAAAAGAGCCAGTTCCACTTGAAATTTTCGGAACTTCAATGGCATGCGCTGGAGATGGCTACGTAGCTGCTGGATCACCTAATATGTACGCACTCTACAAGGTAGAAGACGGAAAACTTCACTACCTCGCTACAAGAAACATAGCCCCAATTTCAATGAGATTTTACAAAGGTTCACTTTTCGTAATTTCTAATGAAGGACTTTACATCGACGATATGAAAAGTGCCATCTTAGTGGCTGTACGCTATTCCCATCTTACATCAGCCGATAAGAAGGGCACACGTATACCAATACGCGCATCATGCATCATGAAGATAGAAGACAAGAGCATTACTCTTTGCGACAACAACGGAATCGAATCTGTTATGGGAATGCCGGAAAGAGTCGAAGTTCCCATCAAAATCAACTTGATCGACAAGCTTGCTGCTGCAAGCGATGCATTGGAAAAGATGAAAGAGGCTTTTCCGAAGGCATCTGAGGAAGATAAGAGACATATCTTGCTTCTTATGCTTAGAAATGTCGATTGGTCTGTTGTAGAAGAGTACTTGACAGTGTCAGAGAAAGCAGGTACTGAAATGGTACTTCAGAATGGAACTGAAAATATAGAAAAATTCAAAGCGATGCTCAGCGAAGAATTGGAGCTTGATATGTAAAGTTTATCTTTTTTTATTTGAAATAAATGAAATTTTTTATAATATTTTAATATAATTTAGTATAAAATCAGTGATTTAATTTAATTTTGATTTAGAAGGATGAGATATTGTGTCTGTGTAGATACAAATAAACTCAAAACCAATGAAAATATAAATCGTAAGATACAAATTTACAATCATATTAAATTGTCATGTTATTGATATATTTTTTCTTGAAATATTATGCATTTTTACATGACATCTCAACATATTATGATTATTTCAACTTAAACACCAGTATAGTATACTTTATTTGATAAATCCACTTATAATTGAGTAATTTCTAAAAATATCTCTTGATATTTATGCAATAATATAACTAAATCTAACAAATATATGTAATAACATAAAGAGTATTCTCAATGACAATGTGATTTCATTATCTTATTCGAATTTCTCGAAATGGAAATTGAGAATTGATCGTGCAGTGGCGCTTACTACTTCATCTTCTGAATTAATACTCATATCTTCAAGGAAATCACAAAATTCATCAATATCATCGATCTTTTCAGCGATCAACCCGTTTGCGAAAAGAGCTTGAATCGCTTTGAAGTATTTGGCTTCAAAATCTTGAGGAAGAAGCTCGTACATATCTATACAATATATAATATATCTATAAACTGCATCATCTTGTAATATTAACTTTGGAATTTGATAACATAATATAGTAAAGAGGTAAATATACTTTTCTTTCGTAGGCTCATCAATTAAATCGAAGACCTGGCCTTCCTGCAGAACAGTTGGAGCGTTCTCATCAAATTTATAATAAAATCCTGATTGGATAAAAATGTCAAGCAAATTAGCGTTATATAAGATCATTGATGCTCTTTCTGATATATCCGCAAAATGGATCAAGAAGTTAAGTACTTGATGCTTGTTTTCTGAAATTTGAAAGTATCTCATTAAGGTTGAGATAATTGGGCTGTCTTCTACAAAGTCCATAGCATATTCAGGGTTAAATTCACATAAACAATGGAAAAACTCAAAATATTCAGGCAAGTTTTCTATTTTCTGGATTCGATTGTATAAATTTGATAAACACATTCCTTGTAACACGTCAGCAAAGTGACCTATGTCTTCATGAGAAACAAGAGTGCATAATAAATAAGTTATCAAGATATCATATTGTTTGACCTTTTTGATGCCTTCTTTGTTGAGTGTTAATAGATATACTAATATTTCGGAGAGAATGTTGAAGATTGTTTCATATTGAGTATAACATTGATCTGGAAATGCATTTTTGGTCTGAAGAAATGCAAGCAAGAAGTTAATTCCTTCATCAAACAGCTCTTCATAATCAGAATTCGTTATTACTTCGCTATAAAGAAATTCAAGGATTTGATTATTGATTACATTTTCTGTTAGGTCATTGCAATATGTTAAAAACACAGTCAACAGCTTAAGAATATCAATTCCATTTGATGTTGCTGGAATAAGGATTTTAAAATAATCAAATTGATCATATATGTGATGAGCTGTTAAAACCGAATTCTTAGCCAATAAATAAAGCAAGTTATACGAACTAGCTCTCAGAAATTGTTTTGCATGCTGCGTTTGATCAATTAAATTAGGAGTTATATCATTTTCTTGCAATAGATCTGAGATATCAAGATCAATATGATTCATGCATTCAATTATTTTGTTATTTAGTCTATTTTTCTCATTTGATTCAGAATAAGTCTTAATTAGTCCTGATAATTCAGAAACTTCATCGCTTTCTATATTAATTTTCAGGATATTTGGCCCTATCCATTTAAGTTCTTTCTCTTTGTTTTGTCCAATATCGATATCATCAATATTATCATCAGTTTTTTTATAATTCATTCATACAAAAGAAAATTTACTTAGTTTTTTGACACTTTATATGTCAAAAATAGATCTTTAGAATACTTTTGTAAAACATACATTAATTAAGGTCAGAAACAAGATAGTTTATGTTTGGCTGCGCGCTAAGAAATATAAGGTTATTGTAATTTTCGACACAAATATCGACTATTTGAGCTCTCAAATCTATAATGAGTCAATTTACAGACATATGGATAGGTGATTACAATAACTGTGTTTTGAAATATTTTTGGTTTTATCTTTGTCCGGAGTCCAATCTTATTTTTGATGTTAGATCAGGAATTTAACTCATAAAATATCCATATATATAACATAACTCACCATTTATTCGGATTAGAGAGCTTATTTTTCAATTTTTGCTAATAGCAATTATCTCAACAAAATATTCGGTGTTGTATATCATTAATTTTAGCGTGTAATCAAATTGTAAAGTATGTTTATAGCTGAATTCGAGAAAGATAACTATTCAAACTTAAGGATTGTAATGAACAAATAATCTTGTTGACTTTTTCACTCAATCATCATTAAGAATTTTTTGCAAAAATACCATATTTATCATATAGATAAAGGATTTGTAGCAACAGATAGGTCAGATTTTATTAATTAACATCAAGAACCGGGCACAGAATATTAATTCTACTCTTTTTTAGCCATAAGATGAAAATTATTCGATAAAATATATTAGAAGGCATGTTCATCATATAAATACTTAAAAATTCGATGTTTTACAATTGGGATTTCTATGTTTGGCCAAGTTTAAAGAAAATTAGACATCAATCAAGTTGATAATATATAATATATTGAGACCAACTCGAGGATTTAACAAAATTAGTGATAACCAAATAACTTATGAAAAAATAAAAAATTTCAATGCGATGCAATTTCTTCTCAAATTTTTTGAGAGAAAAGCGGTTGGAGATTTTACTATCGAAAAATAAAAAGAGAAATGCTTTCCAATATATTGCATATATCAAGATATATTTAAATCTCATAAATATAATCATCATAGTTTTTTTATGAATAATTTAGAACCAGTAACTAACCCATTTTCTTTTTATTATATAATAAATCCCGGAAAATAAATCATTTGAAAACAAACAATTTTGATGAGGTTTATTTCAAATATTTTATTCAAAATATCTCGTATTTACTACTACCAAGCAAAATTATCAATAAAGTTTCAGTACCTAAAATTTACGCGTCACATTTAAAACATGAAAAAGTGACTGATAGGTCGATAATTCCAAATGTTCGTTCTTGAATTCCCTACTTATTTTAGCATTTTATGCACTTATCTTCAGTAAATAATCAACAACTCTGAAAAGTTTTAAATTTGAATAAGGTCCTTTTTTCATTTAAGGTACCCTATTCAAAAAATGAAAGGGGTCCCTCACAAAATTGAAGGGGTACCATTCAAATTCTATCGAAATCGTACCTTAATTAAAAAGGCTCTCAACCGGTACCTTTCAAATTCCCTCAAAAATATTGAAAAGATTTTAGGTATGCTGCTAATATAGTTAGTAGCATCATACAGAATGCATAGACAAATTTTTTACTAATTATTTTTTCTTAGCAATTCAAATTCGAGATCGCTTAACTATGCTTAGAATCATAAGCATAATAATTTTGCAAAAGGTATGGGAATAATTTGAAAATTAATTTCAAAATTATTAATACTAGTGCAAGCTAGTGTAAGCATGTAAATGCATATTTGTGCACTGATTCGATACTCTTTTTTGGAAATTGTACTTTATCTTAAATTTCGAATGCAAATTTTTTGAATATGTGTATTGAAACTGTAACCTTTTGTCTAAGTTGCATTCTAATATAACTCGAATTCTAAAAATGGGACTTTACTCTCTTTCTTTGAGAAAATTTTAGACAATAGCCAAATTGCTAATTTTGTTGGAGTAATACCTGCATTGGGAGGTATTATATTGTTCAGGGTTGAAACAAGGAGGTAGTTAGTGATAAGCATAGTTACCACATGAAATGCAGTAAAATTTTGAGTCTAAACGTCTTTAAACCATCAAGTATAAATTATAGAAAAAGATACTTTTATATAGTTAAAAAAAAATGATTAGAAAATAGCGTTTTTGATCAAAATTTCAAATTTTTATTTCCGAATATCTCTATTTGTGTCTAATTAGAGACATTTCTATAATTCTAGTGCGCAGCATATGCAATTCCTCTTTGGTTATTGCATTAATTTCTCAAAAAGAAAAAAGTCTTCAATAATTTTTTCAACAATACAGTACTAAAGCTAAGAACTTCTAAACACATGAAAAGTTATATCATTCTCGTTAATATGTAGATTATCAATGAAAAGAATATTGTGAAATTTGAATATTTTTTAAAATAGAATGTAGAAATACTTATCAATGCTTAAAATAGAGATATGTGAGAGCTAGATCTGTATTTATTTACGTTTTCTTGCATATTTTGAATATCAAATTAAATTAATTTTGAAGATTTTAGCATCTAAAAGTATTTAATGCCCCTATACAAGCAAGGTAATTCTTACATGTCTTAGTAAGTCCAAACTTAATGTTTTATGATATGGGCCTGACCTCTCCATATGGTGACGATAGAAATTGAATAGGGTACCTAAATAAAAAAAGGAGTTTAAAATCAATCGAATTCTCGGTAAAAATGCATAACTACATAGTCTTATATATACTGTTCCCTATTATCCTTCATTATAATTCATGCGTTTCAAATTTGACAAGATTCAGCAACATCTCAGAAACCTGGACCTTGCAAGCATTGAAAATTTTTTGATTTCTGAGAATATGAAAAACCAGAGACTATTCCATGATAGTTCGATGTATTTCTATGAATTTGTTTACAAACGGCCTCTTTCATTGGTTTTTCACACTGCATCCTATCAAAAATTTGAGAGTGCCTTACTGTAAAAATCAATCAAACTTTTCACAAACTCTCTCAATTTGAAGAACAAATTGCTCTCAATTTTTTAGCGGTATGAACGAATAAATCAAAAACATAAATGAATTACATGCATAGCGAACTCCCATCCATCATGTGCATATGCCCTAACACTGACGGCTTCATCCCGATGTTCATTGACCCTTCACAGACAATGGCTCCACCTAAAGAAGGTGTTAAAAAAATGAAATTCACTCCTGAAGAAGACCAAAAGCTTTTCAAACTTATCAATAAGTATGGAACAAGCGATTGGATGCACATATCAGAGATGATGAAGACAAGAAATCCAAGGCAATGCCGCGAGAGATGGAACAATTATCTAAATCCAAAACTCAGCGATGAACCTTGGACAACAACCGAGGATTTCACACTCATTGCAAAGTATAAAGAGTTTGGAACTCATTGGGGTAAGATCTCTAAATTCCTCAAAAACAGATCGTCTAACGCTATCAGAAATAGATGGAACTTTTTATTAAAGAAGTCCATCAGCAGAACTGCACAGAATAGCAGTGATAGTAGTTAATTTTTTTCACTGCGATTTTTTCTCTCTTTCTTTAAATCTTTCTATCTTTCCTAATTAGATTATTTATTTTTAGGATAGTGCAAAACACGCGATTATCTTGGATCAATCGCTTTCTATTACCCTAAATTTATTCAATAATCTCTTATCGTGGATCGACAGAAATAGCTTACAACCATCCTCTACAACTCAAATACTTGCATTTTGGAATTGTAAAATCTTGGTACTCGTAATCAAGATTGATTTCAAAATTTTTCAGCATATATAGTTCTTGTTTCGGCAATATAATTAATTATGTTTTTTAAAATAGAGAATTATTTTATCATAAACAGGGCTTATGCATATAGTTTTTAATTTCGCTTTTTTTTTATTTATGTGTACATAGGTAATTTTATGATTTACAATTGTGTAGATAGTAAATTTGATAATAAATCTTAAGTAATATTTAACTACGAATAATACAACAAAGATATCCTCTTTCATCATACTTGTTTTATATATTATTCGCTAATTATGCTTATGATATCATATAAATTTGTTTAAAGAATCTAATACATATGTTCGATTAGTCTTGCGGATACAATTTTACAAATGTTGAATATTTTTCAATAATACAGTATTTTTCCTAAAAAATGAATTCGTCAGATCTATATCTCTATCTCGTCAATGCATTAACGTTATCGATAATGCCTTGTTTATGGAATGATTCGTAATCAAATTAATATGTTTCATTTGTTTTGTTAATACAGTTTTATATCATGAAGTAGTACCAGAGAATTAGTTTCACCACAGATTTAACCTCATATTCAACCACCCAATTTTTGAAATAAACATCTCATATCAAAGGATTTTTTTGTTCAAATTGCACAGTATTGCTTTGCCTTTGGAAGCTATAACCTTTAAAATAGAATGACCATTTGTATTACTACTATTCAAATAAACTTTTATTGTTCAAACAAAAGAAACATGGACTGTTGATGCATAAATTTAGATTTCAGTAAAATTGCTAAATATAAGATTAAAACTTTCCCAAAATAATCGTTTGCAGGTCTATACAATTGTTCATGAGCTGAGCACAGATTGAATCCAGTCATATCAAGAGATTTTCAAAATTCTCAAATTTGAAAAAATATTAGTTGTTGACATAGCAAAATCTCAGAGAATATTGCTACAATTAAGATATTTATTCAATAAATCGTATTAAAAACGATAGATGATCGAAAATTTCAAATCTTACTAAATTTCACTGTCAAAACCTGGAACATTTCAGCTTCCAATGTGATAGACTTCTTTTCTTTGTTGTATTCGAGCGGAATTTCATTCTTTTCTTCCATGTTTACCAAATCAAATTTCCAATCTCCTTCCAAAAGAGGAAATTCGACATTTGCTGTTGTGAATCCACCACTTGGTTCAACAAACCTTGCAATGAATCCTTTTCCGTCTTCGCTGACCTTCAAACATGTCAAAATCAGCTTATTTTCCTCAATTTTCAAGAATTCTTTCTCAACTGGCTGAGACTTTCCGATATCGCAAAATGTTGGTGGGTAATTTAATTGGTCGGCCAAAATTTGCGATTTTGGAGAGAATTCTTGGTTATGGAAGTCCAATCTGATGATAAACCTTCTGATACCGAAATCAGCCCATTTGTCAGTCTGCATTGGTGCTTTGAGCAGCGACATCATCATTGTTATGCCGTGAATGTCAAATCCGGCCTTGACATCGCTTGTCATCGTGATTCCACCATGGGAATCTGATAGATCGGCCCATCTACCACATGATTCGAACCTTGCCATGTCGCGTTTGGTGTTAGAATGCGTTTCTCGCTCGAGATATCCGAATTGGAGTCCAAACTTGGCTGTTCTGGATCGGATCTTGGTAGGGAGGACGTACTTGAGGAGTTTATCGTGTTGGGACCAGTTGACAGTGGTTTTCATATCGATCGTAGTATCATTAATCGAAATAATTTGTTTGATGACGGATTTTTCGGCCTTTGCTTCACCAATTTCAGGGATTTCCCATGTAACTTCCAATTGGTCGTCGTTTATGGCTGAAATAGAGGTGAAAACTGGACTTTCGAGTTCCATTTCTTTATGATAGAGCTGAATGTCCCAGGCTGGCCAGTTAATGGATCTATCTTCGTAGAAATGGAATGGACAGTCATCATTTTCTTCGATAAACTGACGAGTGCCAACTTTGAGAGATTTAATTCCGCCTTTTTCGTTAAAAACGACTGTCATCTTGTCATTCTTAACTGTCTTTGTCTGGAAGTCAAACTCGAACTTGCTCTTGACAGTTGTATCAACATCATCAAATGAGAACTCGTATGTTGTATGAGATTCATCTTTATTTCTCTCATAGAATGTTGTTTTGAACTCATCTCTCTGAACTTTATCACAGGACTTCCATCCATAGAATGGGCAGACAGTGGAAATCAACAAATTCGAATCTTCTTGTTCAGATAATTTTTCAGCCAAAAAGTTTTCAATTTCTTTAACTTTTTGGAGTGTTTGTGTTCCTCTAGTGAGTATTTGCATGTTTGCTTCATTAACACTTGTTCCTGGCAATGCATCATGGAATTGATACAATAATACCTCTTCCCACAAATTTTTCGGAGATTTCTGGTAATCAACTTCCCCGGTGAAATTATAAACGGCTTTGAGAACAGTCAAGATGAACTCTGCATTCTTGAGATGAGATTCAAGCTTTCTGTTTTGACGCTTTACCTCTTCTTGTGATGTTAGTGTTCCTCTATGATATTCCAAATATAATTCGTCATCCCATGTTGGCAAACTATCCTTTTTACGGCGAATTTCATCGAAAATTTCGGACATTGTTGGGAATTTAACAGCAGGAACACCTTCAAGTCTTGGCAACTCGTTCATCAAATTGAAGTTCCATATCATTTCTTCTGTAATTCCACCACCACCATCTCCATTTCCTGCCATATGTATTGCACTATGTCTGCAGATATCCTTCTGTTTGTAGCAATCATATGTTCCAAGTAATTCAGGAATTGTTGCTGTTCCTGTGTATGTTGATGTCTGGTAGCTCCAGCTGCTTGGAGTAGTAACAAAGTGGCCAAGTACTTCACTGCCATCATTTCCTCTCCAATTAAATGTGTGGTAAGGGAAATCGTTGTATTCGCACCATGAAATTTTTGATGTCAAAAATGAATCGATGCCGAAATTCTTCATGACTTGAGGCAAACTCGCTGAGAAACCGAAACAATCTGGTAATATAAGTGTTGTCTGCTTTTGTCCTATTATGTCTTCGAAATAGGATTTGCCGTAAAGGAACTGTCTGATCATACTTTCGCCGTTCATTAAATTTGTTTCATGTTCAAGCCATGTTACACCATCTGCAACCCATCTGCCATCATGAATCGCTGATAGAACACGGGAGTAGAGTGTGGGATCATCCTCAGACATCCATTTGTAGTGCTGGCTGGCTGTGGCGAGGAATTTCCACATGACAGGATTATCAAATTCGTCAGGTGGATTTTCTATGAGGTGTAACATTGAAGAAGCGGTGTTTGCGCTCTTAAAATGAAGAATGGAGTATGGCCATTCCCAGCAAGTGTCCAAATGGGAGTAGCCAATTATGGAAATGCATGGTCCATCGGGTTCTGCTCTTCCTCTGATGTTGTGGATGCTCCTGAGGATCTCAAGAGCCTTCGGAACGGAAGAGTAGAAGGCCATATCGTGTGGATCATGACGTCTTACTGGTAATAATCCAATTGGTCCATTCAAATCTCGGACATCGAGCTCTCTGACAGCAGCATCGACAAGATGGATGAGTTTAGCTCTGTCAGTATTAGTGTCTTTAAGCTGTTTGATGAGTGCAGTCATGAATTTTAATCTATAATAAAGAGCATCTGTATTTTTGTCGGTAATTTCAAGGCCAAACTGTGTTAGATTGTGAGATGCTGTGCAACGGCCAGTGAAAATACGTACTTCAACGTGTCCTCCCTGTTTTATAATTTGGGAGTTATGGAATTCATCGATAGCACCAAGTGCTTCACCATTCAGCCATATTCTACCTTCAGGACCAGCTGGAAAATCATCATCCCATGGTCTGCATAAGTAATTTCTGTTGATATTGAATTTTGCATGAAGATTATGCTTTGTTGGATCGTAAGATGAAGGTATCTCGATATCTCCACTGAAAGCAAACCAGTCATATCGGGTTTCACCAAATTCGTATCCATTGGAATTATCAAATTCTTTCCATTCATAATTATCATTTGCAGGAACACGGAAACTTGCACTAGCCTTAGTGCAAACCTTAGTATTTGTAGCAGGATGGAATTCGACAACGCGTTTTGGTGTGATAATTTCTAAATACTTATTAAACTTTCTTAAGATGTTCTGTGGATCGTAAATGATGTTTGGTTTACCAAATGTAAATTCAGAAATAAGATAAAGCAATGAATCAATTCCTTCATTAGTTTGAAGAAAAACATTTGTGACAAAAACAGGTTGTAATTGTGTTTCGAGTGATGACAATTCGCTTTGTTCATGATGATTGTTTACAACCACGATAGCTTTTTGAGCGCACGAATTTAATTTGGAAAGGGTTGAATTATCAACATCTTTAACAATATCTTTTGATCCACCAATGATGTATAAAAGCAAATTATAGGAATGTTTTAACTCATCACTGAATTCAGTGAAAGAAATTTCTAAAGGTCCTTCTAAAGCATTGTAGATAGTATGCATTGTGTTGTTCTTCGTTAAAACTTTGATAAGCTGCTTGTAATCAAATGATTTATCACTTATAATACCAACTTGCACATGTTTCATTCAAAAAATTGTATAAATGCTATCGGAAAAGTCAGAATTATTATTTGATGACGAAGATATTCGTATGATGACAGCATTCAATGTTTTCTGTGGTATTTCATTATATAACGCTAAACTTTATCAAGCGTCACTTGATCTTTCCAAACAATTAACAATCTTCACAGAAATGTCCAGTGCAATTAAAGAAGATTCCAGTGACCAAACACTTAAATCAATCATCATGAATGCAAAGAACACATTGGGAGCATCAGGAGCTGTTCTTTATATATATAACTCTGATGATAAATCATTCCAAGTTAAAGATCAAGTAGGAAAAGGTGCAACAAATGGTACAACATTTGCAGAAAAAGAAGTTCAAGATCGAGAAGACAAAATCTTCCAACCAGATGATATCTACAACCTTCTTTTCCCTGCACAATCAAATAACAACTCCAAACTTGGAAAAGATGATCCTGATGACAGTTTCGACTCAATTTCAAGTCGACCAATCACTCATACTAAACCAGGAAAGACAGGAAGTGCAAGAGTATCAATGCTTCTCTCTACAGCAACAACAGCACAACTTCCTGATTCGATTTCTTCCATTATCACGAATGAAAAGTTTTTCAGATTCTTATATGCTATTCGAAGTATGTACAAGAAAGTTCCATATCATAACTGGCGTCATGCTGTTGATGTCACACAATTTGTTACTTATCAGATCATGATTTCCGGTCATGAAAAAGTTTTCACGAAATTTGAATTCAATTTAGTTGTTGCTGCAATTTGTCGTGATGCAAATCATGATGGTTTCACTAATATCTACAACATTAAAGCTGAAACACCACTTGGTATTCTTTACAAGAACCAGTCCGTCATGGAAACACACCATTGTTCAATTGCAATCCAAATTATGTCACACGAAGAAACAAATTTGTTGGCCACATTAAACCAAGACGAATGCAACGAAATTTGGTCATTGATCATCCAATACATCCTTGCAACAGACATGGCACGCCATTTCGAGATTTTGAAGCGATTCATTGATATCTATGATGACAGTGATTTCACAACGCAACGCCATGATCACCGCGTTATGTTGTTGTATATGATTCTTAAGTGTGGTGATATTTCAAACGTTTCTCGTCCATTCGAACTTGTTGATAGATGGTGTGATTATTGCCTGAAGAATGATAGAAGCCATTTAGATAAAGCTAAATCGCAAATTGATTTCTACACATTTGTTACACTTCCTATGTTCCAAGCTGCAGTTAAAGCTGTTCCTGCTTTAAATGTAAACATGCGCCAAGCTTTGTCTTTCAATTTGGAAGAGAAAACACGCAGAAGAACTTGAACTTCAGAAAGCTGCACTTGCTGCTGCATCAGATAAACCTAAGACTGATCAAACACAACACCAACAACAACAATAATAATAACAACAATAAAACAGAAAACAATAAATGTTTATTAAATATAAATTTTTCAAATGTTTTGTCAACAAAATATCATTACACTAACCAAACATCAATAACATAATATTGAGATTAATAATACCCAGATTGAATTTAGAATAATCGTTTTAAGCTCAAAAATGTATGATGAACTTGAGTATAAATTTTTCAATATACACAGATAAAAGCCAACTGCTCATAGTGATGTTTGGATTCCAAAAAATCAATGATGTAAGAAGCAAATTAGAATTACCATTTTTCTCTCTTTACTACAGATATCTTTCAATAAATTAGAATTAATAAACATTTTTATTTTTAAAAAATTTGAGGAAACTTGCACTCGTATTTTAAGGGTATGCTTTCCACTTTCTGATATGTTCTCATAAAAACAATTCGTCTTTATTGTAATAGAAAGAAAGAAAGAAAAAAAAGTATAACATCTGTATTAGGTGTTATTCGGCGATTTATAATAATAAATTATTTAACTCCAATAGATTTTAGATATAGGGTGTCCAAAGGTGCGTTTAGCACAGCGCTCTATATGAGACTATTAAAGGAGATATATGCTGATTATAAATATATAATAAAAAATATGAATATATGTATATGATGAGTATGTTGTATTTTGGCGCCATGCCGGGATATAAAATGAATTTTGAGACAAGAGGCGGTTTCGCGGGAAATTTTGGCGGGATTTTTTTCATTTTTTTAATGAATCATAAAGAAAACATCCTCGCTCTTGCAAAAAAATGCAAAGACTGTAAAAAAATCTACGAGACATTGGTAAAATGCTTCGGTATGGATGCTCCTAGCTATTCCACTGTAACGTATCATGTTAGGATGTATCACTTCATGAACAAAAAGGCGCCCATCATAAAAATTGACAAAAAATCGCCGGATCAAAGAAAAATCAAAGCAATTCTTCAAGCGCTAGATGAAGACCCAAGAGCATCACTCAGAAGGATAGAGGAGATGACAAAGATACCACGTACAACAGTCAGTTATTATCTGCACAATTATTTGAACTACAAACTAGCGTATACACGTTGGGTTCCGCACAACCTTAATTCAGTTCAAAAAAATCTAGAGTCCAATCTTCGAAAGAGCTCCTCTCTATATTGTGTGCGTATCAATCCAAGAAGTTTCGCTTTTTAGTAACAGGGGACGAGTCTTGGTTTCAATATGCAACAGAAGCCAAAATCATGTGGATCCCGAAGGATGAAAATCCGCAAACATTCCCGAAGAAAAAAATTGACACACCAATGATGATGTTGTCGGTTTTTTGGGGCGTGAATGGCATCATCGCAATTGATATTCTTCAAAAACCTAATACGATGAATGCTCAGTATCTAATTGACAATGTTCTTACTCAAATTATCAATTCTGATGAGTTTGAGAAATCCAAACAACAAAAACAAAAGTTTGCAATTCATTTTGATAATTCAAGAGTTCACAAAAGTCATAAGGTAATGAATTACTTGGTGGAAAACAATGTCAAAGTTGTTCCAAACCCAATTTATTCACCTGATATTGCACCCTCTGACTTTTATTTATTCGGCACGCTAAAAAAGAGAGCTGAAGGACGCGAATTCGCGAGTCCAGATGATCTTGAAAATTTTGTAAGAGAGCAATTTGAGCAATTTTCTCATGATGATTTAAAGCGTGTCTTTCAAGCCTGGATCGATCGCTGCGAACGCGTGATTGAATCCAATGGTGATTATATTTAAATAAACTTTATATATATGTAACTTGTTTATTTCTATTCGCAGTATTCAGGTTTGTGCTAAACACACCTTTGGACACCCTATATTTTCTTACATTCTTTTTTGCATATGAGAGTGCAGTAAGTCCAAAATTAGTCCTTGCTTCTTTATCAGCTCCAACTGAGATAAGATATTTAACAAATTCAAGATGACCATTGCCTGATGCAATAATGAGTGGAGTATTTCCAGATTTATTCTTTGTTTCTTTATTAGCTCCAACTGAGATAAGATATTTAACAAATTCAAGATGACCTTCTTTTGATGCAAAAATGAGTGGAGAACATCCATTTTTATTCTTTGCTTCTTTATCAGCTCCAACTGAGATAAGATATTTAACAACTTCAAGATTATTATATCTTGATGCATAAATAAGTGGAGTATTTCCCCATTTATTCTTTGCTTCTTTATCAGCTCCAACTGAGATTAGATATTTAACAACTTCAAGATGACCATTAGATGATGCATAAATGAGTGGAGTCCATCCATAAGAACTCATTAAATCTTTGTCGCGGCCATATTCAATAAGAGATTTAACAAGCGCAAGATTACCCTTTTCAGTTGCTACATGAAGCACATGTTCTATATCATCATCTGGAGATTTTTGGAATTTCTTTTCCAAAAGTCCTTCATCACATGATTTTGAAATCATTTTTTGATTGCCTTGGGATGAAAGCTTATCAAGTAAGTTGTAAACTCGTTCAAAATCATTAGATTTCTTAAGTTCTGAAATTTCTGCAAGAATTTCTCTCTCATTACTGTTCTCTTCATTAATTTGACTGAGTTGGGAATTAAGTAATTCAATTTCTTTGTCACTTTTTGGTGGTTGATTTTGAAATGATTCTTCTGATTGAGAATTCTGTATTATCTCTGATGAAGCAGATATTTCTTTATGGGTTTGTAATAAAAAATTAATAACTCCATCAAGTATTCTAAGTTTCATGTATTTCTGGAGTGATTTCAAAATTGAAACGATATCTTCAAAATTCTGGACAGAAATATTTGCATTTCGAGTACAGATATATAATTCGTTTGCTTTGATAGAAGAACGAGATTGCTTTATAACAGTAATGAAGTCATTTGTTGTCAGGGTTGTAAATTTCATGATTTTTTTTGATGTCGTTTGTTTCGAAAGTAGAAAACAACTTGTCCGCATCGATATAATCTTTAATGTGTGCCGCAATGTATTCGTAATTAAAAATAAAGCCTTGGCTCATTAAATTTGCCGATAGCTTAAAACCGTTGGCAAAAAATATATTTTACTCATTTGTAGCTCCACGTATAGCATAAATATGATGATTCACATAAGGAATCTAAATATTATGATATTTCTCTGGTTACATCGTAAATTGCTAAAATTTTCCTTGAATTTCAGATGATAAGATATTTATCTCACTTACGCATCTACTGATCTTTCACTATTAAGGATGTAAGCTCTATTCCTTGTTTGTATGATGCTTTCTTGGCGAAAATTGGTTCTAAATAATACTCTAAGGAATTTCATTGAAACATTCTTGCATACTGAATATTTCTGTCGCTAATCGCAATTTTCAGGTCATCCATTAAGCAAAGAAATTTTCAAATCAACTTATGCTCTTTTTCAATCTGTTTTTTCATCCAAGAGTATATATGTTTATATTGGTCAATTGACTTTCTATCATTGAATTTAAGACAATCCAATGATTGATTTGATATCCATAAGAATTTTATCCACAAATGAATATATCATCAACCGATAAATATTTCTATTTTTAGTAGTGAAATTAATGTGATTAGATATTGCCTGTTTTGAACCTCAAAATAAAATTATGATCCAAGATTTTTAGACTAAAACCCAGATTTAAGATGCAATTAAACAATATATGCAAAATAATATCATTTGGTTATAATTTTACCTATAACAAAAATTCGTGTATTCTTGAAATTTTAAAAAAGGTGACAAGATGGCGGAGACCCTTCTGACTCTTCTGAGCCAGCTTGATGCCACCCACATTCTTCAAAGCCAGGAGCAGCTAACTAAGCTAGCTGAGGAAAATCCTCTCCTTTTTATAACAAGTATCATTGAAATCTTGAAACAAGATTCAGTATCAGCCAAAATCAAAGGAAATGCATGCGTAATTGCAGGCAATTACTTCCCAAATATCTCAAAACTTCCAGAACAAGAAGAATTACATCCATTTAATGTATTTACAGAAAACAACGTAAATGAATTAATAGATTTATGCTTTGAACTCATGACCACAATGGATCCAGTATACAGACATCATCCTGCTGTTTTACTTGGCAAAATAGGCAGTTTATACGTACATCGCAATTTCGAAAATTCATTACTCAACAGACTCTCATCTTTACTTCAGCAAGGTGAAAATCCACAAGATTTAGATCCAGTGTGCAAAGCAATCAACATAATTCTCGTTGGATACGATCCTTCAGACGAAGAAATTCAAAATCTCATCACAGGAGTGTTTGGACACTTCACATCAACAGACAACCTCGAGGCCTCAGTTGTAGTTCTCGATACACTCATCGCAACAGTCGAATCAATCGTTGAATTACTTGCAGATCCAGAATTTTCAACAGGAGTCGTTTCTGTATTCCTTGCTCTGCTTGAGAACGATGTTTCGATCAGACCATCACTCGAATGTTGGAACAGACTGGCAGATATCACTCCTTCTATCGTTGCAGAAGTTTCAGAACATTTAGTACTGACATGCTGCAAAGTATTACAAGAAATCAAGGAAGAAAATACTCTCATGCAAGCCTGCATGCTTATTAACACAATAGCAGACCTAGAATACAATGATCGCGAGATGCAATTAGAAACTATTGCAAATAACGCGGAAGTAATCTTAGCTTCACTCGTAGGAATTCTTTCTACAATCGATACTAACGAATGCATCACTCCAGATATGTGGACTCCTGCAATTGCTGCATTCAAAGCTGTAAAAGTCGTAATTAGCCTTAACTGCGATAACATGATAGGTACTTTAGAGACTCTTATTAACACTGGTATAGTCAGCGATTCCTTCGCTGAAAAGGATGTCGCTCTGAAACTCTTGGCCTCAACTATTTGTAATACAACATATGTCACTTTTTCATCGAAATACCTTGAAGCATTAAATGAATTAGTTACTGATGAATCCCCATGTGTTAGACAACGCGCATTGCATTGCATAAGAAAAGGTATAGAAACTATGGCAAATTCCGAAAAATTCAAGAATGAAAACACATTCAAGGAATCTGTCATCAAACTGGCCAACGACAGTATCGGGTTCCTCGAGCTTATTACAGATGAGAACGTCCTTGTCGCTTCTGAAGTCTGCCAGCTGATGAAAGTTTTAACTCAAGTGGAAGGCTTCACGAGTACAGAGCAAATACTAGAGGCAATACTCGAGCATGCAACGTCCATATCAGAAGGACTCTACAAGAACCCATTCGACTCGTTTAACGACATTATTCAATACGGATCTGCTGATGCAGGAGTCTCTGTCCTCCCAACCGTCATAGAATTATACGCAAATACCCTCGAGTCCGGCGAAAACTTCTGGATTTGCCACCAACTCGCAGAAACAATACAAGTATTTTGCTACAGAGATGACTACAGGAGCCAGATACTTCAGAGTGCGGAAACACTTCTCCCTCTATTCGTTAAGGCCCTTCAAACAGGCGACCAATACTTAAATGACGCATTACTCCCAATTGCAGCGGTCGCAAGAGCAATCGGAAACCACTTTTCGCCTTATTTAGAGGAGACAGTTTCCATCTACGATGAGGTTCTCGGTTCAGATCCCGACCAATGCGATCCAGATGCACTTTATAACGCAACGTACGCTCTTGACATGCTTATCAACGCGGGATTCGATGTTGGCGATAAGGGAAGGTTCATTAACGTGATTGTGGCTTATCTTTCGAATTTATCTACGATGCCAAATAATCGACGTGCCTTTTTGAACCTTCTTTCCACGCTTTCTCAGGTCTCCTTCGATAGTGTTTCATCTTCTATCGAAGCATTGATACCTTATCTCCGCGTTTTCGCGAAAACGTTGAACGTTGAGGCGAACAACGACCAGGGCGAGGCCGAAATCATTGCAAACACACTCTCCAAGACAATGTCTAACGTCTACCAGAAGATTGACCCAGAAGCAGCGCTTGGAGTCTTTGATATCGGTGCTGATATTTTAACATACTTCTCAAACTTCCCTCCGTTGTTCAAACAGTCTAGAACAGAACTTCTGAGACTGGCTTTGACCATGTCAACCCTTTCTCCTGAAGCTGTTATGGAAATTATTAACCAGGACGAAGAACAAGGTATAGTTAATTTGTTTATGGATGCTATCTCTAATGATGAGTCTAAGGGTGATGCTGAAAAGCTATTCAAGACTCTCAATCTTTCCCAATAAAGTTATTTAGAAATATTATTTGATATTATCTGCAAATATTCTTTATTTTTCTCATTTTTTCTAAGAATGTTGCATGCCTGTTTAAGGAATCATCGTATTTAATCGAATTATCTAACTGTCAACTAATTTATTTGCGATGGTACTATGATATTGACCTGGATTCAAGAGCTGTTTCTTAAACAAAGTCGATTGGTCCTATTCCGATGATGAATTAACACAGTTTATGATCCGAAAATTAAATCTTTTCTGATCCTATTTGTATATTACAATGAAATGTAGAAGTATATCAGACATATGTTAAAAAAAGAAAAGAGTTTTTTTTTTTAATTTAAAATTCAGGAATGAAAATTCAAAATGTAAAAAAGGCTTAGAGAGAATTCTTTCTTGGTCTTGTTTCGCCAGCTGGGAGAAGGTCATCAGTTGGCTTAGCGTTCTCTATATCTTGTGGCTTCTCCTCGGCCTCCTTCTTCTGGTTAGCTTCTCTGTTCTTTTCGAGCTGCTCAATGAATAAAATCTGGTTGAGCTTGTCTCCCTTAGCGGTCTTTTCTTCCTTCTTCTCGTTTGGATCTGGTGGTGCATCTGTGAAGGACTTTGGAGCGGCTGCTGTTGTAGAAGCTCTCATACGCTTCTTTGGTCCGCCTTCGCCTCCTCCAGCAACTGGTGGCGGTGGCTTCTTGCCTGTTGTGGCAGATGTGGCTGATCTCTTACGGTTCTTGACGGAAGCAGCGATAGCCTTGAGACGGTTGAAATCTTCCTGCTGACGACGCTTCTTTGCGATTCTATAGCGGGAAAGGATAACAACACCGACGATGATGAGGATGATAATAATAACAACAGGGATAACGACAGCGAGAACAATTGTAAGGGTATTGTTGTTAGTTTCGATTTCCTTTTCCTTGAGTGGGTTAGTTTCGCTTGTGAAATGACTCAAATAAAGGTTCAATGTCTTGCAGAAAACCTTTGGATCTGGGCATTCGGCTTTTGTAGTCATATGATTATTATTAGTACTGTATGTGAATATTACACCTGAGGAATCGCACGTGTAATTAAAACCAGTTGAAGAGGTTGGAGACAATGTAACTGAGCCATTTTCGTTGCATTTGTATTTGAATGGTTTACTATCAATCGTGCCCTCGAGAATTTTAATGAAAGCCTCATCATCTTCAAGTGGTTTCGATTCTGGCATGAACTTGGGCTGATAAATGAAATCGAAAGCTCTATTAGAAGTATCGATATTCATGCCATCCTTGTTTGGTCCCTGGTACCATTCCTGAGCATAGCAGAAATCTAGAGTCTGATTATTAGGGCATGTAGCCAATGATGAATGGATGTTGCTACGATCAAGTTTCATCTTGAAGTCAAAGCTTGGAATTTGGTATTTTGCTTGTTCGCTTGAAATATAGTATGAACCAGGTTGCCAGTTCCTTGGTGAACCTGTAGCGAAGTTGTCGAAAGTAACACCTGTTTCAGAGTTACCCCAAATAAGAGGAGAGCCCTTAAGGTAGTTGATCTGATAAAAGCCAGTATCTCTAAGCATCATGATGGTGACATCTGTGATACGCTTGTTTAAGTTCATTTTGTACCTATCTGATAATGTGTAGAAGTCGGCGTAGGCACTGATATCGGAATAGAAAATTCTGGATACAGGTGAAGAGTAGACCTGGCTAAGATTAAATAGGTCATCACGGTCGGCAAAGTCATCCAATTCGATACCATAGCAATCTTGGTTGTTTGGATCTGCACGTTCATTCTTGTAGTGGTTTGTGAAGAAGGTCTGGGCAAATGGCGTCTTAAGGTACTTGAATGTCTTGTTGTACTGGTTTGTGACATTGCATGTATTACCGCCTTTATCGTGTGGTTCATTAGAGTCATATGGGTGGTATTCGTCAAAGCAAGAGCTATCAAGACCCATGATACGGAATGTAAGCCCTAGGAACTTTTGGTAATAATAATTATGATATGTTTCATTGGAAGTGTCCTTTTCAAAATCATCAAAATATGCTTGATCAATGCCAAGAATACCTGCTATTGGGCGGTGTGTTTCTGAATCTTTATTTGTTATCAAGCCAAACATTCTATTAACATTGTTTTGATCACGAATCATAAATGGACGGACAATAACAGAAATAACTAAATGAGAGCCACTTTCATCTGTCCTTGTCATATTTTTAGTAACGCCTTCAACATCTTTGATTTCGATTGAAGCAGGAGGCTTTGGTGCACGAATGAAAGATCCCATGAATGAAGAGATATTGTCTAGAGTCATTTTTAAATTGTGTAACTTAGTAGCGTTTGGTTGATATACGCCTGTGCACGTGTGGTTAGTTCCATTCCAAAATACTGGTAAATTTGGATTAGTGCAATTGTAGCCTGATTTATCTGAAGTTAACTGGGACAAATCAAATGTAAGTTTGAAACTTTCCCATTTGATTTCCTCATCATCTTTAGAAAGAGCAACACTGAAAAGAAAAGCAGAAAACATAAGATTTATTAAAATAAAAAAGTAAACTTATTTTTTTTTAGAGGATAGAAAGTGAATAAAAATGACACATGTTATGTATCACTAACATACCATTTGATAAAATGATAACTAGTTAAACAGAAAGAATCGCTTTTTGTGAGATTTACGCTTTACTTTTTATGAATTTGATTCAATTTTGAAATATTATAAATCGGAATTATATATTCATAATCTTCATGCTACGTTGGTATTTGCGATTGTGATCTGAGAGTTTCATTTTGAATTTTTTAAATCGATTCGTTTATCGAAATATATTATTATCAAATATCATTGATTCTATAAACGGTTAAAAATATAAATGATTTTGAAATCAAATAGTGAAGGACGAAGCTTGATATTTTGACAACGATAAATTTTTATGGATGAATCAAATCAATCTTTTCTTTATAACTTATTCATATATTTTATAATATAAATGAAACTTTTTCACATGTTTTGAAAGTTGGTTAGAAACTGAATAAATGAATTTGATATCGTAATATGTTTTTGCTATTCTATTTCCAAATTTTTTTGGAAAACAAGGTTGTCTCGATTAGGAAAAATTTCAAAACTCCGTTTCTTTAATTATTTGATATTAGATATAGCAGAATTCGACAGTTTATCTTAAAGTATGAGTTGCATTACTGAAATAATATGTTTAATTATTGAATTTTGAATGAATCTTGTTATTATGAACGCATAAAGTGCAAAATGGAACTCAGATCTTATCCATTATTCTTACAATTAGGAGACAGTTATTCTCGTAGTATTCTAAATTGCAAAATTAAAAGAATTGCCAATTAAGAAAAATTAGCATATCCATTATCAAGTGTAGCTAATAAGTATTAAATTAGTTAAATAAAAAGACTTTAGTATGAAACAAATATTCTCATGAGCTAGAATACTGTACGCTTTAATATTATCTTATTCTATTTTATATAAGCTTGAGCAATGGCAAACAGATGTACGGGAAAATCATCATTTTTCAATAAATGTATACAGATTCAATGAGTATTAAACAACGACTAACTACTATATCCTTGTTGAAGGAATTTAAAAGCGCTGAGTTTCACAAGGAAATACTTTCAATGTTAAAAAAATACCACGATTTATTTCAATTAAAATTAGATTTCGATACAATAATTGTAAATCTTGAATGTAATCGATATCCATCCATGGCTCATTTACGTAATGATATAAATTCATATTTTTCTCAGATATTACGTTTAATCGGAAAGGAAACACTTTTAGGAAAAGCAATCATTACAATACAGCGCTCTGTTACAAAAAAGCTTTTTAGTGAGATGGAAAAAACCAAAAAATCTAGACAATCCGACTTAATAAAAATATCAAATCGAATTAATGATTTATTAAAAATAATGCCAAATACTACATATGAAATAGAACCTAAATCTACATCCAATGATTGCACAAATCAGCAAAAAATTCAAGATCAAAATATCCCGAATGATCAATTCCTTCAAATAACGCAAGAAGATTTAAGAATGATTCATTCTTACTTATCAAACCTAAAATCTGATGAGGAAATCATTAAAGCTACAGATATTATTTCGATTTTTGATAACAAGTCTGTATTTCGCGGAAAGGCTAACTTTTTCATGAATCAACTATCTCCTTTTACAATTGTCCTCTTACAAAACTATATAAATCAAAATTCATAACTTAATCTTAGAATTTATTCTGTTTCTATCGTTAATCCTTCGCCACACAGCATTACATCATTCAAATGATAATAGATACTTATTTACAGTATCTATTTCAAAAAAAATGTTACAAATATTTCGAATTTTGTATTAATGAGGGAAGTTTGAAGTCTGTGTTGTTTTTTAATGGATTTATATTAGTACGATTGATCATTCATTACTATCAATGAAATTATTTTCTTCTTATATTTTAATATTCTTGTTTTTTGTTTGTAATAAACATTATCTATGTTTTCTTTTAATCTCTATGATTTAAATTTTAAAATCTCAATATTAAAATCCTTTTCATACGTAAAATCTCCTCACTTGAGGTCTATTTATTGTTTATGTGTTAGAATTATCTTGTAAATTCTTGCTTGTTAAAATTAAGCATGACAAATAGATAATTTATTAAAAATAATATAATACAAAACATAAAAAATAAGAAACTAATATAAAATGAAGTAATTATTCAACGCTTTCGAGAAGCATTACTTTCTAAATCTGCCCATTCAGAATCCGAGAAAAGACTCGTAATATTCATGATAGGAACGGGATCTTTGCTGAAATATGGATGTCTTAGTGCGTTATAAGCGCTAATTCTGTTATTTGGATTGATACATAGCATCTCTCTTAGTAAATCTCGTGCATCTTTATCGATATACGCAAATTTTTTTTCGAATTGAGATTCGAAATGTGTTCTGTTTAAATTATTGAATTCAGCCATATATGTTGTTGCATACGGTGGAAGATCTGTAGCTTTGAAATTTCCCATTATTGATAAAATTGCAATCATTTGCTTGCTGCAGAATTCGTTACTGTTCTGTGAACGTGTCTCAGAATGAAAAATTACTTGTCCTGTTAGCAATTCTGCGAAAATACAACCAGCGGCCCAAATATCAACGGCTACTGTGTATTTTTTATCGTCAAGGAGTAATTCTGGTGACCGATACCATATTGTAACTACTATTGTACTCTTATCTTGACCTTTCCATTCATCTGTTCTGGAAAGACCAAAATCTATTAATTTTAGAATTCCGGGTCTTTCGTAATTTCGTGGCATTATAATTAGATTAGCTGGACTGATATCGCAGTGAATGATTCCATGCGAATGCAGATGATTTAGAGCAAGTAATAGTTGAAATAATATTGATTTTGCAGTTATATGTTCGAGAGTTCTTTGTTTATTGATAAAGTAATTGCATAGCTTATATACATCAATGGCACCATAGTCATAATGAAAATTTAAGGTAAATATGTTCGGATATAATTGTTCGAGAGTTACATTCTTTGCATGTATGATATGTCGATACTTAGGTTCACTTAACAAGCAAATTTCTCTTATTGGCACGACTGGAATGTGTTTGTCCGATTGAATATTTTTGGAAGTCTTTTTGCATAGATCTTCTCCAAGGGGGCCAACAATTCTGTACGCCTCGCCATATGTTCCTTTCCCAATCATGTTCTCTTTACTATGATCTATGATGTTCATTGTATTAATTGAAAATTGTTGGATTTCCAAAAGTGACAATTTAGTGTTTTGTATAAAAAATGTCTCTCCAAAAGCTTAAAGAAATTGGAGACCAGATAATCAAAGCTGTTGAATCTAGTCCTCTTCAAGCTGAAATAGCTCAAATATCTTTGGAAAGTATCCATCATTTAATTGTTTCTACAGATCAAAATGCTGGCGTTGATGACTATAGACAACCGATGCATCCAAATATGTACGTTGATCAACAGATGGGATATCCTCAGCAAATGCCTCAACAAATGTATCAATTTGATGAAGCAATGCCCCCAGCTGTTATTGGTCCTCAGTATAGCACTGACGTTATGACACAGGCTAATAGTATCCCATTCTTATACCATCAAAATTTCCCCAACCAATAATACAATTTTTATTATCATTTAATTATTCTATATTCACTATCTCTGCATATGTATTCTTACGTTGCATATGATTATTCGCAGAATATTTGATTCTACTTATTTTGGCATTTTATTTTAATATTTGCTACACGCCCCTTTCACAATCATTTATGTTCATATTATTATGTTTGTATTTTTATATTAAACGATTTCGGTATATACATTATTATTCATTTTTCAATTATATTCTTAAAACAATTTCATCTCAATCCTAACTAAATCATTTTTGTCGAGTTTGTATCTAGAAGTTTACAAATTGATGAATCAACCAAATGTATCTGAATCCGAATGATTGATTTCAATATATTAGAAGCTAGATGCATATTAGATTTTTCTGTGGCTTAATGGTGTTCGGTGTTATGACTGTTTTGTTATTTGAAACAAAATAATTATGAAATCAAATTATACTGAGTAACCTCTATCTAATCTGAAACATATATGCTTCCCTATGAATTGATATTTCAAAAATGAGTGGATTTCATTGACTAACAATATTTCTAAAATATTCAAATTTCGAAATCAAATTATATCAATAGCGAAGTATTCACTAACAAAATTATCTAAAATCAGAATGTTTAATACATAGAAAAATTCAAATATCATGATAAAGATGAATAAAATAAATTATTTCACTTTGCAATGATTGAAGGAAGATGTCCGTGAGGCATTCTTGATGGAGCAACACTGTGTGACTTGATCCTTAGCTTAGAATGCAAAATTGTGCGGCAAGGTGGCTTTGCGATGATAATAGACTTAAGATTTGGTATAACGAAAGAATTCTTAGAGAAGGAAGAACAGGCAGTTAATGACTTGTCAGCCTGCTTAAAATAGTCACAATTGAGGAGTTCAGAAAGCATCTTCCGATTTAAGGGATTTGGTTGCAAGCAATATGATATAACTTCTTTTAGGAAAGGATCAAATATTTGGTCTTTATCATAATCCGCTCTATTTATTGTATTTATTAATTCTAAGCTATCTTGATTATTGAATGGGGATTTACCAGTTGCCATATAATATATTGTTGCTCCAAGTGACCAAACATCTGACTTTTCATTGCCCATCTCTATACGATGAAGAATTTCAGGGGCAGAATATCTGTTGATTTGTGTAATTGTCTGAGAGTTGTAGTGAGTGCGGATTTCGGGTAAATAATAGAAATCTGATATTTTAAGGCGTCCGAATTGATCAATCAAGAAATTTGATGGTTTAATATTCAGACCAAAGATACTAAAGATGTGACAAGATATCACAGCTTCAATAGTTAGTTTTATGTATCTAGAAAGATCTGTAGTTTCAACTTTGAGTCCGTTTCTAATGAATTTTTCAATATCATATCTGCAGTATTCCATGACAATAAAAACAAATTGATTAAATCTAATAAATTCATGTACAGTTACAATTTTTGAATCATCCATTGTGTTGAGTCTTTGTAAAACATCGAAATTAACTTTGGTGGCAATGATTCTTTTCAAAGCAATACCATTAGGATATCTATCTGAGGAAGCGGTAAAGATTTGACTGTAGCCATTATTACTAATAAGACTTAAAACTTGTATTCCACGGGAAAGCAGAAAAGATGTTTCATTTTCATCCATTTTTTTGAATATTGAAAAATTGTGAACTTTTGGCAAAAAAATTATTAATACGTAATAATGATCTAAATTGTTAAATTAGTATTAATTCGACGATGGTCTGTTGTTATCAATTATTTTTTGTAATCAGAATCGAGGGTGAATAATATGATTAACAATATTAGTTGAATCTATAAGCAACAAAATAATCAAATTGAGAGGAAAATATTTTCACGCTTTACATTGATACGAAAAAATTATTGAATTTTCTTCTTTATTTAACAGCTATACAAATTGGAATTGTAAAGACGGAAAAAATGAATTTAATATTTGAGAACAATTGAATTTTATAAAGAATAAATATCATATGATATTATATAATTTAATCTTTTCCCCATAAAAAATCTTCATTCAAATGAAAAATTTTCATGTGAAACAATATCATATGTGAATTTAATTTGCAGAAGAAATCATATATTAAAGGAGATTGATAAAATTTAAAATCGATACGAAAATATTTATAAATCAAATAAAAAGTATGGAAAATAATCATAGATTTGTGCCATATGTGTAATCCATTTGATTGAAGCCTGTATGTTGCATCAAAGATCACGATTATTCAGTAGAAAATTAATTTTAATTTAAAGTCAATCGTTTTTTGCTAAAAATTTACCCTTTTCCTATGTCAGAAAGGTGAGAAAAACAAAAATTCTCTGATATTGGGAATATAGATTGTTCATCTAATGAGCATTCTAAATATCATAAAAATAAGCATATTTTGTAAGCTGTCAAATTCTAGGATAACAAAAAAAATCCATATTATATGAAAAATTAATTTGTTATTAGATGCTAATTTTATTTAACAAGAAATAAAAGAAAAAATGTAAGCCCGCCAAAAAGTGTAAACTATTCAAAAATTTTTGACATTCAATGAGGATAAAAAAAGTTAAATTTAAAGCATAAAAAAAGATTTTATTCCTATAACAACCATATAAGTAGATATAATACATAATCAACATACTTGTAGTGTTTGTTCTGAGTCTTCAACTTGGCTAGGAGACTGAGAAACAGTGAATTAATCTTCCAGTCGTATCGAACTTTTTCTCTCTTCTGTACTTCTTTAGCTGGTCTTGTCTTCTACTTGCTTTTCTATCACTTTCCTTGTGTTTCAGTCTTTCTTCAGGTCTTCCTTTTTGTAATCTGTTTGAATTTCCTTTCTGTCTTCGTTTAAGTAATGGTTTGTGAGTTGTTTATATATAATCTTGTATATGTGTAATCGTTTGGTATGTTATTATTGCGTATTTATTCTTAGTTTGTTGAAAGATTTGGTAATGTTGGAATAAGTTTTTGTTTTTCGTATGATGTTTGCATCTGTGTGTTTAGTACTACATTGAGGCATCGATATTTCTTATTTTCTTGTGTTGATGTCACTCCAAAAAAAAATTCAAATCAATAAAAGGATACCAAAAATGTGAAGTGGTCAAGGACACAGAAGAAAATTTAAATTTTTTTTAGCGGTTATTTAAAAATTTTGTAAAAAATCACTATAAATTGATTTTTTAATCGTAAAAGTTTGACAAAAACAAAAATGAAATCTGCCAATAGGATTTAATTTATCTAAAGCACTATTATTAAGTGCAAAAAGCTAAAAAAAAATTTGAAATTAAATTTAAAAAATTAAACATTAATTTGCATGAAACCATATAGGTTATATTTAAAACTAATATGTAGTTGGAAAAATTATATAAGATAGCCTGAGTCATTATATGGGGTTGAAATTCAGATCGAAATTGTGTAATTAAATCTGAAAAGTTATGAAACAATCATATCAATAAGATGTAAAAAGAATAGGTAAATAAATGATTATAGAAACAATTGTTTAATCCATTTCAAAAAGGTAAAAATTACAATAATTTATAAAAATTTCATGTCTGTTAAGTTTGATATCTTGGAGTATTAAAGATTATCCTTGATAATATGCTTAACTCGATGTTTTTTGATTTTGGTAATTTTAATATAAAATTTGAATCAAGAGTTTCATTTTCGAGCAGCAACAACAGAAATGACATTTTTTCATGGAAAAAAAGTTATTTATGTAGTAACAGTTCGAAAACTCTGGTTTTGTATTTCGAAATTTCAACTACCAACATAAATCAAGATCTGATGCTAGGAATAATATTTGTTTCTGGAACAAGAGGTGTGTTGCTGATTTGAAAGGAAATTCTTGAGTTTTTGTGAAATTATCTAAATTATTTCTCCGAAGTTTCTTGAATAACCATATGAATTAGTACCACTTTGGATACTGATTCATTAGCTTGAAGGACAAGTAAGGACCTTAAAGAAGTCCAGCGCCTTAAGCTCATTTGACACTTAGGTGTCAGAAATGTGAGCTTTTATGGATGGGGGTATACCCAAGTCTACCAGATTTGCCAAATTTTGAGGGGAAAAAACCAAAATTCTAGGAGGCAGATTTTTTTATAGGAAAAAACGATCGACTTTATATGTCCAAAGATACACGCATAGATCTGGATTACAATTTCTCCATGGCCGAGAATGAATCAAGTATATTTAATTAACAACAAATTATCAAAGATCTCCTAGCTTCTGAAAGACGATTAATTGAAATCTTCCTAGTGTTTGGACTCAAAATTTCTATCGGATAAGAAAAACTCAATGAGAAAATATGATTTTTTATTCTTATATTAAAGTTGACAGTGCTCTATTTAATCTTTGATATAAAAATATAATCTTAGGAAAAGTTCTTTTTTTATTTAATTAAGATTGGAATCCATAATGCAAATATTTTGATGTACATTAAATCTTCTTAACGTATGATTCTCACAATCAGTAGTAGGGTATGAAGGGTTTAGTGACTTTTTTTGTAATCGTAAGAATTCACACAATATTGACCGATTTTGTAAGTAATTTTCATACAATCGATAAAATAAATGTATGATTCTTACGCTTTTTATTCTTACGTTTTGAAGTAAATCATGATTTAAAAATTCATGTCTTACATTTTTGAATACCCAGATTTTCCTTACTTTTACCACTCCCCATGTAATTTCTGGGGAAAACGATAATTCATTTTTTTATGGATGAATAGATCGTTTTCCTAGAAAGGACCTCATATCTCTGGCTAAAAAGAGTGTCAGATCCTAAATAGATTATTGATCTAGTGTACAAATCCAATAAAAAGCCTATTTTTTTGGCTTTTTTGGTGCTCATTTTTTCGAAGATCTACATGAATATGGGGAAACCATCGGATTTTTTTGGTTAACCCACATCTTCATGTAGTCTGGACTATCTTTCCTCGAAGGACCTCTTTACGGGTGTAAAAACTCATAAAGTTCTCAAAAGATTCATTCTCGATCTCCATGCTGAAAGAATTTACAATAAAAAAGAGATCTACGCATCAAACTACAGCCATAAATGAACTGAACCCCTAAAGCTCAGCTCTTAGTTTATCAAAAACGTCGAAATCCTTCTCATTGCAATCAAATTTTCTCAATAACTCATAAGAAAAATCGAATTTTGATTAAGCCGATGTTATAGGTATCACAAATACTACAAACTTGAGCAATATCGAAATTGCCAGCAAAAGTTTGAAATTGCATTGCTCATATTTGTTTTGTAAACTAAAAATCTGCTTATATTATTCATTAATTTTTTATATATTATTCATATACTTTAATAAAAACAATACTATTTCACCTTAAAAATGAATTTCATAAGTCAATATTATTTTTTTGAAAATGTATCAATTTTCGATTAAAACAACATGAGAATAAAATTTACGCAAAATTATTTTAAAAAATGGTTTTAAAAATTTACAATTGATTAAGAATAAGATTGCAAGAAGTTTTGAAGTTTAATTTTAAGAAAAAAAATTCGGATATTATTCATGGATCTAAGTAATCTGATATTTGAGTATCGGCACTATGTATAAAACATATATTTATAGTTTTTTTGGATTTTTATGATTTTAAATATATTCAAATTTGGCAATCCAATAGATTTTTAAAAAATAGGTAAATAAAAATAGATTACATATGCAGCAGATTTAGAACATGAAACAAATCTTATAGTGACCCAAAAAAAAATTCATGATCCAAAAAAGAAAAAAATTAGCTAAATGGGAATCAAACCTTGGCATAACGAATCATTATGTCAGATGTTTCCACTACACTACACCAACAGTTCGAAAAATACCCTTGGTGGTTCTATTTAATAGCTACTCCCAACGATAGGCGGTGTCCCCAGCTTTAGAGGGGTGGTAAAAGTAAGGAAAATCTGGGTAATTTATTTTTTTAATTCGTAAGAAATGAGTGAATCAAAATTCGTGACTGTGAATCAATTAATGGATAAACTTTCACCAATTCTCACCCAGGTTAAACAAGTAGACGTTTATTTTGATGATTGCATACAAAGTTTATTTTATAAAGGTAAGTTTAATATTAAACCTATTGCTTTTGCATTTGATGGTAAATTAATCGAAAATTCAAAAATTTGGGAATTAATTCCGGATATTGAATTTATAACAAATATTAAGGATAAATGGTTTAAACAACAAAACCACCTCACTAAAGTTCTTTGTAGATTAATGATTAAAACTGAGGAAAAAGAATTTAACGGGTTTAAATATCATCCATGTAAAATTTTAGAACTTGGTAACGAAAAACTTCAGAAAAAATTAAACGAAAGACTATCAAAAGATAAAGTTGAAAGAGTAAATAAACTCGCTAAAGGTAATGGTAATGATGAAGAAGAATTTGATGAGTTCAACATTGAACTTTAAGAAACTAATGATTATTTGAATTTATGAAATCAATTATTTGATTCATTCTTTCTTCAATCTCTTCTATTCTTTTTGTTAAATCATCTATTTTCATTAATGAGGTGATTCTTGATTGAGGAATAGATTTCAAACTAACCACTCCTTTTATTTTTGAAATTTTGAATCCATCAACTTTAAACATTTTATTCAATTTACATGTTGTCAATTCTTCAAATAATTTTTTATT